GTTCTCTCATTTTCCAATCACTCTCTATTTTGGTCAGTTTAGCTTCTTGTGCAAGTATTTCCTTTGTCACTTTAGCTTGTTCCATTTTGACAGCTAGTTCAGCTTCGGCATCTGCACAACCACTTCCAGAAATCTTTGACTTAGCTGCTGAAAGGGTTGTTTCAGTTTTCGTGTCTCCAAATACTGAGCCATAGTCTTCTTTGTTAAGTATCATTCTGACTCTTTCTTTCTCAAGCTGATCATTGAAAGCTTCCTCTATAGTGTCAAGCCGTTTTTGGATGAGCTCACATACATCAGTTGTGATCACATTGCACGCATCCATCCTTTTAACAATGTCCTGAGTCATGGAGTGGTTGCGGCGAATGGGCTCATAGTTTTGTTTGACTAGATCATGCTTAGCTCTTATGCTATGGCTGGCCTCATTGAGTTCCTCTGCAGAGCAGGGACCCTTTAACTGTGTTCTGATTGCTTTGGCCAACTCTTTCCAAGTTTCATAAGATTTACTAAATGTCTTTTCATGTTTCTTTGCCTCCTGTTCATGCATCTCTTTGCCCTTTTCATTTAAGTTACGTATACGGCTACTGCATCTTAATTGTTCCAAGTTGTTACTTTCTTCAGCCGAGTCTAACATTTTGGTGGCTTATCTTATATGAATACTTTTGACAAAATGTGTAGACTTGTTATTAAATTAGAACTCCAAACAGTGGCTGGTGACGAGTAGCGATGAACAGACTGTAACTTGACTGGCGAAGAGTCTCTCTGGGTTGGCGAACAGGTCCACCGGTCTGGTGACGGTCGAGTTTTCACTGTAGCGGTCCCTCAGATTCAATAAAACGCAGAGAGCTTCGACTGGTGCGAATATTTTACTGATTTCAGCAACATCAAACAGCACCGTGAAAACTACACGGAAAAGAAAAACGGAAAACATGAATATTTAACAATAAAATCAAATACACTAACATAAATGGTAAATAAACTAAAATTCACCACATTCACTAATACATATAAACAAACAAACAGGTACCTCGCTCCGCTGTCTGAGGGCTGCAAGTATTAAACAAAATTTGATGGTGGTATGACACATGTCTCAAGCATTCATCTGGCAAGTTCTGTAGCTATTTTCTTCTGGAGGGGTGTGGTTGAACAGGTAAGGTTAGGGCGCCATCTACTGGACTGGCTGACATTTACAATATGCATTATCTAAACATTTTCTGAGCAAGATAGTATTTTTGTGTTTACATTCAGCGGAAGTGGGGCAAAGGCAACAGGTTCAAGCTACGTTTTTAAATCAGACGTTTTCAAAAATGCACTAACAGTACATCATATTTGAAAAAAGATGTAACGAACACTTTTATAGGACAAAATATAATGAAAGGTGTTGTCTGAATTGTGTGTGACCATGAACTTATAATGGATGAAGGATGCAAAAGAACATAATAAAAAATATATAAATAACATTAACAAAACAAATGATGTATTATACTTTCTTCATAATTCAGGATAACTAGTTCTGAGCTTCTTTCTCACTTGAATTCTTACAAAAATAACAGTTATAATTTGCAGTTGGGGTCACAGGTTTTTTGCATATTTTAGTTGTCATGACCTGTTTATAGACAAATAAAAAAGAGATGGAGTGATAATCTCAACCCAGATCTCAAACAAAGCTTTTAAATTTAGAATTAAAAAATTATAAGAATTACCAACATTTACAAACAGTCATCAGAGGCTTGTATAATGTACCACTACTTCTATCACTACGACACAGGTATAAATCCATAATACAATAAGATAAACAGAAATAGTTCAAATGGCCTCACCTGTTGACCTGCACTGAGTACGAACGCCTAGACAGCTGATGAAGAGACAGAGGCCAGTTTATCAGATGAGCAGATGATGTAACAGCTCCCTCCCTCTGCTTCATGGGGCCTCCCTGAAACTGTTACAAGACACACACACGCACACACAAGTTACATTCACATTTACTTGAGACTTCCCCTCCTAACTTGTTCCTTCGTTACTCATCTCTACGTTGCCGCAGTGAATGAGCTCTATTGTTATTTGGCAGTTTGCTGTCGTGACTTTGTGACTGAAATAGACAGTGAAGTGGGGTGTCTTGTCCAGGTACACAAAAATAGTGGGCTTATGTGGGGACTGGGCAAATAGGCCACTTATAAAACACACAAGACTGACAGTTTAGAGAAAGAAAGAGAGAGTGAGATACTTTAGTGATCCCGAGGGAAATTCAAGTTTTGCTCAGTGGCTTTTGTGTCTTAGTCAAAGGTCTCAATGCTGTTTAACAGAATCATGGATAACTACTGTAATATGTTTATTTTTAACAATATCAAACTTCATTGGATAATAAACGTTTGTTATTTATTTTGGACAATCAATATGACTCCCGCATGCTGTCTTAGTCTTGGTTTTCTTTTCTGGTTTTATCTCATGAAGGGAGGGAAGGTCTGAGGAAGGTCAGAGGGACAGTGTGTAGTAAACTTCTTGAAAATGTTATAAGTTAAGTGTGTCTCCTTCTGTCCTCATCCTCCTGTCGCCCAGTCAGATGTGCAGAGTCTAAGCAGAAACGAGAGAACCAATATGAGCCTATTTGAGGTCTGACCAGGGCACTTGACATGACATGAGCAGCTACGAGGGCGTCACCAGCAGCATCAGCAAACCTCTTTCCATTTCTGCTCCCAAACGGAACTTCTGCTTTTCAGAACAATCTGAAAATAGTAATAGTAACACAATTTAGACAATTAGTGTTTGCAAAAAAAACTCAAGTATTATGCTTCATATAGAGGAATAATTAGGCCTAAGCACAGACTTAGGAAGTGTCACAGAAAATTATTTCAAAAGCAATCAAAATGTACTAATGTACAGCCTGCTCTTGTACTAGCGCTACTTAAATTGCATATGTAATGTACTCATTTAGAAATAAGAGAATGGCTTAAAGACCTTTACAGGAGTCATCAACAGAAGAAGCTCACAGTGTTAGCATCTAAGCTAGCGCTAGTTAAGTTTTGAAGAGAAAAATGTCAACCCGTCTTTCTGCATTTAACCTAGACCCAAGACATGCATCTAACACCCCCAATGTTCTGAAAAAATGCTTAGAAATCAATCCGACCAAATTGGTTGGAGGTAGGGTTGCCAACTCCCTGAAAAATAAACAAGGGACACCTCATTGGCAGGGCTGGTGTACTGTCGATTTGAGCTACCCGTCGTTTTGAGCTACATAGCACTACTGCGCATGCGCACACACATACAACTGGTTTTATTGTATGTTTTGACCAGTTAAGCATGTAAGCATGTAAGCATGTAAGCATGTAAGCATGTGCGTATTAGATTTCTGGCAGAATACCTACGTTAGAAGGCAGGTAGCTCATTTCGACGGGACAGCCCATTTCAACAGAACACTGTAAAGCACTGTTGGCGCCCTGTCGTCCATGCTGCTTTGTTACAGAGGGGAACCCTCAGGCCTTCAAGGTATTCAGTGAAGGCCCAAGAAAAAATATTGAATACATTTTTGTACTACTAATATAATTTTAAAAAAAATGTATTCAGTGAGTAATAAACACTACACTAGTAATAATTTCTAGATCATTGTTATAAACTTGGACTGATATTTCTTGGGAAACAAGGGGTTAATATAATGGAATGGAAATGGACCAATCACATTTTTTCTTCCAATACGCCCCCTGGGACGTAGCTCGGAGCTTGCGGAGGCTATGGAGCCTGCAACCGGGCCAGAGCTCCGCGAAGGCTGCCGTGGAACTGAATATTGCAGACCTACATTCAGATTGTGACAAGGCAACCCCCTCAAAATTTTTTGCGACCCACCTGAGGGTCGCAACCCAGGCTTCGGGGAACAATGCTATAGATCAGACATGTCCGAACTATGGTCCGTGGGCCAAATGCGGCCCCCAGACAAATTTTTCTTGACCCTCAGGTTTCCAGGTGAATTGGCCCAAATGACCTTCCAGCAATTAAAAATTTACTTTTTACCTCAAGTTTTTTGAAAATCTACCTTGATAAAGCAAATATTTTTTATTTAGTTTTAAGGATCTAAGCATGAATAAAGACTGATGGCTCATTCTAATGTGTTAAATCTGCACATATTTTTAATTATTCTCTGTATTGAGCATCAGTCTATGGCCCTCGATCAGCCCTCTGCTTCATCTGCGTTTAGATTTGTGGCCCTTCATGAAAAAAGTTTGGACACCCCTGCTATAGATGTATCATGTAGATGAAAATGTATTGTGTTTTGTGTGTGATTTATGGCATTTGTCTTGATGGTAATGTTGTTGTTGAATTGTATTTTAGAGGATAATTATAATGATGAATTTGGTAAGTGTACATTTTAGAGGATATTGATTACAGTGAATCTGAGTATTTTTTGAAGATAATGATGTAATTTGAAATCTTGTATTTATGGAAATTAAAATAAATAAATGTTGATTGTTTTAAATGTTTTATGTTTAATTGGATAGTGGTTATTTTAATGAGTCACTGTTACTGATGAAATGTTGTTGTTAGAGTTGGTCTAATGTAAATAGTTTCTTTAATGTATATTGTACCTGCCCAAAGACCGCAGATGGAAAGTAGCTTGTAGCTAAATCTGGAACAGAGCATATTTTCTCTCTGAGATTCATGTTTCTGTGCACTGTCCTTGTCTTATACACAACATTATGATAATTAAATAAATAAACACTTTTTTTTTTTGTATTTTCATAACCGTCATCTAGTGTGATCAGATGCCACAGATTGGCTGCCTTTCTTTCTTCAGTCTGCCCCATGGCAGCTGTGGCTATAATAAGCGTCATCTAGTGTGGAGTGACCAATACATTAATATTGAAACATAAATCTCCTGTGAGAATACAATGGATATGGATAATTATTGTTTTATTAGTATATTAAATGGGTCTGAGTAGGCAAACTTAATCTATTTATCATGTATCATATAGTTGCTGCCAAACAGGATTGGAAAAATTTACAGACCAAAATGATTATCTCAATGAAGTCTTTATTGTCTCCAAGTGGAAGAAATTAATCTTGGACCTGAAAGGCCACAGTAAAGTAGACAGCTGACAATCACCATAAACTTCATTCATTCTTCACCCTGTAGGATACCCATACATTATGGCAGAGGTACATATTTAAAGGAAAAAAGATGTATTCGTGTATAACATGTCTCTAAAAAGCTCAAAGTTGAGTTATTATTAACAGATTTATAAAGAGAGAGAGCATTTGTATTAATCGGTCAACTTATCTCTTAATAATATTTCAGCTTTACCCAAATAAACTATAAAGGCAATCCCATTCCCAGTCTTGAGAGAACCCAAGAGCTGTACCTATAGCTGTCAACACATAAGACGAGGTCAAATACCCCCCTGTGAGAAACCCCAAAACCGAAATGGCTATGATTTTGCATTGTTCATTTTTATGCTTAATTTTTTCCTTTTCAAATCGTTTTTGCCAGTCCTTCATGTTCTCCCAGAATCGCCTTTCCTCTTCTTCCCTCTTCTTCCTCTCCTCTTTAAATTGCTTCTCTGCTTCTTCGCTCTTCTTCCTCTCCTCCTCTCTGATCCACTCTTGCTCTTCCTCAAACTTCTTTCTCTCCTCCTCTCTGATCCACTCTTCCTCTTCCTGCTTCTTCCTCTTCTCTTCCTCTTCAGCGCGTTTCCTTTCCTCCTCAAGTTTCCTCTGAGCTCTCTTGTACATCTCATTCGTGTAGTGCTGTCCTCCATTTTCCTTCACCATCTTCTCAATCTTCTTTAGGAGTTCCCTGACCTGGGTTCTGTCTTGAATCTTGTTGTTAAATGCATGGTATCTTCCTCCACACTGATGTTTCAGACGACGTAGGTGCTCACTCTCACTGATGTATTCATGCAAAGTCTTGTCCTCCAGAAGGTCTGTGTGAGTGAACAGTAGTATTGTGTACATTGAGGCATCAGAACCAAAATTATCTTCAATCCACTTCACAGCTGCTCTCTCCTCTTCTGTGAATCTGGCTTTTACATTTATCACTAACACAATTGCATGAGGTCCAGGAACAGACTTAACAACAATACAGTCCTCAATGTCTGTTTTCAGTTCCTCGTTGGTTTTCTTGGTGTCAAAAAGCCCTGGTGTATCCACAACAGTAATGAGCCTACCGCTGTCTTCACTCTCAGCTTTATCACAGGTGTTGGTCACAGACTCAGCCGATACTGCAGTTTTAAAAACTTTCTTGCCCAGAATGATGTTTCCAGATGTACTTTTTCCTGATCCTGTTTTGCCGACCAAAATGATCCTCAGCTCTTAAGACAAGAGAGAAGTTTAGACCATTAAAGATTCTCAGTCAAATCAAATCAACAACAATTTACCTACCTGTAGGATTTGTGTCTTGAACACAGGCTGCAATCCGGAAAAGCAAGAGAAAAGCTGGTATCCCGATGCAAAACATCTTACAGTTTTATCTGTTTATTATGAATATATTGTATAGGGCACAAAAGCACCGATCCTATTGTCTTCCTCCTTGGTAAGTCATGAGAAGACTGTTACCTGCTGACGTGAGGCGCTCCTATGAAGGGATCCGGAATATCAACCCTAGTTTATATCATAGCAGCTGTGAATTGAAGTGCAGTAACAAAAATGGATTATCAATTATTAAAAGGCTTAACAGAATACTGTCCTAAATGTTAAGAACCAAAAAAGAAAAAAGAAAGTTTGATCTGAATTTTAAATCTATTTTTATTTTCGATGGCGTGGACAAGAAACACAGTTTCGTTTAGCTGAAAACGTAACCGAGAAATAGTGATGGAATAATGGCACCATCTAGTGGCTGTGGCTTTTTTCTTTTTTGTTTAGTTAACTTATCTTAATACAGCCAATAAAATGCGTTATTATGTATAGCCTATTATTAGATATTATTATATTACAAATATAAATGAATTGACAAATACACACTTTAAAATATCATTTTCAGTCTCTTCAGATTCAACCATTTTGGCACAAGCTCCAGTCAAAACAAGCAAAGTGAAAACGGTAATACTGGCTTGAAACTTTTTTTTTTTTCTCCCAGTAAAGTCACTTGGTTGTGAGTATAGAGAAGCATAAACCTCTTAGGTATTTTGAAGTCAGTGCCAAAGCTTTTCTTGATATTTCTTTTCTTTCTGTTTTGCCGACCAAAATGATCCTCAGCTCTTAAGACAAGAGAAAAGTTTAGACCATTAAAGATTCTCAGTCAAGTCTGATCAAAAATAATTTACGTACCTGTAGGATTTCTGTCTTGAACACAGGCTGCAATCCGGAAAAGCAAGAGAAAAGCTGATATCCAGATGTAAAACATCTTGCAGTTTTATCTTTTATTGTGAGTATATTATAGGGCATAAAAACACCAATCTATTGCCCACTTTGGTAAGTCATGAGAAGACTGTTTAACCTGAGACCTTTTCAACTAAATTGTGGTTATGAAGGTATCCAGACTATCAAAGTTCATATGCTAGCAGCTGTGAATTTAAGTGAAGTCTGTGTAGTTCCTTGGTTGTGAGTATAGAGAAACATAAACCTCTTAGGTATTTTGAAGTCAGTGCCAAAGCTTGTCTTGATATATCTGATGATGATCTTTTGAAATTACTTATTAGCTATTTTTATTCCACGTGGTTTTGGACACCATTGCTTATATTCACTAATGTTTTATCATCATGTAAATACAATGTTCTCTAGTCACTCAATATTTTACTATTAAGAAGCAAGTTTAAAGAAACAGGACAAACGCTCCTCAATTTTCTCAGTTCAGAATATTTTTTCATGGCTTCTGTAAACTCCCTTAGACAAGTCTATCTGGTAAAGCTTCTTGAGTGAAGTGAATAGAAGTGACTTTTTTCAGCTTCAAATTGAGGAATACGTTTTGTTTTTTTTTTGTTTTGTTTTTTTCAGTTTTTTAGTTTTTTACACATCTACACATCATTTACACATTACACATCTACTACTACAGATCTAAGGAGTATTTATAGGCTATGCTTTATCACTGAACTTCATATCATAGTAAAAATCCCATTACTTAACACTTTTGGATGAGCCCTGAATCAGTGAAATAAGTTGAATGAATGAATCTTCCATCTTGAAGCACTGTATGAAAATTGCCTAAGTCACATTTTATTTTACTTGGGCAAAATAAGTCACACTCTTGTTTTAGGCAATTATCATAAAGAGGCATTATCACATGATTTACTCAAATGAGAGCGTTGGCAATTTTACCATAGGTGGCCAGCAGGGGGAGGAGAGGATTAAGGCAAAAAAAAAAAAAAAAAAAAAAAAAAAAAAGTCAATTTTGAAAAAAAAAAACCAAAAAAAAAAAACAACACTAAGGCGATTATTTTAGGAAGGTGTTGATATGAAAGATCTATAGTACAGTAGGTATTCATGTTTTAAAGTGGTGTATTAGTTTGTCACAGCCAAATGTATTCACTACTTATTTATATACAAAATAAAAAATAAAATACCACACATGTTTGTTGTTACCATCTGCTCAGCGAAGAAACAAAACTTAAACAAAAATAAAGAGAAGTGAGTGGTAGCATCATCCAGTGGCATTGAGCTGAGTGTGACCTAGTGTTTGCATTACTTTTTATTATGTGTAGCTAAATAATCAATATAGAACAGATGCCTGAATTGTTATTACTCTATCATGCTAGAAAACAAGAGCTTGTTTATTTAGAGTTTTTCCAAATGGATTTTAGACAGTTGTAGTTTTGTATTTTATTGTGAATATATTGTATAGGAGACAAAAACACTGATATTCCTCCTTGATCATGAGATTGCTGTGTTACCTGTTGAAGTGAGGTGTGGCTATGAAAATATCGGGAATATCAACCCTAGTTCATATCAGCTTTTTAAATGTATTTATAATTATGAGGGAGAGGAAAAGACGATACCAGTTTCATTTAGCTGAAAACACAATTACTAGAGCAATAGTGATAGAGTAATGATGCAATCAGTGGTGGGTTATTTAAATGAATGTATCAATTTCTTTTTTGTTTTGTTAACATGTTCATACATAAAATAAATGCTGTATAATGATGTGATAGATATAATTTGATATTATTTGTTTATTACTAATATTACCCTAAAAGAAAACATGTTCATAGATGCAAAAGTTTTTAACAAATAAGACATGCATGTATTGATATTTGCCACTGATGTCATCAACTTTCTCTGGGGGTGTGAGCACTGCTCTATCTGAGGACTGTTAAACTTAAATTTGAGCTTTGTTTTAACACAATATGACCTCACACAGTCACTCTCACCTTTTTAGATGAAATTCAAACTCCTAAACACTACCATGAACACTTGTATTGATCCCAGGCTCCTGAAAATTAGTTGTTAAAATCCATTTTGTATTTTTTCTTCAAGTTTCAGACCATCTGAAAACGTAGGCTGTGTTTGCAAATGTGTGCATTGTGTCACCATGATAAGTGCTGAACATTCCACCATAGAGATACATGCAGAACACCCCCAGTGCGATGTCACTGCAAAGTCTCAATATGGTGGAATCTTCAGCAGTAACTATGGTGATCCAATACATACATTAGCAAACAGGGGCTTAAATCTGTTTCCACTTTTGAAAATAAGGTAAGCTATGCTTTTAGCTTCACCTAAATACAATATATGAATTTAGGCACTATTATTTAAAGGCGTATTGGAATATTGTCAAGAGCCAAAGAAAACAGGCGTCATCTAAAACTTTGTAAAGCTGTTTATATTTGTGAGGGAGAGGACAAGACAAAAAACATAACCAGCTATGCAGGGCAACAGTGGTGATGGCTTTTTTTTCTTCTTTTTTCTTTCTTTCTTTTAATAAAATACATAACATTATGATAAATAAATAGGAACTTTTGGAATTTGACAGGCCTACTGTGTATTTATTACAAGAATCACGCAATTCCCAACTGTAATTTGGAAAGTTATTATTACTAAGACTGGGAATCACAGGGTCCCTGACAATTTGATACATAATACATGGCTCATGATACGATATTATCACCGTATGGTGATACATGCTATAATCAACATACTGTTGCACACAATACACCTATTTTTATTCTCAAAACAGTGAATATGTCAAGTGTATTGTATTCCTTCCGTTAAATAAGCAATAAAATTGTAGCACTAACCAAAAATTTTTTAAAACTTACCCAAAAAGACTCTCGGCTATATACTGATATAGCTGCCTACAAATTTAGTATCATGATATATTGACATTTCAGTATATCATGATATGATATTTTGATATTTTTGCACACCCCTAGTTATTATTATTGCATGATTAATCAAGTGAGTCCCAAATACCAAAACCAAAAACTTGTTAATTTTAGTGTGAATATTTGTGATTGAAAGAAATAATAGGCTACTATATCATTGAATTACATGTTGGACTTGTGTTGAAGAGATTGATTATGATATAGTTTCAGCACAAACAATAAAAATGAGAGAGTAACAGATATGATTTGGATGTCTGGGAGTGAACTGGTAGACTAAGCACCTACAATATTTGAAATGTTTGTTCATGCTGTAGAGTGATTGCGTAATTGTTTGTGTTTTAATAAAAGTCACTTAATAATAATCCAAAGAAAGTGGTGACTTTCCATCTTAAAATACTCCAGAGAATGACTTTCAGAGAAATGAAAGTCATTCTCTTGAAGGGTATGGAAGGGAGGATAATAATGAATAATCAATAACGCACACACCAGAGTCTTCTGGATTCACACCTTCTAATAAACTTGAACGCGCTCAGTCTGTATATGAGCATGTTTGTTTCCTATTGATGTGCTCATCAAAACAGTTCCCCTATTTTCAAAATGTTGTCCAACAAACTCAAAAGCTTGGATTATTTATTTCTCTATTTGATTTTTAAGTCTTCTGGTGTCTTTTATATTTTATACTGTAATATATACTGTACACAGTGCCGACATGTAGACTAATTATGATAACATTTATTAATTCTGGTTTGATTTCTGTGGAAAACATCTGTTGTCTGTGAGAAATTACATTAATATGGTTTATTATTGTTTTTATTTCTTTTTATATTTTTCAATAGTCTATTAAATGTACTGAATTTTGTGTCTGGACAAACTGAAGCTCTAGTATTGTCCCATATATTTATATTTAAATAGTGTCTCCTCGCATTGTGTAGACCAAAATAATTACATTACAGAACAGTTTTGATTGTCTTTATTTATCTTTAACAAAGGGCACAGTACAATGACTTTCACCATAAACTTCATACATAACAATTTTCACTGCAGGGCATCCATTCATGATGACATAATGAGGCACAAATCAAAAGATCCATTTGCATATTTACATTGATTGTAGTTCAGTCTCTGAAAAGCTTAAGTTATTATTTTTATTGAGTTATTATTACACACAGAAACGCTAAATTTGTTTGCAGTACTGTATGTGAAAAAGAGAAACAGAATTAGTAATAATCAGTCATCTAACTTAGCCCAAGTAAACTAGAAACACAGTCACTATAAGAAACCCCTAGAGCTGCACCTGCACCTGCCAACACGTAAGAGGAGAAAAAATACCCCCCTGTAAGAAGACCCAGAGCCGAAGCAGTCATTATTTGACAAGATTCTTTGATCTTTCTCTCCTTCTCCTTCCTTCTGATCTGCTCTTGCTCAATCTCCTTTCTGATTTGCTCTTTCTCTTCCTGCTTCTTCCTCTTCTCTTCCTCTTCAGCGCGTTTCCTTTCCTCCTCAAGTTTCCTCTGAGCTCTCTTGTACATCTCATTCGTGTAGTGCTGTCCTCCATTTTCCTTCACCATCTTCTCAATCTTCTTTAGGAGTTCCCTGACCTGGGTTCTGTCTTGAGTCTTGTTGTTAAATGCATGGTATCTTCCTCCACACTGATGTTTCAGACGACGTAGGTGCTCACTCTCACTGATGTATTCATCCAAAGTCTTGTCCTCCAGCAGGTCTGTGTGAGTGAACAGTAGTATTGTGTGCATTGAGGCATCAGAACCAAAATTATTTTCAATCCACTTCACAGCTGCTCTCTCCTCTTCTGTGAATCTGGCTTTTACATTTATCACTAACACAATTGCATGAGGTCCAGGAACAGACTTAACAACAATACAGTCCTCGATGTCTGTTTTCAGTTCCTCGTTGGTTTTCTTGGTGTCAAAAAGCCCTGGTGTATCCACAACAGTAATGAGCCTACCGCTGTCTTCACTCTCAGCTTTATCACAGGTGTTGGTCACAGACTCAGCCGATACTTCACTTTTAAAAACATTCTTGCCCAGAATGATGTTTCCAGATGTACTTTTTCCTGATCCTGTTTTGCCGACCAAAATGATCCTCAGCTCTTAAGACAAGAGAGAAGTTTAGACCATTAAAGATTCTCAGTCAAATCAAATCAACAACAATTTACCTACCTGTAGGATTTGTGTCTTGAACACAGGCTGCAATCCGGAAAAGCAAGAGAAAAGCTGGTATCCCGATGCAAAACATCTTACAGTTTTATCTGTTTATTATGAATATATTGTATAGGGCACAAAAGCACCGATCCTATTGTCTTCCTCCTTGGTAAGTCATGAGAAGACTGTTACCTGCTGACGTGAGGCGCTCCTATGAAGGGATCCGGAATATCAACCCTAGTTTATATCATAGCAGCTGTGAATTGAAGTGCAGTAACAAAAATGGATTATCAATTATTAAAAGGCTTAACAGAATACTGTCCTAAATGTTAAGAACCAAAAAGAAAAAAAGAAAGTTTGATCTGAATTTTAAATCTATTTTTATTTTCGATGGCGTGGACAAGAAACACAGTTTCGTTTAGCTGAAAACGTAACCGAGAAATAGTGATGGAATAATGGCACCATCTCGTGGCTTTGGCTTTTTTCTTTTTTGTTTAGTTAACTTATCTTAATACACCCTGCAGTGACTATTTGTCAAAGAAAAGTAACACACAAAGGCGGTGAGCAAATTCAGAACTAAACATAACTCAGATAATCACTTTTGGGCACCATGGGTATGTGGTTTACGCAGTACAAATCAATGTCCATGACCAGAGCTGATTTTCCAAGATTTATTTTCCAGTTTTTTGGGAAGCAACAAGGGATACATGTTGAAGGCCTGCTCCTGCTGCCTCTCCTCTTGACTGGTAAAAAACCACAGGCCCACCCAGGTGCACTCTGGTCTACGTGAACCACCCTCTTTTATCCCCTAGGTGACCCAAATTAAACCAAAAACAAAAGAAGTGCTAATGTAAATAATACCAACTTAGACTAAGAAATTGGCAAGAATAATATTAACATAGCAAAAATATATTATGCAAATTAACAAAATTAAATTAGTAAGCTAATTAACAAACAAAAATAATAAACTAATTTTAGAATCAACTAAATAAGCAAATAAAATACTTTATTATGTATAGATATTATTCTATTACACATACAGATGAATGGACAAATACACACTTTAAAATATCATGAAGTCACTTGGTTGTGAGAATAGAGAAACATAAACCTCTTAGGTATTTTTGAAGTCAATGCCAAAGCTTTTCTTGATTGAAATTATTTATTAGTTGTTTTTATTCCTGTGGTTTTGGACACCATTGCTTCTATTCACTAATGTGTTATCATCACAAAAATAAACAGAAGTGAGTGGCAGCACTATCCAGTGGCATTGAGCTGAGTGTGACCTAGTGTTTGCATTACTTTTATTATTATAATCAATATTGAACAGACCTCTGAATTGTTGTATCATTCTTGAAAACAAGAGGGCTGTTTATTTTGTTGTAAAAGTGCTTGATGAAAATAATGAATAGGCCTAATGTTCTAGAAATTGATGGTGTTTTAGACTCATAAGGAAAAGTCTCTGAGGGTGAATTGGTAAGTACAGTACAATGGATTCAAAGTTAATAATCATCATAATGGTACTTTGTTATAATATAAGAATTTTTCTGAGAACATGGTCATCTTCCTTGCAACTCTTGACAATGATCTCCAGGGAAATATAAAATTAAGTAATTATCTTACTTTCGATTTCCTAACAGGCCAATAATGGAGCAATTACGGTGTAGCCCTTGACTTTATTAAAAGAAAAAAAGTTCCGGCCTATCCCGTATAGCTATGGCAGTGTCCAGTCGGTAGAGGGCACTATTTATATAACCTAGTAGTTCAGTTCGTAGGCTATGTGAATCGATATCATACAAATAATGATAAAAAGCCTTAAGTGAATATAAAATACGTTTGTTGTGGCGCCAATGTTTGCTATCTCAATAAATAATAAATAAAACAAAAAGACCTACTTGTAAAGAAGATGCAGTGAGATCCCACAAACATCCTTTGCGCTTTGACAGACTTGTGCTGGGGTCCGACAGTCTGTTGGTTTGATCAGTTTGCGTAAGTCTCATCTCTTCATTGTATTACTCTGAAATGGTCGCTGATTGCACCGGGAACAGCTCGTACGTCAGCAGCCCTCTGTGTTGACAGCATCTGTCCTGCATCAGGTTGCGGCAGTTTTCCATAATTTTTTTTTCTTAATTCGGCAGCTTTAGAGACATGACTGGTTCAGAGAGGCTCAATCAGATCAGCTCAGCACCGGGCGGTACCGTACGGTCTATGGGCGGTACATTGTGAAGAGGCTAGGCCTATGAGAGATTTTGTTTTTGTTTTCATTAGCCTATTTATCAGTGCACATTTTATGAGTTATAAAGGTATAAAGATCTCTTAATAAATATAAATATCAATATCAATATCAATGAATTTCAATGAACAAACATTAGAGCATTGTACTGAAATAATGTATTTAAATATGACCCAAGCCTGTTATTGGACAAGCTGCTTATATGATGTAGGTAAACTACTAATAGGTGTGTGGGATGGAAATTAGTTTCTTGACGTAACTATAGTTCTATGAGTGTGTGCGAGCCCACCCACGGGCTTCGCTATTGGATACACTCACAGGAAGAAGCGGGTGAGAGAAGAGAAAATAGATTAGCCTACTGAGTGTAGCCTACATTATACGACAGTCAAATAAGGGAATGATTCATCTTCCACGTGTCTTACGCCTTTTAAATTGTTACATTGACAAAAGAATGGGCCACACTATGAGGTTTTATTCATTTATTCATTATAACTCATTGGATCTGGCATTTTTCAAGTGCTTTGTTGTGTTTCCCGGTGGTATGCGGCCCAATAACATGTCTCAGATCCGTGCTGAAACTAGGCCGACGAGCCAAGGGATAGAGCGCACCGCATGGATCGTCTCGCCCTGGCCCTGCGTTCCCTTTCCAGTGCGCACGACTTGCGCGCATGGCTTGATATGAGCGGAGAGAGACCTTGCGGTGCTGGGATGGACCAGTCTCTGCCGGGAGGCCACCTCTCTTCGCGAGTGTTTCAAAGACTTTCTCCAGATTAGTACTGTCTTTCGCGGACGTTTCAAAGTAGGCACAGTCGTTCCCAAATTCTTGATAAATGTCTGTGGGAGACACCTTTCTCGCGGACTCGTGGAGATCCACTTTGTTTGCGCACACCACCAAGGGCACAAGTGCGCACTGATCTGTTAAACACGACTTTGGCTGTTTGGATTTTGCTGCGAGTATTTCAGTTCGCAGAGCACACACTTCTTCAAAAGACCTGTGATCATCTACACTGAAAACCAGAAGGAAAATGTCTCCTGTAAAGCATTAAAACATCACATTAACAGATGTGTTCCAATGTTATGTTAAAATATACCACATTACACACAAAGATACGCACCAGTCAGGATAGATAATCTTCGTTTGGCGGGGAAGTCTCTTTCCTTAGACGCATCTAAGATGTCAATCTGGTAAGTCTCTCCGCGTATACGGAACAGTTTTCGGAGAAAGTCCTCAGAGGTTGGTTTATACTCTTCCACAAATCCATCTCGAAGGTATCGTCTTAAAATGGAGGTTTTGCCAACGCGTGGCGCACCAAGAACTACTATGCGCTTGCAGTTCTGTGGCTTTGTTATGTAGTCAGCGGAATCTGCTCGGAGATCTTGGGCAATGTGTCTGTGCTGCGCATGGCTTTGAAGAATCAGAGCAGCCAAATGGTCTAGTGGAGACCGTTTGCACTGGAGACTGTTGTTGCCATTCTGAAGTCGCAGTGCTGAATCTAAGCAGGTCTGTTTCTCTTTTTTCCATTGAGATGAGACTATTTTGAGCATTCCTAGACCCGTTTTAATGCCCGCGGAGCCGAGATGCTGTAAGGCACTTTTGTACGCCAACATAAGTTTAGATGAGCCCGCATTCTGCTCGTTAGAGTGCTGACTTTCTAGTAGAGCTGATGTCTGAACACTGGGGATACCTACTGTACCTACTCCTATCATTCTGCGCTGGTGGAGGTGAATCTTGAGCTCAGGTTGAGCCGTGTAATAGGCTATGTGGATTTGATGACTCTGTGGACGCTGACTGCTGGTGCTGTAGTCTCTCCCCTTTAAATAGTCTGTGAGACGAATGACTGATATTGTTTTGGGAGGGGCCTGCGCTTGATAAGTGTAATTCATTCATTTAATCATTTAATGAAAGACGTTACTATGCTGCTAGTCCTATATACAGTCAGCACAGGCAAAATTAGTTAGCTCAATGAACAAACCTACAAACAATTTTAAATTATGCTATAATTTAATAATAATTGAATAACCCCCTCTCTCTCTCTCTCTCTCTCTCTCTCTCTCTCTCTCTCTCTCTCTCTCTCTCTCTCTCTCTCTCTCTCTCATGTAAAAAAGCAGCGCCCCCTAAAGGCGAGTTTGGGGAGCTGCAAATTACTCGTTTCCTTGGTAACGTGAACCGTAAGCGCGAGCGTGTGTTAGCTTAGCGATAGCCTGACAACCAAAACCCATGGATCTATTAAAATAAGTTAAAGCCCAATGTTTAGCTATGTAAGAAACCAATAACTTGAACCAGCTGAACCAGTTTTACCTAATGACTTTAGGAGCAGCGCTTGAGACGATAAAATGAAAAAGGTCAACACAAGTGAGCTGGGTGTTTCAGGTGAGATAACAATGGGCATATCTGATTTCTGTGTTATTTTTAAATTATTATTTTGTTTAAACTTCTACATTTAATGGCATGCTATTTTGTTTATTTTAGAGCTGATCAAAGCTGCTGACTCCAGGCAGGACTCCAGAGGTAGGCAGATTGTAATAATGACCTATATTGTTGGGAATTTGCTCAGATTATAACTTGTGTTGTGTCTGTAGAACCAGACTGGTTTATTTATGACAACCAAGGGATGATTTTGCCTCACAGCATTTTGGGTAGCCTGGAGAACTTCAGGATTTATGTGGAGGCCAAAGGAAAAACGAGGGTAATCCTATCATTTTTCAGCTGTGTGTAGATCTGCTAAGAATTCTTTTTTATTCACATTTTTTATATGCAGCTTTTGAAAAAAATACCAGATAATGACCATTTATTTGAGGCTTTAAGAAAACATAAATTCAGTGCTGTAGAACATAAAAGTGAGGTCCCCCCAGGTGTCGTAGAAAATGCTTTGGAGCATTGGAACACACATATGAGGCTGCGGAGACGTCAACAAAGCAGTTTATCTGGTAAGAAAGCCATGCACAAGTAAGAGTCCTTAAGTCCTATCAATGTTCTTTTTACTAACATCGTTGCACTTATGGTATCTCTGGAGGTTCTTTGAGCAGGCCAGTTGAAAACCTCCTGATGAATCATGCTAATCGATTCAGAGAAACACAGGAAAAAAGAGAGATGCTAAATCAAGTCTTGCCACTTGTTCACTCTGGATATGTATGACACATCTTCATCTCTTGAGTCACCTGGTTTTAAAGGCATGGGCTGTCACATATACTGTGTGTTTTCAGGGTCACTGTGTAGGAAGTGAATTCTGGAGGCTTCCCCAGCATTATGGAGATGAAATGAGTGGCATAGCAGCTACTCTGACTAAGACAGAGAGAGGCATCCAGGAACCTATCGCCCAAGTTGGCTTACCATGCAGCATACGTCAGGAATCAGGTTTAAAATTAGTACAATATTCACCTTTACCACAAAGCATGTCCTAGTTTTTACCTATGCTTACCTTTTTGATTTTCATTTGTTAGAGATGAAAGATTGAAATCTGTAATGTTTCTAGGACTTAAGGATACAGCGTGCCATGCATCTCGGGCATGGCATCAGAGCATATATTTGAAAGAGCAATGCCAGAAGCTTGGGGAAATTGTACAAGAAGTGGATTTCAAAAAGCCGGTAAAACAAATGATAACAGATACACACTTAAAACATATGCAGTCTAGTGTAGGGCAACACAATTTTATGAACACAATTTACATGTTTATTTATTTATATATATATATATGAAATTTTACACATATGAACACAATTTACACACTTTTATATTCTAAGACAGATTACTTATTTTTGTATACATTTTAATATATTTTTGATAGATTTTTTATATCTGTTATCATCATCATCTCTTTATTTCAGACTCAGGGTTATAAAAGACAGCCATGCCAGTGTTTCCATAGAGAAAACTGGCACCTCCATAAGACAGTTCTCAGAATCATTTAGGCCACAGATGAACTTGTACATGGAAGTTCTCATAAAAAGGTTCACATTTTTCAGAAGCATTCTGAGCAGCATTATCATTTGAGATAACATAGAAAGCTAGCAGATGGAGTTAACATGTCCAAATAGTCACAATTTTCAAACTATTACATGTTGTACTGTATGCAAAAAGCATAATAGGGTGCTAATAAGAACAGCCTTCCTATACATTCATCTGCCAGCTTAACTCAATAGTGTCATGAAATCAAATGATTATGGTGAATCATAGAGAAACCTAACTGTAGTTTCTGGAGTAAGATCCATTAAATAATGGTCTTTGTATATTACAAACCTTGTATTAGAGCATTCAGGGCACAAATGGATACAGCTAGGACCAATTTCTTGTCATCTGTTGTAGTAGCAGTAACAGGTGTCAGTAACCCAAAGAGACAACAAACAGGTGTCATACCTGGCCTCTTTGAGACAAACTGGTGTGTGGTTGACAGATGACAACGATAGCAGTGTGTTCTTACACAATGGTGGCTAATGCAATGATTGAACTCTGATATGATCACATAGAAACAGAGCAGAACACTCTCGACAAGTGGAAATTGTTTTTGTTATAGACATACATCTTCAACCAGAAGCAATGATAAGCAATATTAAGCAATGTTAAAAATACAAAAATGACACCAATATTGTTTAAATCTCATCTGTTTCACTGTGTTTTCAGAATATGGATAAACTGGAAGTGATTGGCTCCTCCAAGCCATTTTGTACTTTGCATTGTAGCAATGCATTACTGGAGGATCATAAAGAGAAAGAACCCAAAGACACCCATGAGTTAGTATTTTTGAAAGTGTAATTTTAATTCAAGCATAAACACTATTTGTTTTGCTGTCCCTCTTTCTCAGAGACCTGGTTCTACAAAATAATGATATGGAACCAGAGCCAAAAAAGTCAGCTGTCCCTGCTTTAAGAATCTCTGGGCAACTTGCAAACTGGACTGGAAACTCTAACACTAATCAGGTGCAGAGTCTCATAAATGTTGCCCAAGTGAGATGCATTCTATTACATCAATATGACCAACAATATGACCTTTTGTAGCTGACATTAATAATAATACTGTAAACATGGTGAATCACGGCCAGGTAGGGATCAATGCCACTCTCTTGTTTGAGGGCCCCACTGGTGAACTACAGCGGTCCCATCTGGATCTGCACAATGAGGGAACTACAGCCATCTTCTACAGTTGGCAGCAGCTCCCTCTGCCTCAGCACTTTCCTCACCTGTTGCCGTGCATAAAGAGACCACACTTCTACTTCAGCTCCAGCTCTGGTAAACATGCCTTCCTCCAGCACTCACATAGCTTGCCTTCACTGCTCGTTCAAATTAAAATCTAACTTACAAAACAATTCTCAGCCCTTAAGAACAAGATGTGAATTTCTAAAGAAGAAGTAGTGAGACATCAGACAAAGCCATTGGTTCTATCCTGCAATTATAAACTGTGGACTAAAACTTTAAACTCTCATAGTAGTGGAGTGAATTTTCATAACTGGTACCATACCGATGTTTTGTGTTTCCAAATATTTTTTACCACTAACAGGTGTGATCCTCCCTGGTGATACAAAAAAAATAGACTTTATCTTCAAGTCTGACTCTCCTGGCATCCAGACAGAGCTCTGGCAGCTAAATACTCACCCTGTCCTACTACAAGGAGCCCCCATACATGTAACTCTGAGGGGTGTGGCTCTGTATCAGGACAAAACTGCAGAATACCGGCTGTACATTGAGGTATCTATTAAAACTAGACAGACAGACCAAGAATACATACTTAAATAAAATTTTACATGTATATTTTTTCTTTTTTATTCATAATCAGAAAAGGCTGGAGAAGGTGGTGACCTTGAAAATATGTCAAGCAATAGTGTATGAGATGGTGCAGGGGATCCACTCACCAGATAGACCCAGTTCCCCTGCAGAGCTTCATCAAACTGAGGAGCAGGAGTTTCTTTATAAAAACCCTAAGGTAAACTTCACAAAGCACCATGTGTTCAAAAACAGACCCCATTTCTGTTTTATTAAGGGTAGCTGCTTATTTTCTGTGTGAGTCATCGGCTTATTACAGTGTAACCTCACTCTTTTTGTCATTATACCTATTTATATAGCACAAATTGGCACTATCAGTAATCTACCATAATTATCCATCTAGAGGCTATGAGACAGTTATTAAATCTGTACTGTGTATTCGCTTTTTCAGTGATAATCATCTTGAATAGGCATTTATGCATGTAGTATTTGAATAGAATTACTTAATCAATCAATATTTTGTTTGTGTGTAGATATGTTATAAAAACCAGCCAGTTGAGGAGCTAAAGAAATTGTGGCATCAAGTCAAACCAAAAAGCCATTGGGATTTGTCTGTAGGTACTTTACGACAGGTACAAGGACTCATGTCTTGTAAATACTAGTGGTAATCAAAAACAATATGGTGGACTTTATTCATCCCAGTTTCATCTCTTCCTCATCTAGGCTCTGCTCTCTTTACCTGTTACAAAGACAGACGATGACTGCCTTAACCAAGATACAGGACTGGCCCAGCTCAACTCTGTGCTTCTACAGCTCTCTGAACCTTCACCTAAAATGCATAGTGCAACAATAACAACTATAGGGTAAGAATAAAGTGCATCAGTCATTGGTGCCATTAGATCACATGAACGTAGCAAATGGATTTAGTCACACGTGTAAAAGAAAGTGTGGCATCTCATTAACTCGTTTAGTGTTTTCTGAAACCATCACTGACATTTTCTTCTCAACCACTCCTAGTTGGTTATAGACTTAAAAAGAGTAATGACTGAGTAATGTTCATGCAAGAGGTTAGAGGGGAATGACTGAAGTGGTTTAGCTTATTCAAGAACCATAAACAACAAAAAAAAGACATTTTGTTGGGTTGTATTGAATGGATCAGTTGCACTTTTAGGGCAGTAATCATGGTGTGTACTGCCACCTGCAGGCAGTTGCTGTGGAGGGATCCATTAGACACCCTGACTAGTGAAGCTGTGAGGCTCACACACTTCCTCCAACTCTCTGAGAAAGCTACATGGATGGATAAAATAGAAAATAAAAAAGAAGACATCTCTTTGGACCATGGTAAGTATGAAAACCATAGTAAAAGTGACTATTAATTATTATTGCTCTTGAAATTATTTTTAATTTTACTGTATTACCACACTACAGACTTGAGTCCAAGTATAAGCGAAGAAAAGACTGATAAAAAAGGACGAACTTCTATAAAAGAGGAAAAGACAGTGACTCCAATCAAACAAAGTGAGGTGAGTTAGCAATAAAAATTCAGGAGAATCAGCTTCAAATGTTTATTTAGGTCTTGATGCAAGTTTAAAGCTTAACCCACTTGACCGATCCTTAAATTATAGTCATTGATCACATTCACTCCTTGACTGAAGCTGTCAGTCAAGTCATTTTTTTTGTTGTTGCTGTTGTTGTTTGCTTGTTTGTTTTGTTTTGTTTTTGCTTTTTTTGTAATGTAGGTTTTAAGATATAGACATACAGGTACATCACAGACAAAAATAAGATTCTCTTTTTCCTCCTTTTGAGTAAAAGATTGCTGAGGATATTTTTCCTCTTGTACTGGTTGAGTCATGTTTATGGTACTCTCTATTTCTCATATGCTACCATGGCAACAGCACGCTGGCTGTGAAAATGTGCACCTGCTTTTTAAATCTGAATCCAAGAGTACAGGCCAAGGCCAACTTGTATAAGTGTAGGTCAGGCTATGTCACACAGGTTTATATGTGCTTATGACACTGTAACACTATATTGTGTTTATGTATGTGTTTTGTTTCAAGATCCAACTAAATTATGTTCTATTACCATTTATATATTTTCACTGTATATCACAGGACAGAAAGAAAGGGAGAGAGAGTCGTACTGACCTGGGAAAGCCAAGAAAGGACAGACACAGTAAAGAGAGTGACTTACATCTGCAAGAGCAGGCCTCTGAAGGTCCTGCTTCTGACATCAACATGATGGACATTTACACCAGGCTTCTTCACCAAAAGGTCAGAAGTATCTGTAAAGCATGAATCAAACGTATTATGCAAATATGCTTTGAGTCTTTTTAATGCAGCATTTTTACACTTTTTGTTTTTGTTTTGTTACTGTTTAACAGGTTTATGGACTGATTGAAAATCTCGTGGAGTCTCTTTGTGTGCTTACTGATGAAGAGGCTTCCCTCTGATACTGTCACAAGACTGGAGAAATATTAAATAATAAAAGTTGAAATTATATTTATTTATTTATTTATTTTAGTAAAGTGGATCATCAAAGTAGTTTGCTGCCGATGTCATTTTTGATTGGATGACACTCGGTTAACGGGGATGCTGACTTTGCACATGACGCTTCTCACGTACCGCCCCTCTTTTACGCACCGCGTTGTGATTGCTGTGCGCGCTCCGAGTGCAGCTTCCCGGGCCGTGAGTGCGTGAGAGAGGGGTTGAGAGAGAGGGTCGTGTGGCTATCCTTGTCCTATGCGGATGTTAGCACTGTTTGGCCGCGTGAGTAGCCCCAATCATTCGGAGTAGGCCTGTTCCCGTTACTGTACTGTAGATTTACAGCGGTTGTATTCACTATAAAGCGGTGCAGGGATAACTGGTTGTCGGCAGAACCCATATCCCGGCGAGGGGATGCTAAGCTGCTGTCGACGCTGAAGAGAGCTCGAAAGGAAGGAGCCGAGCGCTGAAGATGCTCGGTGTACCGGGCAAGATGGGTGATGGCTGAGGTAGGGACACGCTGTAAGTGACTGCTATTTCTACTTTGGGATAGCATGTGTGTGTTCATGGTCGTTTTGTTTAATCAGAATTTTAAGTGGGATACAGTCAAACGCATCTGAAGGTAACGTGCTCTCATCCGCAAAGGGGGCGTCTCTGATTGACTGTGGCAGTGTTGCCTCATGCAGACCCCATCCTTGTGCCCTCAGCCACCTGAACATACCTGCGATTAAAGCGCATGCGCTCTGTTCAGCGTGCATGACGAAGTGACGTAAAGAGTGAGTAGTTTTGACGCATCAGAGAAGAGCGTCTGTAGGTGCCAGTAGTTTTGACCAAAAGAAACAATTCAGATTAAGTCGGGTTCTTGCAGGGAACGTATGACCTTGGAGCTCTGTTGCTATTATAAGGGATCTTGTCTTTTTTCGAGACATTTTTATGTGGCCAAGTTCTGAAATCACTCTTTTAGTTTGTTGTTTTATCAAACCCATAGCAGGCAGAGACTGATTTGCTTGTTATCTAAATACTGCAATGAAATTCTAATAACATATTAATGCTATATTATATTATATAACATATTAATGCGTATTGTTGTATTGTCTCTTGTCTCTCTCAATTTTTACTCTAGCCCAAGAGAAATTTCCTCATTCTGTTCATAGGCTTTTTTGATTTGTCTGTTGGCTAATAGACAAATAGACACACACACACACACAGAGAGAGAGTATTTGGAGACGTCAGATTCAGCCTGCACAGCACAGCAGTGTGTAGTCTCATCATGGCACAACATGAAGTCGCAGAAAGGTGATATTGTCTGAAGTTGCTGAAGCACAGTTTCTATTTTGCTCTTGGTTTGTGTCCGTTTCACTTTGTTTTTCTCCTTTTGCAGCTGTGAGGTCAGTGTAGCAAGGACGGTCTGTTTTGTGCTTTTTTCAAGTTAAGTTAAAGTCACATGTAACTTTTTAGAATAACACTGGACAAAAAACACAGCATAATTTTTTTATATTATATATATATATATATATATATATATATATAGATATATATATATATATATATATAGATATATATATATAGATATAGATATATAGATAGATAGATATAATTATTATTATTAATTTATTGTTCATTCCTTATTCCTTATTTAAATTTCATTTTTTTTGTATTGCACTGACAAATGTAGAACCACATGTCCATACTTTGAGTGGGCTTGCATTTCCACAAACCTGACTCTTATTTAACTCTTATAGACTTCTACAGTATGGCATAAAACGTATCTCGCTCAATAAAGAATCATGCAGGTGCACTTCCAGACATCTTCAAACATATTTTACATATTTGAACAAAAGAAGATAAATAATAGAAAAAGAAAGCGAAATTATAAACAATTATTTGGCTTGCATTACAGAATAGATAGGCCACCACTAGTACAGAGAAATGGTTTGGTTGTGGTTGATGGTTAATGTCTGTATAGAACTTGTGAGTGAAAAGTATCTCTGTTGCTCTCAGTGATGGGATCCCCAGGGCCCATGTGTGAAAGTGGATTGGGAGTCTGCATTGTCTCTTTTGCCTGTGAGAGAAAGAGCTGGCCTGAATAAAAGAAGTGAATGTTAAGTTTGATCAGACACCTGAGAAACTGCTTTTGGATGACCTACTTTATTGTGAAGGCAGCTGGTATTTGGAGTGTTTACAATAGGGGTGGGCAATTATTTTTTCCATGGGACCACATGAGAAACAGAAAATATTGTGGAGGGCTGGGCCAAAATGCTTAACTCAATTCTGCATAATATGAACTGTATTTCTTTATAAAAAGCAGTAAATAACATAGTTTTGACAAGCTGGTAAGACTGGTAAGAATGAAGTTGCCTTACAAAATATGTCATAAAAAAAAAAAACATCCCAGCTTTAGTCCATGCATGAGGTAAAATTATAAAATATGTTTATTTTGTAATTCCAAATGATCTTAAACTGGTCGGTCAGAGTCAACCAAACCCATTTGCGGCCCGGGAGCTGTACAATGCCCAGGTCTGGTTTACAATATGGTGGCAGTGACTAATTTGATTATAATCAACTGAAATGTAATAATTGATCATCGTTATGTGACTGGACACATTACAAATTTTGTGAATAGAGATTTATCATAAGGAACACAGGTATAAAAAGAATATATATGGGGTTATAATGAAATAATAATTACTTAAAATCTCTCTCACAGTTGAATATTTAGGTTGATTAGTAAACTAATGAAAGAATAATAATCTTATCAACTAATAATTATAAGGATAGTTGCAATTGCAGCACTATTAGAACACATACTAGTTTTTTGTTTGTTCCATCCTAATCCATATAATAGTATTGTGATTGACTTCTAGGGATGTCCTTTTTCATCCTGAGAAAGCGGAAGATACTGTGTCTCCCTCACTTGCGGCTGGTCCGTGTTTGTTCTTCGCTCCCTTTTACCACCGACACAGGTCGCCATGACAACCTCTGCCCTGCGTCGACAGGTGAAGAATATTGTGCACAACTATTCAGAGGCGGAGATCAAGGTACTTTATGTGTTTATATAACTTTGACACAGTCTACTCTAAAATGCTCTGTTTAAAATTAGCCTCTCTCTCAGACACATCACTCTTTTATTCATTATTCATTACATGTCTTCACATTCATTTTATTGAAATGTTTTTGATATTCTTCAGTCATAAAAACATACTTTTGAATATTTAAACTGTTAAAGTTTTAACAAAAATGGCATAGTTGTTTTGTATTTGTACAGTTGTCACTCTTTCTGCCAAAGAACTATCCATGGGTTTCCGAATGATGAAATGAGAATGAATGAGAATGAGAAAATGTTGCATGTAACAGGAAGATGAAACCCATGAATAGAAGAAAAATAGCAGTTGATATAATCTGTCATATAAACTGTAACTTTTGTTGAAGTCCATTAATAAGCATGGGTCCTATGTCAAGAAGCAGGTTTGGTTCAAACTCAGACCCTGAAAAGGGGTCTTAGTCAAGTTTATCATCTTGATATCAAGCAGTTGAATCAATGAATTTAGTTAGGCTAAATGTTGCCTTAATTTAATACATGTATTTAATGTTACATATTAAAGTACAGTTTATGTTACTACACTCCAAATGCCCCCAAAATACTGTATACCAAACCTTTAAATGCAACATGTGCAAAGTGCGTAATTAATACTTTTATTATGTTTTAAAATATTAAACAACAGCATTTGTACAAAATTACAACTGTAAAGGTCATTTAATGCATCATAGTTATTCATTAAAGTATTATTTAACATTGCATAATATCAAACCTGAATTTAACCTGTCCACAGTCACATGACGTCTTGCCCTTCTAAGATGGAAGCCTCCTCTGGTTTACCTTTTCCATGGTAAATCCTCTTTTCTTTGATCTATTGATCATGGCTTTGCTCCTCATCTAAACTCAAAGCAGACAAACTCAGAGTGGTCTAACTCTACTCGAAACCTCTTTTCTGAAACAGGGAAACAAAGCTCTGAGTCAGGAATTAAACTCACTATTAGTCAAACATACAAAAGTGCTCATCTTGCTGGACCATTGTTAAAAAAAAAACTTGACTTGATTTGTGCTTAAACTGTGTTGTGCACTCTGCTGCTGGTACTGAGTGAGACAAAACTGCATGTTGTTGTGCTGTGTAGGTCCGGGAGGCCACGTCAAATGATCCATGGGGCCCATCCTCCTCGCTCATGTCAGAAATCGCTGACCTGACCTTCAATGTAGTTGCATTTGCTGAGGTCATGGGCATGGTGTGGAAGCGGCTCAATGACAGTGGGAAGAACTGGAGACACGTATACAAGGTAATTTTTATATTAAAAGATCACAAAACTGCTATACTGTATAAGTTAATTAACATCAACTGACAATGTTAACTTCTGTACAGGCCCTAACCTTGCTGGATTATTTGTTGAAGACAGGATCTGAAAGAGTAGCTCAACAATGTCGAGAAAATGCTTTCACCATACAGGTACTTGATTTAGTAGTTGATAGACAGATGGATTATTTTATTTAAAAAGAGGCCCTCAAGCTACAAAAAAGCTTGTGCTTAATTTTGTATCAGATATAACCTTTGATTCTATAAGGGCATGTTTGCCACATACTGTATCTTCTACTACGTGCATGGGCACATACAAACAAATTTACTACATGATGGCCTGCTCATCATTGGTGTGTAAAGTGATTTGGAAGATGGTGATACAGTATTTTAGACATCTAACACATCAGCTTTGTAATTAAAATCATCATACTGCTATCTCTGATAAGTGTGTACAAAAATATGTCCAACTCTATAAAGTAAAATTTACCCTGAGCTTGTACTTACCTGCTGATTCTTGGTTTTATTGGATAGACTCTTCGAGACTTTCAGTACATAGACCGTGATGGTCGTGATCAAGGGGCTAATGTGCGAGAAAAGGCCCGGCAGTTGGTGTGTCTCCTGAAGGATGAGGAGCGGCTGCGCCAGGAGCGGAGCCAGGCCTTGAAGACCAAAGAGAGGATGGCGGGTGGAGGCAGTGGAGGGGGCAGCGCGGGGGGAGCATATGGGGGCATCCCTCCATCCTACCATCCAGGCAGACGCACCAGCCAGCCGAGCATGGCTGTCCTGTATGGAGAAGAGTTCAGTCGCTCCAGAGGCTCCCCTTCCTCCTTTAACTGTGAGCACTGATGTCATTCCTGGCACAACACCTCTGAGCAAATGTCTAATGTAAGGTACACACTGGTATTCCACTAGGTGCCATTGAACATTTTTGCTGAAACTAAGTATTGTGGCTTAACCAGCACTGTTCAGCAGTTGCACTGTCAACATTGCAGCGTAGGCTGGAGGAGATTCATTTCAGCCCCCTGTGCCTCATGATCCTCCACCACTTATATTAGAGAGGTCTCTTATTGTCTCTGTTTTATTTAGCGTCCTCCTCCTCTCCACGAGCAGCGTCAGACCTGGAGCAGGCCAGACCCCAGACCACTGGAGAAGAGGAGTTGCAGCTACAGCTGGCCCTTGCAATGAGTCGAGAGGAGAGCCAAAAGGTAAAGCACATCTTTTACAAAATATAATTTGCACTCACATTCAATATCAACTTATATAGACTTTTTTGTCATAACAAATTCAATAAGGAGGAATCTGTGTAAATATATACTCCCGCCTATCCCTTTCGCATTCCTTTCCCTGTTACCATAGAAACAGATGAAGACACAAGTTTTTTTTTTATTTGTTTAACTTTATTGTTTATTATATATAACAATATAGTAAAACAAGTAGGAAAAAAAAGATTTGTTGATGGCAAAGTCTTAACAATCTGTATTTGTGTGTCTTCACTCATCTCTATGGTAACAGGGAAAGGACCTGCTAGGCTATTTTATTCAAATTTCTACTTCATCACTTTTATGTATAATTGCTACTAGGCTTGAATAAATGTTTTTTTAGCTTTTCACTGCCTAACTGAAAGCTGTCCTCCACCTGCAGGAACAACGTTGTCGCCAAGGAGACGAGTCTCTTTTGCAGAAGGCCTTGGACGAGAGCCGCAGAGAGAGCCAGTCAGGAGCGCAGGAGGTGATTTTAATATACTTTGTGTGTGTGTGTGCGTGTGTGTGTGTGTGTGTGTGTGTGTGTGTGTGTGTGTGTGTGTGTGTGTGTGTGTGTGTGTGTGTGTGTGTGTGTGTGTGGGTGGTTGGGTGGGTGAATTCAAGACTTATGGGTTCACTATGTGCGTAAGAGCATGGAGTAGTGGGCGGCTTTTGGTTTTGTGGGTGGTTCTTGGACAAAATGTAAAAAGCGCAGTGAAGTTTGGACCGTGAAAAGACTAAGAACATAAATCAGCATAATAAGTGATCTTCAGCTGTAACAGTAGAAAAGAGCTGAGTACAAAGTTGTGCCTGATGCATGATAATTACTCCACCATCTTTAACCTTGAGCTCAGTATGACATTTGCCTGAAAGCACAGTCCTTATCAGCCTCTTTAGCTCTGTGCCCAGTGAGCACATCAATAACACACACCAGATGCTCTACATATAGGTAAAAGGAATTTTATTCATTCAATAAAATTGTGTTTACAGATATACTTTGACATTGAACCTATTAGCAAAAGCCTCTTGTTCAGACATTTATAAACCACTGGTCTTTTGTAATTGCTATTACCTTATGATCTCTGGGCTGACTGCCTTAAACATGTCTATGTGTCACCCGTTTAAAGGCTCAAGATACATGGGCAGTGTCTAACATGCTCATTCAGCCATACCCATTGTTTTTATTACATACAGTAAAAAAAAAGCATGTTTGTGACTCCTTAACTTAAATCAAGTGTCTTTGCAGTCAGCCATGCTGGACCTAGTTGACATTTTTGGGCCCTCACCAGAGGGTCCTCCTCCCTCCTCGGACCCATGGAGCTCGAAAGCAGTCAGTGAGCCCAACAGTGACCCCTGGAACTCTGTTGGTTAGTGACATGTCCCACATATTGGGATAAATGCTTTTTATTACAGTTTAGGATAATTTATATACCTTTATATTACATATCTATATATAATATTTATACAGGCGCTCATACCCATACTGTAAGGGGCAGTCCTTGGACAGAACCCACACCTTCACGTTCCAAATCATCAAATCCTTGGCCCTCATGCTCCAGCTCTAGCACAGACCCGTGGGAAGCGGCGCCCCCCTCATCTAGAGCGGTCAACAATGATGAGTGGCATAGCCCATCTGAGACTGGTTAGGCATTTACAAATATACATTTATTTATTTATCAACTTCTTTTAAATAATGGTGAACATACAACTAAATAGTACATTCTGTTTCTCTCCAGACAATGGTGTGGCAGGTCCATTTATAGCACAAAATGAAGATGAGTCCAAACAAGAATATCCTCAAGTGAACTCTCCTCTGCCCGCCAGTCCCACAGGTGCTGTAGTTAATATCTGTCTGAGAAAACAGAACCGGCATAAACAGTGATCTATCTGGTAAGAATGCATATGTCGTAATAACTGACAAACCTAACCTAAATGTTTTAATCTAGATGCTGAGCTGTTCAGTGCCAAGTCCCTCTCAGACCCATTTGCTGTGGGCGAATCAGATCCATTTGGGACTGAACCCTCGGCCAAACCGCAAATCAATGGAAGGGACACAGCCAGCCCAGAGATGTTTAATTTGTCTCGACTGGCGCCTCCTCTGAGCACCCCTGTTACTCGGATGTGTAGGACCCCTGAGGCGTTCCTGGGCCCTACAGGAGCTTCACTGGTCAATCTGGACACACTCATTCCTCCAAACCCACCCACAAAGACGCACAACAACCCCTTCCTCTCAGGTGTGGGTTCACACAGTGCAATTACCAATAGGGCTCGCAATGATACTCCATGATAATCTGTGTTCCCTTAGGAATAAACATTTAACAAGTCACAACAGAAACTTCAGGAAGGTCTGACATCCATAACAAATTATTAAAATATTAAATAAAATATGATATAATGAATTGTAAGTTATTGGTTGTTTATGTCTAAAAACTTGCAACAACTATGAAATGAAATTGAGATATTCAAAATTTTACTTTAAAGAAATGTTCTCTGTTTTTTCATATATTTTATATTTTTATAATCCATCCAATTATGTGTCCATCTAATGCAAGTCTAACAGAGCCTTTCTCTCCCCAGGTCTGAGCAGTCCCTCTCCCACAAACCCTTTCCACTGTGACCAGCCTCGCCTCACTTTGAACCAGATGCGCCCGGCTTCGACATCTCCGCTGCCGCCTCATATGCTCTCTTACAGCCCCTCTCTGCCTCTACCCCTGCACCACCAGCTACCCGTTTTGCCCTCGTCATTCACTCAGCCTCCTGCAGCCATTCTAGAAATGCCCACGAACCTGCCCCAGCCCCTGCTGCCTCTCTCTCCGCGGCAGGTTCCACGCACACAGGCCCACAGCAACAACCCTTTCCTCTGAACTCTTGGATAAATCAGCCACTTTAATTTCAAACCTGGGTTGATGTCATGCAGAACTGACTAATGTATCAGTGGGTCTTTAATATAAAAGATACACTGGCTGCTATGAACGGTAAACGTTTTAAAAACACAGGGTCTCTTCAATGCCTTTATCCCGCCTGACCACCCCGTATCCACCCGTCTGTTCCCTTCTGAAAGATATGACACTACCACACACTTGTGATTGTCACCCTCTGTTGCTGCTTCACCGACACAAGCATGAATGCACCCTCCCCTCCCACGGGACTCTCCACCTTTTACCCTAACCAACCAGAGAGTAACTTAATTATTTTTATTCCAACCAGACAATTAGTATATTGAACATTTTTAGCACAGCTGAAGTATATGGAAATGGTAGTAAATTAACAGGCACTTCTTGGATGAATTAGTGACTCAGGTAGCCCTATATACTATGAATACATATTTATGGTAATCGCCTTGTTACTCTGCGTCGTGTCTGACTCAGAATGAGATAGTATAGCCTCGGTTATAGCCAGTTAGCTACAACATGTTTATGTCAGGTTGGAAACCAACCTCAACAATTATCTAAATTTAAAGTTGTTTTCTCCCTGTATTCTTCAGGTTTGACTACCATTAGTTTCATAGCCCACCAGGTTGTCAAAATTTTGAATAAAGCCAGGGCAATCAGAAACCAAAAATTTAATTGTATACCCGCAGAGCAGATGAAGCGGTAAGACCATAATGTTAGTGTTCTAATGGGGGTTGTTTGGTTTGGATTCATGGGCTGCACTGAACCTGGTATGAATGTGAAATGCCTGCCAATAAAAACAGGCCTCGTACATATGTATTTATTAGAGGAGTACCTATTAAGTATTATAAATATCAATAAATATATGGTGTTTGCAAAATCTTTTAAATCGTTTTCATATTTTATGGATCACTTAACATCATCTAACATCTCTATACCGTTGTATTTCTGCAAAACACTGACTGACTGACTGGCTGAGTGAGTAAGTGTCCACTAGATGGCAGCAAAACGTTGAAAAAAGATACATACACGAGGAATTTTGAATTAAAATGTCGCAAACATCTCTTTATAAAGACATTTACGAGTTGCAATAAACACAACTTGCTGTATGGAATGCATGTTTAAGTTTTGGCTGTTTGAACTTTGTGTGGCATAAACGTCACTTTTGTATTCGTGTCAAGCATAGACTAAAGTACAGACTGTGGTGACGAGAGCGAGTCAAATACAAATCTACCCGGGGTTTTATTTAATAGATCCATGGCATATGGGTATTCTTTGTCTAATAGTATGTCTTTTGTTACATTTAAATATACTAACCTATAATTGCACCAGACAACAGTGCTGGTTAACATAATCTTTTTGTTCAATCTAGTAGTAGTATTATTTTATTATCTGTTTTACGTTTTAGCTGTATATAATATTATAGAGCTTGAAGATTTCTGATTGCAGAAAAATATGATGTAATATTAAGGACGTAGGGGTGGACGAATCAGAGGCCGGTCCGTTTTCCAAAAGAGCCAATCAGGGTACGCAGGATCTTCTATTTGCGGAAGTGGCGCAAAACAGCAAGCCACATGCGTCTGGTGGAGGATTCTCGTATGTACTCACAATTCACAAAACCTTTTTATATTGTTTTCAATTATGCTGTTACACTCAATCATTACTTGCGAACATTATTCACTTAGTTTACACTAAGTGGCTTTGAACGGGGGCTGTTTTCTATGTTAGGTAAATTTAATAAAAACAGCGAACCATGGACTCTCCCAAACCTAAACGGCCTCGAAGCTGCGAGAATGTAACAGCGACTGAAAAGAACCTAGAGGGAGAGAGAGCGCGAGTGGACGTGGTGGGTGATTGATAATAAATTGTAGTTTAGTGGGCAGCTGGTCACATAATGAGATTGCCTTGTAAATACACTTTCATTTGTTAATCGTGATTATTGTTGCTCTGCTCAGAGTATCATCATGCCAGTGCACAATGCAGCTCATTGGTTAGAAGAGTGTCTAGAGTCCATCCTGCACCAGGACTTCACTGGATCCATGGAGCTGTCGGTCTTTGACGATGCCAGCACTGTATGTGTCTCTGTACCTGTTACACATTAGGCTTATAGTCTTATTTGCTACCCTCCTATTATCTCGTTTCAAGATAAACTGTATGTAAACTGCTGATTAAACCATGTTTCATGTAGATGTTTCACATCAATACTATTTTTTATTTAAAGTTAAAGTTAAACATAAAAGTTTAGATAATTGACCAAAACCAGATTTGAATTTAGGTTGTTCGTAGGTAGTCCATGTGGCCATGTTGTAATGGAATTTAATCTAAACTCAAAACTAATTTGTTTCTTTGTTTATTTGAGGATGACTCCAGGAAAATAGTGGAGGGCTGGAGAGAAAGGCTTGAGACAAAGGGCATTTCACTGAAGATCTCTGGTCACATCTCTGCTCAACCAAATGGAGGTCAGTGAACAGCCTTGCTTCAGTAAATCTGCATGTGATTCCCTGAAGTCCTTAAATAAATAATTTTGCCTTAAACTGGTATTTTGCATTTTGTGAGTTGTTTAAGTGTTAGTGGGTAATACTGACCTAACAGTGAATGTTTTGGATACTTAAATGACACTTGTTCTGCCTTTTAGTGGGGTTTGCAAAGAACCAGGCGATATCCCAGAGCTGTGGAGAATACTTATGTTTCCAAGATGCTGTGAGTACATTTTGAGAGTATTTGAGGACGTGTTTCGTTTCACTCTCCAGGTGTAGTTTATAACTCATACAGTAGTGAATGCACACATATTAGATTGTGTTACCCTGTCCAAATATCTACACACTTTGTTTGGGGGAAATCTCTGTAGCCGAGTGTCTGTTTGACGTTTGTGTCAAAGTCATGATTAAGGAGACCGGTACTGGATATGTGTTCAACATCTCGGTGTGTATCTAACTCTGCTCTGCTTTAACTGTCTCATTGAGCAGTTAACTGGAGCCTTCATAGTTTGAAAAAAAAACAAAAACAATGTGCATATTCTGCAGAAAGGTATTTCCCCCCTTATATTTGTTTAATATTTTATTTTATTAATCTAAATGTACAAATTGAAGGAATGGTGCTTTCAGTCTGTAACTTCTGGAAGTGGATGATCACCACCACCTGCTTGTCTCCATGGAGATGTTATTGCCTTATTCCACCATATAGCATTACGTGTATTTATCTCCATGTAAACTACCCGGTAACATCACCAGGCCAAGTTATAGGTCATATCTGCGGAGAGGTGATTTTATTCCTCTGTTTTTATGCAACTGCAGACCTGTACTTTGATGTGAAGAGTTTCTTGAAATTGGAGGTATTGTTAAAAATGCTTTTTGTGAAAAGTGACCCCAGTGTGATTCAGATGAACATTCTGTTAAATGTGCATTAGGATGATATAATGAAGCCTCAAAGAGTTCGACTGCAGCACGAGGCCGCACTTCTCCACCCAAACTCTGTAAGTGCTCACTTACTCACTTCCTTCTCTGGCACTGCCCTCTTTTTCAGTTATGAGTTAATTTCATGATCGCAGCTTTATTAAACTGAACAATGAACATGTTATGTTTTTACAAAGGTAACGCTTGTACAAACTGAAATGTGAACTTTAGACAGAGTTTACCTTTGAGGTTACATGTAAAAATATTCTCAAGTTTATGTATGTTAGAGAGAGTGCTTCCATGCAGTTGGCATGCAGAGCAGCTTGAGTATCCGGTGTTGACGGTTTGAGTGGCCCGTCATGTCAGGGGTCAGAGGTCATTTGTGTGAGGGAAGTGAGGGAGACAGCATGGAGACAGCAGGCTTGCCGCCAAGCACAAACAACCTTCCCTTTTCTGGGCTGGAAGTATTTTATGACTTTTGTTAAAACTGTAATGTTAACTGGATATTTTTAAAGTATTCTGTATCTTGTTTTTATACCACTGTGTAATATTAAAAGCTTTAAGTGAAGTAGATTGCTTTATTTGTTTTATATATTCAAGCTGTACAGTACACACTCCGCAGTGAAAAATCTGTGACCTTTTTTATTGAGGTGATTGTGTAAATTGAAAAAAAAAAGCAAAAACAAACAAAAAAAAAACATGAAATTATTTTGTTCTAGCACATGACTGACTTTTCGGAATGGACTATGACTGTATTCTCTTGTACATCATTTCCATGATTCCAGTACTGAGTATAATGTACATTACAGCTGATCGGCTGCAGCGTTGAGAGGATTCCTGAGGGCTCCACTGAACGTTACACTCGATGGATCAACACGCTTACACAGGAGCAGCTCTCCACACAGGTGAATTTGAGATGAGGCTATGATGACAATAATAGCTTACCCTTACTCATTTACTCCTTACTTTTATATATTTTATATATATTCTAATATACATATATATATTTTTTGCATACATATACACACACGCACATATATATATATATATATATATATATATATATATATATATATATATATATATATATATATATAAATTATTTATGTGTGTATTATATATTATTGTTTGCTCTTGATTCCACTGCTTTTATTATTTTAGAACTAGTGAGATTAAGCATCTGAGCCATTTATTCATTTTTTGTTCCTTAATAGTATTGATTTTATTTCTCTCTGTGCAGCACTTTGGAAACTGTCTGTTTATAAAATATGTTTTACAGATAAACTAGATTGGATTGAATTAAACTGACCATAGACTAGTGAATTAAATTGACACGAGCACTCTTACTTCAGTTCCTGGAATATTCAGAGGAAACTGAGCATAGTGGTCCTAAACAGGGGTGTGGGACAGAGAGGAGGCATAGGGTCATGTGCCAGGCTTTTACCAGTTCAGACACAAACAGGAAGTACACCTGTACTCACAGTTTCCACAGAAACATGTCTATGCATTGCCATGACCCCTGAACCAACAGAGGAAACAGTACAGTCCCACCACTGGGTTTTGCTGCTACAAAGAGACAGTGGCCACTACATGTTGACTTTTTGTTGCTGACAAGTGGAAAACCATATGAACATCAATGGTGAACTATTGTAACAGCCATCATGTATCAGGGCCCATATCACATCCTCTGCCTCAATTTATTTAGATTAGATGAATGAAGGACTGGCATGGCAGCTGAGAACATTTCCATGTGAATTCTGAAATTGATCAATCATCCAATAATATAATTGAATTTGGCTCAGTGAAATACAATGAACAGGTTTTGTGATGCTGTCTATGCAGTATCAACACAAAAGCTTCACTCTGTTAAACTAGCTAGAATAGAAACAGTGTTTTTGCTTCTGGTTTTACCATCTATCAGTAACATTGTCATTTCAATTGGTCAATTTCTGTGTATCTTATTGAGGTGTATAGCCAGAAGTCACTACAAAAACAGTTCCAAGTTCTTTCTAACATTCCTGAATATTTATGCACGATACATTAGAACCAGAGAATGAGATCATACCCTAGTCATAAATTAAATCTCTTGGCTCATATCTAATTTCTTTACTTGCCTTAGACTTTTTTCTATTGGTTTAATTCCTGGAACAAAACAGGGGCCTAAACCTGGACTAGTACTGAGCCACATACTCATCTGAAGGACATTAGTTATGGTTGCTTGTGACCTCTCTACCCTCCCCTTTTTATGGGAGATTTCCCCACCTACTCTTTGTGTGCTTCCCAGAATCATAGTACTTTTCACTGTATACACGCTTCTCAGCATGCTGCAATAATATGACAGAAAGAAGCTAAGTTACGTAGGTGGACTATTATGGAAACAAAAGGCCCAGCTGTTGAACTAGCTTAATCCAGATGTGCTCAGTGGTTTTTGGCCATAGGAATTAGTGACAGGTCACAGAAATACTAGAGTGATTTTCAGGAAAGAAACAGAACAACTTGAGATGGCCTTATGATTAAGATGCAAAAGAACAACTGTTACAAAATGGGAGGAGGAGGAGGAGAGGAAAGGGGAGGAGAGGGGAGAACAAATGAATCAAGGGGCCAGGGCAAAGAGAGCTAGCCATGCAAATAGAGCTGTGGTTGTTTAAGGGAGTGGACAAAGAGCCAAAGTCATTAGTCAAAGATTATGAGGTCACTTCATCCACATTTTTGCTGCACTGTAAAATGCTTATCCCAGAACTGAATCAAATTGAACATGTTTAATTGTTCATGATTTGAAAGTTACTTGATGCCAGTTTGATACTTTCTCAAAAGATTGTTCCATTTTGTTTAATACTGTATTATTTCTTAAAATTACTTCAAAATCTGTGATCAATTTATGCAAAAAGTCATATTCAAAAAGATACCCTGAAAGTGACAGAATAATATTATTCTATCAAGACAAGACATTATGATGGTATTGTCCATTCTACTCTAACTCAGTACAGTCTGGCTCTGCTGTCTCTGTTGTAGGGAGTATTATACCTCTGATTATGTAGGCCAAGGGCTGAGCTGGCAGTGAGAGCCCTCAGTATAGCACAGAAATTGTATTTCTCTAACACTTCTGTACCTTGATTTGTTGAAGGCCTGTCTTAAATTGTCTATGTGATCTGACCATTTCCTGTATTGCAACAGCTTGTGGAAAGAGAAAGTGGCCACTATTTAATCATGATGTAACTACAAAGACTATAAAGTCCTAATGCCATAGTACCTATCAGATATACATTAGGAATATTGCTGACAATTTTTCAATCTGTGTTTACTGTATTAAATTTTGCTTTTGTGTCAGGTGCTCACGTCACATGGGCCAACAGTCATCATGCCCACGTGGTTTTGCTCAAGACTGAGTTTTGACAAAGTCGGTCAGTTTGACGAAGGAGGCAAGGTACAGTGTTCATTCTTTTATGTCATACGCTGTGAAGTGCTCTGTCATTTAGCTCTCCCCTCTTTCCACAGGGTGTCCCGGAGGACCTGCTGTTCTTCTACCACAGTCTTCGCCAGGGGTTGGGCGTGAGGCGGGTCAACCAGTGTCTGTTGGTTTACCGCTATCACGAAAAGGCTGCCACTCACTCCGTCTCAGAGTTAGTAATGTTCAGTTCTCACCCATACTTACATTACATGGTTATACACAATGTCACCATACAAACATGGCCATTGTTCAAAAAAGAAAACACATAAATTAAAATCTGCCTCTTGATAGAGTGAAAAGGGGACTATGAACGGGAGAGGCCTGTTAGTTCTGTGGTTTAGAACAGGGAGTCAGTGGACTAGTTTCTATTATTAGGCCGCTTTAGATCAATATTGTAGTTTACAATGAACAAAATTTAAAATCACACTCTACTTGTGTTATAATTTAATACTATATACCCCAAAATCATTATAGGATTTAATATGATCTCCTAGAAATATAATCTGTATAAAATGAATATTATTATTCATTACACTTATGTACTACATTAATCTGCACATACATGAATTACCATTTTCTACTGAATTCAAAATTTTTGCTCATACCATTTTTACTTTTTACATTTTGATTCTTTTTATAATTATTATTTTGTATGTTTCCACTAATGCATTTCTGTAACTGGGACTTTTCTTGTTCCAAGATCTAAAACACAAAAAACATCATCCAAAAGTTACTCCTGATTTTCCTACTTGTACACTTCTCGAGCTGTGTTGACCCAGTTCTTCACCCCAATCCTCTTCTCTGTTTCATCCATCAATTTTTTTTTGTAAAACTGTCTTTAGAGTAGTTTTTATGTATTCAGAGTGGACTTTTGTATGTGTTGTTTACAGTTGATCCTTAAAGCATAGTCATAATGATATTAGTAAAGAGGTTTAAAATGTGCTGTGAAAGTTAAATTAAGTGACTTTCCATGGGAAGACTCCATTTACGTGTTAATGAATTTTCCTATATGTTTGTACACCACTTGTATATGTTATTAAGATCCTATGTTGTGATCTGAAGGGTATTAGTGGTTTTAGCATCTGTATATAGATTTAGGCAGTATGCCATCTTTGTCACGTCCTGCATTCAAAGCCTGTATTGAAAACCAAAAGCATTGCAATATCAGGACCACCCACACTCTTCAGTGCTGGGGGGGTTACGTTTGTTTGTCATTTGAGGCCCTTGATTAGATTTGGGCATACCCTGGATCAGAAAGTGGAATTTTTCAAGTGTCTTACTTGGCCCCTCTGTGATTGTGAACAGCTTTAGGTGAGTTCGAAAGGCCTTTGCAGCTGTGCACATCACTCAAAGTAGGTTAATAACAATCTGTTTTAACTACATCCAAAATTGATGTTTTGATTATGAGTTGGTATATTACTTTCATATTTTTGTTTTTATTATGAAAAACTCTATTTAATTATATTAGGTCATAAGAGGTCAGTGTAAAACAAATCTAAACAAGTAAAATGTCACAATATACAATTTAAATGTAAATTAAGTATTATGAAAATTAACATTATGATATTAAGTTTATTAACAATTGGTGTAACCATGATCAAACAACAGTAAAATACTTCATTCTTATATTCACATATTTCATAGATCACTAGTATGTGACCAGCTTTATAAAGTCAAACTTTCTGAATGAAAAAGTTGGAGTGGTTTAATCAGCCAGACATAAAAACACATTTAGGTCTACTTCGTATCGGTTGAATGAAATTGATTTTTATTTTTGCACTTAAGTTGGTGGCAGTTCTATGCTCCCCCTAGAACTGGCACCTTACCATGGTGGGGGAGTTTGCGAACCTCAATGATCCTAGGAGCTATGTTGCCTGGGGTATTATGCCCCTGGTAGGGTCTCCCATGGCAAACAGGTCCTAGGTGACGGGCCAGACTAAGGGCAGTTCATAAAGCCCTATGAACAGAGAAATAACAAGGACCGTGACTGTCTGGGGTTAGGACTCGAAAGTGAGTGCCTGGTGGCTGGGTTTTTGCCCACGGGGCTCAGCCCAAAGAGATGATGTGGGTCTGCCCTCCTGTGGGCTCACCACCCGCAAAGGGTTTCATGGGGGTCAGGTGCAATGTATACTAGGCAGCAGTCGGGGTCAGGGGCCTTGGCGACCTAGTCCACGGGCACAGAACCTGGCTGTAGGGACATGGAATGTCACCTCGCTGGGGGAGAAGGAGCCTGAGCTTGTGCGGGAGGTTGAGAGGTACCGGCTAGATATAGTCGGGCTCACCTCCATGCACAGCTTTGACTCTGGTACCCAACTTCTCGAGAGGGGCTGGACCCTCCATTTTTCTGGTGTTGCCCACGGGGCGGGGCGGCGAGCTGTGGGCTTGCTTATAGCCCCACAGCTCAGCCGCCAGGTGTTGGAGTTTACCCCAGTGAACGAGAGGGTGATGTTCCTGCGCCTTCGGGTCGGGTACAGGTCTCTCACTGTGGTGTTGGCCTACAGGCCGAACAGCAGTGCAGAGTACCTGGCCTTCTTGGAGTCCCTGGGAGGGGTACTAGACGGTGCACCGACCGAGGACTCGGTTGTTCTACTGGGGACTTCAACGCTCATGTGGGCAACGCCAGTGACACCTGGAGAGGGGTGATTGGGAGGAACGGCCTCCCTGATCTGAACCCAAGTGGTGTTTTGTTACTGAACTTCTTTGCTAGTCACAGTTTGTCCATAACAAACACCATGTTCAAGCACAAGGGTGTCCATAAGTGCACGTGGCACCAGGACACCCTAGGCCGGAGGTCGATGATCGACTTCGTAGTCGTGTAATCTGACCTCCGACCACGTGTCTTGGACACTCGGGTGAAGAGAGGGGCAGAGCTGTCAACTGATCACCACCTGGTTGTGAGCTGGATCTGCTGGCGGAGGAGGAAGCCGGAAAGACCTGGCAGACCCAAGCGTATCATGAGGGTCTGTTGGGAACATCTGGCAGAGCCCTCTGTCAGCAGGATTTTCAACTCGTACCTCCGGGAGAGCTTCTCCCAGATCCCAGGGAGGTTGGGGACATGGAGTCCGAGTGGTCTCTGTTCTCCACCTCCATTGTCAATGCAGCCGCTCGTAGCTGTGGTCACAAGGTCTCCGGTGCCTGTCGTGGCGGCATTCCCCGAACCCGGTGGTGGACGCTGGAAGTAAGGGATGCCATCAGGCTGAAGAAGGAGTCCTATCAGATCCTGTTAGTTTGTGGGAGGAGTTTGGAGAGGCCATGGAGGAGGACTAACGGACGGCCTCAAAGAGATTCTGGCAAACCGTGCGGCGCCTCAGGAGGGGGAAGCAGCGCTTCACCAACACTGTTTACAGTGCGGGAGGAGAGCTGTTGACCTCGACTGGGGATGTTGTCTGGCGGTGGAAGGAATACTTTGAGGATCTCCTCAATCCCACCGTCATGTCGTCCGAGGAGGAAGCAGAGACTGGGGACCCAGAGGCGGACTCGTCCATCACCCTGGCTGAAGTCACTGAGGTAGTTGGCAAGCTCCTTGGTGGCAAGGCTCCAGGGGTGGTTGAGAGCCGTCCTGAGTACCTTAAGTCTCTGGATGTTGTGGGGCTGTCTTGGCTGACACGCCTCTGCAACATCGCATGGCAGTTGGGAATATTACCTCTGGACTGGCAGACCACGGTGGTGGTCCCTCTGTTTAAGAAGGAGGACCAGAGGGTGTGTTCCAACTACAGAGGAATCACACTTCTCAGCCTTGCCTATTCTAGGGTACTGGAGAGGAGAATCCGGCCAATAGTCGAACCTCCGATTCAGGAGGAGCAGTGTGGTTTTTGTCCTGGCCATGGAACACTGGATCAGCTCTATACTCTCCATCGGGTGCTCAAGTGTTCATGGGAGTTTGCCCAACCAGTCCACATGTGCTTTGTGGATCTGGGGAAGACATTTGACCGTGTCCCTCATGGTGTCCTGTGGGGGGTGCTCTGGGAGTATGGGGTTCGGGGCCCTTTGCTAAGGGCTGTCCGGTCCCTGTATGACCGGAGGAGGAGCTGTGTTCGCATTGCTGGCAGTAAGTCAGACCTGTTCCTGGTGCATGTTGGACTCCACCAGGGCTGCCCTTTGTCACCGGTTCTGTTCATTGTTTTTATGGACAGAATTTGTAGACACAATCAGAGGCTGGAGGGGGTCCGGTTTGGGGACCACAGGATTTCATCTCTGCTGTTTGCAGATGATGTTGTCCTTTATCAAACCAGGACCTTCAACATGCACTGGGGTGATTTGCAGCCGAGTGTGAAGCGGCTGGGGTGAAGATCAGCTCCTCCAAATACGAGGCCATGGTTCTCGACCAGAAAAAGGTGGCTTGCCCTCTCTAGGTGGGTGGAGAGTCCTTGCCTCAAGTGGAGGAGTTCAAGTATCTCGGGGTCTTGTTCACCAGTGAGGGGAGGATGAAGCGTGAGATTGACAGGTGGATCGGTGCAGCATCGGCAGTGATGCAGTCGCTGTATCGGACCGTTGTGATGAAGAGGGAGCTGAGTTGAAAGGTGAAGATTTACCGGTCAATCTACGTTCCTACCCTCACCTATGGTCATGAGCTCTGGGTAATGACCAAAAGAACAAGATACAAGCAGTAGAAATGAGTTTCCTCCGCAGGGTGACTGGGCGGTCCCTTAGAGATAGGGTGAGGAGCGCAGTCACACGGGAGGAGCTTGGAGTAGAGCCGCTGCTCCTTCACATCGAGAGGAGCCAGCTGAGGTGGCTCGGGCATCTGTTCCGGATGCCTCCTGGGCGTTCCGGGCATGTCCCACCGGGAAGCGACCCTTGGGAAGACCCAGGACACGCTAGAGGGACTATGTCTCTCGGCTGGCCTGGGAACGCCTTGGGGTCCCCCTGGAAGAGCTGGAGGAAGTGTGTGTGGAAAGGGAAGTCTGGGAGTCCCTGCTTCGACTGCTGCCTCCGCGACCCGGCCCCGGATAAAGCAGAAGAAAATGGATGGATGGATGAGGTTTTATGTCATAATTTTTTAGTAAGATCTGTTTTCATTGTAGCTAGCACAGGATATACTGACCAGTCAAATTCCTCACCAATCTTTCTCTTAAACTGCACACCTTTATTTGAGCTTTTCTGCAGCAGGATTTCTTAAGATTAAAGCAATTGTATTCTCATTATTGGGTTTCTTTTTTTCATTTTAAAATATACCATTTACAAACATAATGGTTATGAAGAACTGATAAAAAAAACATGGAAAAAAGTCTCTTCTACCCATTGTATACAGTCCCTGACAAAAGTCTTGTCGCTTATCCATTTTGTAGAAACAAAAGCTTATAACCTGACTTTAAATTAATCGATTGGTTTTAGAAATGTATCATATGAAAGCTAAAACCCTCCCAAATTATGCTCAATATACTAAAATAAATTTGCTTCACTGAAGAAAGATTGATCATTTAATGAACACAGAAAGGTCAGATTTTGGCAAGACAAAAGTTTTGTCGCCTACAGAAAATTGAACAAATAATTCACTTCAAATACAAAAATATGTTGCATAACATCAGTGAATTAAGTCGTGGTGCTGTGAGATCCATATTTAATATCTTGTATGACTTCCATGAGCTTGAAGGACTGCATCCATGCGGTTCGTCAATGATTCATACAATTTGTTGATGAAGTCATCAGGAATAGCAAAGAAAGCGTCTTACATGCCTCCCAGAGTTCATCAAGATTCTTTGGTTTTGCCTTCCATGCTTCCTCTTTCTATTGAGAAACTTTGATGTAGAGATAGAAGTATGCGATGGAGCACCATCCTGCTGCAAAATTTGACCCTTTTATGGTTGGCAATGTAAAAGGTAGCTAATACTTCTTGATATTTTAGGCTATTGATATTGCCTTCCACCCTGCAAATGTCTCGCACACCCCCCCATACTGGATGTAACCCCAGACCATGATTTTTCCGCCACCAAACTTAACTGTTTTCTGGGTGAATCTTGGATCCATGCGGGCTCCAGTAGGTCTCCTGCAATATTTGCGGCGGCTGTGATGTAATTAAACCGAGGATTCATCTGAGAAATCCACCTTCTGCCACTTTTTCAGTGTCCATCCTTTTAGCAGGCTGTGGGCCTTGGCAAATGCCACATGTTTTTTTAATTGCCTTTTGTTTAGTGCTGGTTTCTGTGCACTGATTCGACCATGGAGGCCATTTCGAGACAGAATTCTACAAACTGTTGTGGTTGACACAGGGACTTGAGGTGACCAGGCCTGGTGGAGCTCTGCTGCAGTGGAAAAGGGGCTGGCCTTGGATTTTCGAATCAACAAACGATCCTCCCGAGCAGTTGTCTTGCGGGATCTGCCGGACCTGGGCTTGTCAAAAACATCTCCAGTCATTTCAGATCTTTTTCTTATTCTTTGTACTTGACGCTGAGACACATTGAAGGTGTCAGCCACCTCAGCAGTGGATCTGGTCTTCAGCCTCTTGATAATTAACGCTTTGGTCTCAGGGTGGATCTTAGGCATGTTGTCAGAGGTCAAGTTGCAGTTGATGTGAAGGTCTGGTGTGCTGGGGTTCTTTTTATACACACCCACTAATTGATTGATCAGTATCTGATCACAGGTGAGGCTGTAATCTAGGATTGGGTGCATCATATGACAAGGCGACAAGACTTTTGTCTTGCCAAAATCTGACTTTTCTGTGTTCATTAAATGATCAATCTTTTTTCAGTGAAGCAAATTTATTTTAGTATATTGAGCATAATTTGGGAGGATTTTAGCTTTCATATGAGACATTTCTAAAACCAATCGATTAATTTAAAGTCAGGTTATATATAAGCTTTTTTTTCTACAAAATGGATAAGCGACAAGACTTTTGTCAGGGACTGTATATGTGCAAAAGTGTGATACCTTTGAAATGTCCCTCATTCTAATGAGGAAAGGGATAATTGTTGCTGTGAGTGACCCTTAAATAATCAGTTTATGTTAATTAAACAGTATTTTCAACACATCTAAAATGCTTGATTTCCAATTCTTTTGTAACCATTTTTGTGCATTTCTGACTGAAGTTCTATGTTTAAGGGAGACTATTTGGAAGCTGCGAGTGGACTTCCTGCAAGAGAGAGTGCTCACCCAATGGGAGAGCTTTACCATATGGAATGCTGGCAAACAGGGTCGGAAGCTGTACCGCAGCCTAAGCCCAGCCAATCAGAAGAAGGCACGCCATTTCATTTGAATTTATTTGACGAATGTTTGAATATGAGATATTAATCTTTGTTATTTTCAAAGGTCAAAGCTTTTTGTGATGTGGATGAGAACAAGATTCAGAAGGGCTTCTACACATATGAGGAGTCTAAGGTAAGACAATAGCTGTTTAAATGTGCAGGTAGTTTAAGCCCCAGTAACATTCAAGAATGGGTTTAATGCAGAGGACAAATTTGCAATTAGGGACAGTAAATATGTCGTTACTCCAAGTTTGCTTTTTTAATTTAATTTACAACAGTGTTTGAAGTAAGTGGTGTACCTGATTTCTTGTTATTCTTATAAATTTGTATTATATTTATTTCCCCCATAGAGAATATTGCAAGCAACACATTGGCTTTGATTGACAGATGTACACACATCTGAAAAATCATACATGCTAATACCATGCTAATGTCCATAGTGTTTGTGAGAGCTTGGAACTACTTAAACTGAAATACTTACTTCTTCCTTTTGTGCAATCAAAATGGGGTAATGCAGTTATAATCATTTTACTATTAGACAAAGTGAATTAAAGGGAAATACTCCCTGAACCTACTCAAGTCTACTCAAAAATGTGTGCAAACTGTACTTTTAATTCAAATCACTATGGTATTTTAAATCATGCACAATATTATGTAATAAGTTAATTAGTTTGATCGCATTAAAACAACATTGTGTTTTCAGGAAAGACCCAAACCCAAAATCCCAGTGGTTCACTTCAAAGAGGCCTTGGCTCCTTTTATCATTTGTGTTAAACTGGTGAGTACAATAAAACATGTTTGGGTGTTGTATGTTTGCTGTTTCTGACCCTCTGTCCCATAGGTCTGTAATTACACTTAACAACGTAATGATCTGGGGCGTGTGCCTGGTGCAGGACAGGGGCAGGAAATGGGCAGCGACAGGAGCCTGAACTTTGATCATATGATGCCTGTATAAACATTAGATAGGCCAGGATTCAGATAAGAGTGAAATACATAATTAATCTTTTTCTATTGTGAACAAAGCATCTTGTAAAATTATGCATTCACTATAACATGCATTCTCTGCACTTTCTCTCTGTGCATTTCTTGTCCCAGTCAATTGCAAACATCAATTCTAGCACCCCCTCCAACTTCACAAGGCACTAATTGCTCTATTTTTGTGAGTTAAGGTAATTACAATCAGAAAACAAGATTTTGACTCCATCTTTCACTTTAAATTTTGGCTGAAAAACTGCATTCAAACACCTGCACCCAATTCACAATAATGTCAAATTAGGTCTCATTACCCAACATAACCACATATAGCATGCAAGAACAGATAGTATATTTAACTCTGTTTTGTGGATTTTCAAACATAAGATAATTTTTCTTTTTGTGTCACTTTTAGGACTTGACAGGAGGTGTTTTTGAGAAAAATCTCACCTCGCTGCAGTTGGAAGAAGGAAAAGATTACTATCATTTCAACTGACTGAGTGAGGCGCAACACTGAACACAGTAAACATAAACTCTGTGAGAGCAGGTGATTATGGGACATGGACTGACCTCAACAGCAGTGAGGCTGTGGCCCACTCAGACATTCTGGTGTCTGGACTCTGGAGCCTCAAAATCCCTCCCAGTTTCTTCTCACTGCGTCAAAACTGTTGTCATGACAATACTAAAATTTCCAACTTGGTTCTGATACAAAGGAAAACACCTGATAATTGTTACCACTTTCAATACCTCTGTGAGATAAAACCCCTCTTTTTACCTCAATAGTGTGTAAATTTTAACACAAAATGTTTTTATTTTCAGTATCTCATTTTGATACTGGTTTTAATATGAAGGTGTCTGAGTTTTTAGTAAATTTGTTGGCTGTAAAGTTCCACTGTGAAGTAAATTTGAGTGACATGTTGTCACTGTGCACACTGTGTTTAAAGTTGAGTGCTTTGGAGACTTCGTAAAAGTGCAGATTGTCAGTCAGTATCTTTGTTGTGGATCAGGTGTAATAATGTTTAAAAGAGCTTGGATGTTGATGACTAAGAATTGTTAAGAATTTAGTAAAATTTTTATTAAAATTAAAATCATTTTGCATGCCATGTTGTTCATTGCAGTTGCATAATAAGAACTGAAAAATCCTGTAAGTTGTGGACATATTATGTATAAATGAACTAGTTTTGAAGACTTTTTTTTCATTTGTATAGTAGCGTTGATAGGATCAACATTATTCTTGTATTTACTCCTGAACAATAGACATAATTATATTTTTTTCTTGAGGTTGGGATTTCCAACCAGTAAGAGCAGTTGACTCAGTGGATAATCTAAAATGTAAATGTTTTAAATAAGCACCATCCATGATTGTGGCTTTTAATTGTTCTCTGATGCAACAAAGCACACACATTCACTGTAAATGTGTAAACAGTAGTATTATGGTTATTTGTTTATCTTGTTTTGGTGAATTATGAAATCTTAAGAACAATAACCTCTTCACCAGAGCATAAACATACACCGTGTTTATTTGACCTCACAGAGAGTGGGGTTTTCTGTCCAGTGGTAAACAGACAAATCTCCCACTCATTACCCTGACTTTTACTGTAACTTCAACCGCAGCTGATTGTAGTTCAGGTCTGATGTTACACAGTAGTGTCAGTGTACAGTGGCACATTAGTTGAGCTAAAAATCACCATGTCATATTATAAATAACAGTATTTTTTATCTTGAGGTTTTGAGGTGAATCTGTGGACCTCTGGCTCCCACAGTCCAGGGCTGCTGCAGGCTGAGAAAGTTGTCACTTCCACTTTACACCAAGTCTCTACCTAGACCTTCACTGTGTTACTACACCAAACACACAAACAAGAACATGTCTACCTCAGACAGGAATGTTGTCATGGCTACTCGAAAATCACAATTATTTAAGTGACATAATGTATTTTGCAAACAAAAAAAATCTCCAAAAAAAAAAAAGTCTCATTTGTAAAGCTGCTGTTCTTTAGACTTGTGTCTTGATGCATTATATTCTTTTAGTTCAGTTGTTTCAGTTTCAGTCTTCTCTCCAATACATCTCCTGGATGTATTTAAATGCACCATTCTTTGCAGTAATAATATTCTGACAGATTCATCCTCTTCCTATCATTTAGTAATACATAATTATATCAAAAGTAGTTAGGAATACCCCAGGAAATAATAAACTTGTAAAAATTTGAGGCTGAGCGTAACGCTTGAATATGCATAATCAGGTTTGTTGACTTTTTGATTCTACTGATTTTGAAAATAATCTCACTGTCTGCACAATCCAAGCTAGTCCAACCATAAGGGCCTACTGTATTTTTTGTGTCTGCAGTCCCAAGCCTGGATAAATGGAGCCTATTGCATCATATCACTTTTGTTAAGTAACTAAATACATGTAAAATACATAATCTGAATACTAATTTTGAGTAACTCTGTTGTGGTACAGTTACTCTTACATTTGGTGATATTCAGAATACAGTTACTTTTCCAAATTAAAAGGAATATGTGTCAATAATTAATCATGTAATTTTTGCTTTGGACTGCATGGGAAAAAGTAGACCTTTCATGAGAAATACTATATTGACTTTTCGTTCAAAATATCAAATAGAACTTTAGGGAGTCAATATTCATCATGGGTGCTTTTTCTTTATAGTAATGGGACATTTTTTGTTATTTTGTTCTGCAATATGATAAAATTTGAGCTTTAGAAAGTTGAGTTATGAATTAACACATTACACTTAAGGGTTGAATGCTGCTATTTATTTATACAGTTCAACATAATTTAAAAATGTTGTACATTTTGAATACTTTATTGTGAATAATTCTGCTTTATGCTTTGGTTTAAATATTATCGTTTATCATCTATATTTATATGTAGATATACTATATTCATCAAAATGTGTTATTGTGACAGGTCTAGAAAAAAGCAAACATACAAGTAGCTCTTATAATGTGTGTGCATGTGTTTTTTCTTTCTAAAATTAGATATAAGTTAATGCAACAACTACAAACAGCTAGATTTTTATCATGTTTTTACACTATAATTTAAATGCAATTCAGAGTAAAAGTATTTTAAGTATTCAGAATATAGTACTCTGATTAGTCCAATAAGAAACAAAACAAAAAACTAAACACACACACAAAATATAGGTGTTCAGTATTGTGTAATTAAATTTTTAAGTATTCTTCCAATGACTGCCTATAACCAAATATTGTGGCAACTACATAGTAGTACTCTGAAGTATGCTGGCTCTTATGTGTCTTATACATCTTTATTTTGCATGCTTTTAAATAGTATGATCCCGTAACAGATTTATGCAGAGACTTTGATAAAGCAGTCACCAAGAGCACACCATATATTTGTGATTGTTATGAAGCAGAGTGAGTTGTTTAAGTTAGAAGCTGCGGTGTCTGCATACATCCTGTCTCTTCTGTGTGCTCTGCCGTGGTGATGGAGCACTTGGTGGATGATCAGAGGGAGCGTTAATGGAGAATCTATGGAGCAGAATAAACAGGCCTCTACATTGTGTTTACTTTGTCTCTGCACGTCTGATAGCTGGCGCGTATGACCCTGACCCTGCAGCCCACACGCCCTCACTGGTCAAACAAACCTGAATTTGTAAAGTTGAAGAATGCACAGTGCACACCGCATGCTATGTGCTGTTGAAACACTGATAAGAAGTGGGTGTGGGTTTGAGTGAGGGGTGGTCACGGGGGTCATGCTGCCAAATCTATAATGCATTCCTGTTTCAACATTTCACGTGAAATCATTTCAATCATTTAGTGACAATAATCTAAAACAAACTCATTTTTAAGTTGCACCAATAAATAAAAAACAAATATGGTGTGTACATATTCTTGATTTCTTGGTTTGTCGTGTAAGAGTTAATGAAAAATGTGTTAATCTGAAATCAGTTTGACACATACTACATTAAGGAGTCTTTAGTTGTTCAGTTAATTAGCTGATGGTGTCTGAAGTCAACCAGATATTTATCAACCAGTTACTTCTTATTTATTAAGATTATGAGGATTTATATGGACCACAGCACAAAGGAGAAAGCATAGTGAGTTAGGTGCAGTTTCTGGAGTGAGAATTAAATCAGTCTTTTCATTCATGAATATAAAGGCCCCACCTGCTTGTCCATGAAGGTAGACAAGTTTAATATCATACTGTAGAACATTCCTAGCAAAATCTTCACAGACCCTCCACTTGAAAAGTTACATAGTGCACCTTTAAAGTAAGATGTGCAGTGGTAGTAATTGTATAGTGCCTATCAATAGTGCCTGTTGGAGATATAGTTGTAGTAACAGTCTTGTGTTCAGTGTTGAATAGCCTATATTTTCATGTAGCAACTTTCTTTCACATGCACAAGAGAGTTCGTAAATGTCTCTGTCTTTATATAAAATAAAGAATATCATTTAAGGAGGCAAATCAACTACAGAAATATTTGAGTTTTCAGACCTGTATCCTGGACAATTAACTTTTAAGTAAGTATAGAGCTGAGTGGAGGGAGTAGTGAGTAAATAAGTTCGAGCCATGTTGAAATGAGAGATAGAGGAATGTGAGTGTGACTGTTTAAGAGATGTGCAGAGGTCTGAGCAGAGGCAGGTGATGGCCCCAGGCAGGAGCAAGTCAGAGGCTGAGGGGCTGTGAATACTTCAGATAGTGAGGGATCACCTTTTGTCCCCTACTGTAATAATAATAAAAAATATGTATATATAAAAATAATTACAACAACAACAACAACAATAATGCATTAGTATTATTTAGTAGTTCTCCAGACATTTGAGGCATTATTTGAAGCACTCTCACAGAAGGTTGATAATTACCCTAGGTGTCTTGGGGTGGACTTGATGTTAGCCATTCTGTTATTGCTGTTATCTTTTTATTTGCAGACATGATGAAGATAGTTTGAGAAATCTCATATCTGGAAATTGGAAAAGGGTGCTATTTCTTTTTGTAGGCATCTTTCTGAAAACGCTTTGCTCTGAGCAGTACGGTGCAGAGCAGGTTGGTCATTTTTATTTTGTTCGTGAGCTGCACTGAATTTGTGTGAGTTGTTGTAATGGAGAGGTGCATAGGGTGATTCTGTTGGTATTTCTCAAAATGCACAACATTGCTCTGCCTGTCTGGGGGAATGTGACGAGTTGGTACCATCACCCCTGCGGCTGTTTTCTCACGGGAAAACAGTCCGGTCACCAAACAGGCGTTTAGAGCACACGTGTGACTTTGGTTATGTCCACTTTTTTATGTTCTGTAGAATATATTACTAAAAGTTGGCCTTTTTATGCTGTCGCTGAATAGTAACTAGAAAACCACTTTACACACCGTGCCAAATGCGTTTAAAGCCTTGTGCATTAGCTACTGTTCATGTGTTGTTGTTGTTTCATCCCATTTTAATAAGTCATCTGTTTTTGCATTCCGTTTTTGTGCTTCAGATAGTGACATGACTTAAAAACAACTTGTGCGTGTGTCCCCGTTTTAGCATGCGTAAAACCCTCCTTCCATCCAGAGTCATGGGCGGAGGCCTTGGGCGGGTTTTGGGAAAAGCGCACGCGTCTCCCTCACGCAGGCTCAGCTGTTGGCACGCGCTCGTGGTGACGTTAGGCAGAGCTTGGGGCAAGTTTTTCACAGCTCCTGCTGCTGTGCACGCTGCCGTTTTCTTTCAGTTCTGTCAAAAGTTCTGGACACACAGTTGAGCGGGATGCAGCCTTTAGAACACTAAAGGACTTTTTCTTTGGGCGACGTTTGTAGGAGCCTCACTCGAGGTTTGGGTGAGAGCTTCGAGGTGGGGCCATGGGCATGTCTGGGTCGTGGACATTGCACTGGGTCACGGCTCTGCTCATTTGTCGCGCTGTGGCTCAGTACTCCAGCGATCTGTGCAACTGGCGTGGAAGGTGAGCAAGAAACTTTGGCGACTTTTATCAGCAAATATGTGAGAAGACTCTGTATCACAACATTAGCACCACAAAATGGGATCCAGTCTAGGCTGTTCTACAAGCTGTAGAAATATTCCTAAACAGCTGTACATATAGTTCACCAGTAAGATGGTCTAATTGACTATCTTCTATTTTCAGCATTACAAATGTACTTTTGCGGAATTTAAGTTTTGTCATGTATGCTTTGGCATTGCAGACTAATTATTAAGCTAATTCTGCTTTTAATCAAATACAACTGCTGTATTAAATATCTTCATATATATGCTCCAATATATAATTATACGATGATTATTTGAATATGCCAATTCTGTTTATAAACCCGTAAGTTGCCTTTGATACAATAAGATCGTTTAATTGTTTTTGTGTTATTGCAGTGGTTTGAGTCATGAACCGCACCTCCGGGATGTGGAGCAGGTGTACCTCCGCTGCGCCCAGGGCTCTCTGGAGTGGCTCTATCCCACCGGAGCCATTATTATAAACCTGCGTCCAAACTCAGAACCACTGTCCAGGCACACGACCGGGCTGCACGCATGTATCAAGCCTCACACGGACTCTAAGGTACTGAACAGGGAGGCATATATATACACATATATATAAATATATATATATAAATAAAAAATATATATATATATATATTATATTATATTATATTATATATATATATTATATATTTTATATATATATATATTTGACATTTTACAAACTGAGCAGGGAGGCCGCTTTCTATTATATTGGAACAAATTATTATTTATTGTCTAAATCCAGTTCAGTTTGATATATATATATATATATAGCTATATTTATCTATATTTATCTATATCTAAAGAGCTTTATATCTATAAGTTCCAAAGTTTCCAAACCTTAGTCAAAACCATTTAAAGTTAAATGCTGTCTTCTTTTTAAGGGGTCTCAAATATATTTGGAGCGAGCTGGAGAGCTAAAGCTGCTGCTGACGGAGGAACAGCAGTCCCAGGGTGAGGTGCACTGCTTCAGCCTGACAGAGGGGGCACTATTTGTGGAGGCAGCTGCTCACTCAGACATCAGCCGCAGGATCACAACTTTTCAGTATGAGCTGGTGTCCACATGCCCAGGGGTGCACATATTCCCCTATCTGCACCAGGGGCCAGGTCAGTGGAGCTCCATGGGTTATTCGTAGTGATGTTGTACCTTTTATGTGAGCACATTACCCTTGAAAACCCTGTAATCTAGCAGAAATCATATGAACAACATTATTAAAGTAGGAATTGAATTAAGCAAATAACTTATTATGTATTTGATTATAAGGCACAGTCAAACTATTCTACAACCAACCATATTTTATGACTGGGGATATTGCAACTCCTCTGTGTAGTTAGCTCCTTCCTTTAGGCAGATATAAGGCAGTGTCCACCAGCAATCTGACTAGAAATGAAGAGGCAGCTTGTATGAGCCGCAAAACACAATCAAAAACCTTTTATCCAGTGGACAGAATCTTTCTTTTGCATTCTCACACCTCCATGTCTCTCCATCTCTGCTCCTCCCCTCCTCCTCACTCCCACACTTTTTTCTTGACTAAACCAGACATATGAAAACAAGCAGACCAATCATAAGGTCACCCCAGGGTCAGCCACACTGAAAAAAGCAATCATCTCACAACTGTCAATCAAAAGCCAAGATCCCTCTAAAGTGGTGTGTTTTGGGTAGCCTGCACAAATATGAGCTGGATGGGGGCAGTCAGAGGAAGCCTGGCTTATAGTGGTGAGACAGAAGAAAGTCTGTTTGTGTCTGGCACTTTTCATTGGGGTTTTTAGAGCTGTTTGGGTCTAAGATCAGTCATCTGATTATACCTCCTGGCTCACCTGCTCTTCTCATTCACAGCTATTGTACTTTGAAGTGTCTTCTGGCTTACAAACTCTCTCCAATGAAGAGATCAAGAGACCAAACTCTTTACAATATATACCAACTCAATCTCATATCTATTGGATATTATAAAGAAAAAAATGGGATGTATGAATAAATTACACATGGGTCCGGTCAAGCAGTAACGGAGGGAAACGGGGGCAGATTTTTTACATTCAAATAGCTCTTATTCAGAAACTAGAGGGACTATTGAAATAAGTAAAATATCAGAATGTAGGAAAGAGTTAGTACTCCAACAGGGTAAAGTTAACCCTGTGATATTCTTTCAAGTTGTTGACAAAAAATTTAAAAACTCATGTTGATAACGGAGGGAATGAAATATGCAGCACTTTTTCGGCAATAAATACAAACAGCGATAACTAGCGGTTCTCACTTACATATCCTTAACAAACTGGTTTGAATATTTGCTTAATATAGTTTTCTACCATATGGTACAAGATTAGGTTGAAAAACCTCTTACTTTTTGAGTAATGAGATTTTTTATTAAGAAAGGTCATGGTAACGGGGGGAAAAGTAATGGAGGGAAAATTGTGCAAGCAAGTAGAAGGTGCATGGTTTTGCTTAATTTGTCAGTTTTTTTCTTCCGAATACTTTAATATTACTTCAAAATGAACGGTAACAATTTCTATAAAATATGTCAGTCCTTCCAAGCAAATTTTTATCATTTTAAATACTTTTTTTTTTTTTTATCATGTACCTTCATCAACAGTACAAAGATCGAATAACACAAGATATGATGAAATACATCAATTTATTTACATTATTTGCAGGTCTTTGAAATTTGGGAAATAATTTTTGTTCCATGTTTCATACATGGTATATTTAAAAGGTATGTAACTTTAGAACCAAAAATGGTACAGAAAAAAAAGGTAAACAGTTTCATAAACTAGAGTACATATGCTATCTGTTGAATACATTTTTATATCAGATGCATTAACTTTAATTTTTGGCCTTGCTGTATACTTTTGCTTGACCCGCCCACATTTACTTACTTCAAGTCTAAATAATTTCAATAGCAATATTAAATACCTGGAGTTGTGCTTTGTTTCATTCACACAAATCCTGGATATTTAGGCTGAGTTCTTCTCTCAAACAGAACACTCTGTTTTACCTTGTAATGTCACACAGCCATGCGTGAAGTTCTCCACTGTGTTTTTAACTTCCATACACCTTCACTTGCATCATTTGGATAATTCCAGCCCTGGAATTGCCTGTCTCTACTTAACAAATAGTAAAAGGAGCTGTTCAACTTGAAAACTACACTCTAACTTCATGACATCACAAGGTGGAGTATTTTGAGCTTTGGAGAAGTAGGCAGACTAATAATGCATAATAATGATTTTTGAGGCGGTAACAGCAATAAAGCATGTCTTAAAGCTTACAAGAGTCAATTCTGCTTAATGTAGAACCGTTAAATATATCAGAACACAAATATACAGTATATAAAACCTATACAGGAAAACACCCAGGAATAGTCCAAAACCTGACTGTTTTGTGTTGTTGTGTTGTTTCTTTTATAGTAACATGTAAACCTTGTTCAGATGAAGAGGTCCTTAAGGCAGTGTGCACCAGTGACTTTGGTAAGTACATAGCCTTCATTTGCAGCTAAATATCTGCCCATTGCATCTCATGCTCATCTTCCAAGAAAACTTGTTTTAAAACATCAAAAAGCATTTTGATTTTTAGTAATTTACATTTCAAATGTAGACAACTTGAAAGTGTATGTATTGAAAAGTATGAGATGCAAATGAATAAAAACTTTCCAAGAAACATCAAATATTTCACATATCAAAGATCTGCCTTATTCACTATACATTTTATTGTGAATAACATTATTATTGTATCATTGGAACACATGAAGGTTTCCCTCAGTTAGATACATAACAGTATTTTCTTGTGTTTCAGTGGCCGTTGGTGTGTTCCACAGCACAGCCCCAGGTCCAGGCGCTCACACAGTGGCTGTGGTGGCACTGAGTCAACTGCTGCGTCAGAAGAGCAGTTTATTTGTGTGGGCTGGAGGCAGGGGGCGCCGCTGGACGGGACGAGTCAATGTGCCCACACAGTGCCCCCTTCCTCCTCAAAGAAACCAGTACATACTGACTGGATCGGTCCACTTTGGAGAGGCCTGGCTCGGCTGTGCACCCCGATACAGAGACTTCATGGACCTGTATGAAAGAGCTCATGAAGAAGGGACAAACCCTTGTGAAATCAATGTTTATTGATCAACATCTGGTTGAAAACAGGAAAACCAAAACAGTGGATGTAAGGGCAGTGAAACAGGATTTAATATTTCTGAAGGACAGCCATGGATTGGATGGACTTATTCGTCTTAATTTTTCGATGATCTTTGTTCACGATCGTTCTGAGAGAGTGGACCAGTGTTGTTACAGTGAGTGAGGAGTGTTTCCTCATAATAATACTGCTTGTGTGATCATTTTTTAAATGAATGTTTGCTTTGTAAAAAGCTTTTATGTAAACTAGAAGTCTTCTTCTGACAGAAGTGTTATCTATGCAGCTCTGTGAGTCTTCAGTTTTTAAATCTGTGTGGTTTTATATGTGAAAAAAATAAAACTTTATTGAAAGTTACTTTTGCATTTGCATGGTTATCATGTTAGAGGCTGCCATGCAGTGGAAGGTGTAAACTGAGGTGACTGACCCTAAACTGCGTTGAGTCCTCAGGAAGAGAAGGAATGGAAGGAATGTCCCCATGCACAGAACACACAGTGCTGCTGGGCAATAATATAATAATTACAAGCTTCATTTGACTGGTTTGGATCAAAACTCAGAACAGTTAACGCAATTTTAAAAATGAACAGGCTAATTGCAAACCCAGACAACAAGAACAGAACAGAAAGGTCTTCATCCAAACTTTTAGGGCGAGAGGGACATCTATATATAACGTGTAACATCCTTGTCTTGTGTACGTGTTTGTCCTGGGTGGAAGAGCACAGGCCACGCGCCCCGCACACGGTCCACATACAAATACCGCTGCGCAGAAACCCAATCCGCAGACTACTGCACCCCCTGGCAACCAGCCCCCGTGCCTCTGGCATCGGCCCAGGGCCTCTGGCATCCCCGCTAATTCGGGACACACTTATACAACTGCACGCGGACTTCATGGTAACCTTTTGCTGGTGAAGCGCGCACGATATGGAAACAGTTGAGACGCACAGCTGCGCGAGTCAACTGGAGACAAGGGAATGGCTGAGCTCAGGGAAAATACACTTGCGCCTCCGTCCGCATTTAACCAGCGATGGTATTTAATGGTCAGGGTGAGGCCAGTACTTTTATATCACCGAGCCTATAGAAACTTTAATTTAAGCATTGTTCACAAAAGACGTTTGTTTGCAGTAAAATAAACTCAAATTTGTGAATTGTTGATTTAAATGGAAACACATGGAAGCTCTTTCAACACTGACTGACAGCACTTCACTTTATTGAGTTGAATGCCCTCTAGTGGTTGTACTAAAATGTGTTTTTATGCCATCTTTCAAGCGTTCACTGAAACGTCTGTTGCATCATATTTGATATTTATACACTTCTCCTAATCTGTTTTAATAATTAAAGATGATCAGAGTCAGATAGTAATAAACACAGCATTACACGAGCGTTTTTTACTGTCTTTTACTGTCAGTAGCATTTTATCTGGGATAGACTATAACATATTTAGTCAGGTCAGGTGCAGTATTGAATATTTTTATATTTGTTCTATTATATCACATCGGTACGGACACTGGGAGGGCTCACAGCAAATGTAAAAGCTGTAAAATTAACACGCTGCGTCATCATCGGAACAAAATGTAGAAGTGAAAGTCACACCAATGGCTATTCATATTTGAGATGCCGAATAACATTTTCTATCATGTTGGCTTCAAGGAAACTGCTCTTCAGCCTCTGTAAGTTTTTTTTGTTTGTTTGTTTGGGTTTTTTTTACTAAGAATGTTAAATTCTGCAAAAATTAATTAAAATAATAATGCCTAATTTGAAGTACCACAGTTCCTCCAGAAACAAGAATCCTGCTTTTCTTGCATAAAAGTTACTAACGTGTAGTTTAAATCCTTACAGATATGTTATGAAATGTGATTCTTGTTTAAGTGTGTCAATAGACATTTCAGTTTTGTTTTGTTTTTTTCAAATTCTGGTTGTATTTAAAATGTGAACTTTGAACAGAATAATATTATTAAAACATATATCACAAATCTAACCACTATTGCAATGCTTGTAAGAGAAATCACAATTAGATATTTTAAGGTAAGTGTTTTAGCCCTACTATACAAACTATAAACATACCAAAAGACTTTTTTATAGCAAAGAAAGCAGCATTATTGAATAAAACATCAAAAAAAAAAAGTTAAAATCAATAATATACTGGTCATAAAAAACAGGACACTAAGGATGGAAATTAGTTTTGTTTGTTTTTAAAATGCATTGTCCCTTTAATAAATAAATACAAAGACAAAGCTATTTTACCTTCATTTAGTGCATGCCTTAAAAGATCTAGTTGACTAATCAAAATAAAATATTGCTAACTATTCAACTACTTACACAGCTGCAGCATTAGTTAAATTATTATATATTTAAAATTATTAGATTAGAATTATTAGATTTTGTTTTCCTTTTATTTTGCAGTTTCAATATTACTATGTGGCACTACCGCATCGGACAAAGTTGAAGTCTATGCATATACTGGAGGAGAGGCCAGAGTTTCCTGCTCATACCCAGCCGGTTATGAGACGTACGAAAAGTACCTATGCGCCAAAGATTGTGGCAATAACGACATCCTGGTTACAACCACACAACAGAGAGCAAATAGATACTTCACAAGTGACCAGCATCAAACACAAATCTTTACTGTGACTATCTCAAATGTTCAGGCTTCTGATGCTGGAAAATACTGGTGTGGGGTGAGCAGATCAGGAAAGGATATCTATACTGCAGTGACCGTGCATGTTAAGTCAGGTAAATAAACTTTGAAGGTCCTACTGTATATTACACAAATGCTCCTGTGAGTTTTTAGCCATATTAGAATGTTGTTCCCTCATCAAAAAAACATACCCAGTGTTGTGTTTTGTTTTATTTACACATGTTTGAGTAATTCTGCATAACTGGGCAGTCTGCATCTCCAAAGCTCAAAATGTCAAAATCACTCTGTTCCACAGTGTGACATCATTAAGGGGTAGTTTTAAAGTCAACAGCTATTTATAGCCTCAATTGAACTGCTTTACTCTGCAGTAAACTAAGATAAACGAAAGTTGTAGCCTTTTTGAAAAAAAAAAAAATGTTTTTTTTTTTGCTATTCCAGGGCTTCAAATTATTCAAATTAATCTAGTGACAAAGTATGAAGTTTAAAAACACAGTGGCAGAGCAAGATGGAAGAGAATGTTATCGGCTTGAGAAAAGAACACAGTTTAAAAGTGCAGGATTTGTGTGTTAAACATGTGTGAATGAAACAAAATGCAACTCCAGGTATGTTTTTGATGAGGAAACAAAATTTTAACATAGATAAAAATGGTGTAATATAAGCCTACATTTTTATAAAACTGAGTTTCTTTGTGTTTTTTTTTTACGTCAGATGAGTGTTGTGACAGTGTCCATAGCATCCAGAGGTATGAGGGCAGCACTGTGTCCATAATATGTCCGCACCAAAGAGAAGAAGTCAACAGTTTCAAATATGTGTGCAAAGGATCGCAGCCCTCCACATGTCGCAAACGGGCTCTTGTCACGGCTACCACAAAACAAAACACACTGGAGCTCTCTGCCATCACCAAACAAGATGCCGGATCCTATTTGTGTGGTGTAGAGAGAAGCAACAATTTTGATGATTTTTCTCGTGTTGAGTTGACAGTGTTTGGTAAGGCAATTTTTACTATGTTCAGAAGCATATGACCTTTGTGAGGCGATGACTGTTGTATTATTGGGCAACCCAAATGAAGCCTATTCTATTGCTATTCACAGCTGCAATTGGCTTTTATCTTTGTCAGAATGGTGCTGTGTGAGCTCACGTGATGTTAAGGGTTTTCTGGGGCAGTCGGTGACCCTACAGTGCCCATATCCTTCTGAACATCACTCCAACACAAAGTTTCTGTGTAAGGGAGAACAACGAGCCACGTGTCAAACTGTAGTGAACAGCACCGCACCTAGAGGCAGGTTCAGCTTGCAGGAGGCGCACCCCTCCTTCTCTGTCACCATCACAGGGCTCGGACCGACCGACGCAGGGACGTACTGGTGCGGCTCTGATTCACAGTGGACCGCTGGGAAAAACTACACCAAAATCCAGCTGACTTTGGGTCAGTTCATTCAAAGATCTGTGAAGGCAGAACAAATGCATTTTAGTTCATATTATAGATGTTGTATGTGTTGTTTGGCCATGATTAATTAGTGGTTATTAACACTTGTCAGCTTTGTTCTCTGACATTACAGCTGGTAAAACCATGGGAGACAGAGTTATGTTTAAGACTTTCAAATAGTTAGAAGAAGGTGTTATCATCTCTGACGAAAACAATTTGACTGAACATTTTATTCAGAATAACTGCCAACTTTGACAAAAATTAACAATAGGATGTATTCTTGATTGATAATGCCTGATCTTGTCAGATCTCAGAATCTAAGCAAGATCTGGTCTGGTTAGTATGCAGATGGGGGAACACTGGGAATAACAGGTGTCACAGTGAGGCACAGTACCTTAAGGTGAAACTGTTGTTGTGTCCTTAGACAAGACACTTCACCCACTTTGCTAAGTACAAATGGTGTGTGTTTGATGGTAGTGGTCAGAGGGGTCAATGGCATAGATTGGAAGCCTTGCCTCCATCAGCCTACCCAGGGCAGCTGTGGCTACAGTAATATCTTACCACAACCAAGTGTGGCATTAATGAATAATAATGTACTGTAAAGTGCTTTGGTTGCCTTAAATACCCAATACATTATTTAACTACTTTTGTTGAATTAGTTTATTTAGAATTACAAAAGATATTGTTTGCGCATTTTCTTTCTACATTTGTTTTTGCAATCAAATGTCTCCATTGTCCTTGACCTGTTTATCTTTGTCAGAATGGTGCTGTGTGAGCTCACGTGATGTTAAGGGTTTTCTGGAGCAGTCGGTGACCCTACAGTGCCCATATCCTTCTGAACATCGCTCCAACACAAAGTTTCTGTGTAAGGGAGAACAACGAGCCACGTGTCAAACTGTAGTGAGCAGCACCGCGCCAAGAGACAGGTTCAGCTTGCAGGAGGCGCACCCCTCCTTCTCTGTCACCATCACAAGGCTCAGACTGACCGACGCAGGGACGTACTGGTGCGGCTCTGATTCACAGTGGACCGCTGGGAAACATTACACCAAAATCCAGCTGACTTTAGGTCAGTTCATTACAGTAAATAACTAAAAACACACAGATATGATCATGGATGTTCATAATTGTATGCGGCATTTTGACAGAATATCTGAAAGTGACTACCGTGACCCCAACAAACACCACAAATAGAAATGGGTCTGAAACAACACTTCTACACAAAGGTAGTTTATCTCTACTTATATTTATCAACACAGGTCAAGTAATGCAGCAATAAATATCTGTATCAATCTTTCATTAAATTAATAAATGAATAAAACTATACTATTTATTTGCTTAAAAATCTATTTCCTTATTTATTCAGATGGCCAAACTATTTTCCAAATTATTTTGTTTGTGGTGCCTGGATTATTGCTGATACTGATAATAGTGACTTCAGTCATTGTGTACAAATACTCATGTCTCAGAATACAAGGTACATGGAACAGATGTATGTCAATATATTTCTTGAAGTCTGAAATTTGTTTTATAATATTTGATATTTTCTAGATGACAGAGAGAGTAACAATGCCAGGCCTGCAAAAGAGGAAATGTGCATCAATAAGGTAAACACAAACTGACCACAACTAAAACTCAAACTGAAAAAAATTGCTTTAGACTTTCACACATTCACACCCACGCCCTGTAAACTCATGTAGGGGATATGCAGTTTGCTTAATAATATAATATAATTTAAAGAAGATATTTTCATTTTCTTAATTTTTATTTTCTTTAGAAAATAAAACAATAAAGGTAGGTATATGGTAGTAGCAGCAGTAATTAACAGTGAAATGTGCTTTTGAATGACTTTTTCCACCTCTGCCCCTGCTCCATAGACTATTATCTTCTAAAATGTTTTTTTTTTTTTTCTAGATCTATAGTAACCAGGATGCATCCAAGTTTACTGAGTATCGTCTTGATAATGACCAGTGTGTGCCCAAAGACGAGAGCTTGTATGAAAACTTTAGCAATGAGCCCATCTACGGTAACTGTTAAACAACAAGTAACAGATTAGTTATCAGATCTGTTATATTATCAAAATTAACATCATCTTTATAATTATTATATTATCTATTATTGTATTTGTATGATGTCATTTGTAAAGTATGTGAAATCATAAGATTCAACTGTGTAGGTGCATAATATTTTTCCTATATTTTGTCTCCTCAACAACTTCATTGTTTTGCTTGTTTTTACTTGTGTTTCATTAAAATTGAATATGGTGAATACTGTAGGTGTAAGTCAGTGGTAACAATGTGGGTGGAAATGTGTGCACTTTCTGTTCTGCTTTTGTGAACTTCACATTATTTTTGTACCTAAAATAGAATAAGAAAATGTGGAACTGCTTGAGTGTTGATGCATGTAAATGTTGAACTGTAATAATATGTAATAAAATTGTGTGTTATGTGTAAAACTGTGTTGAAAACTATAGTTAAAACTAGTTCCAGTAGGCTATGCTGTAAAGTAAAGCCTCTCTTCATGATTGGTTATCTAAGCTGTGTCGTCCCGTGCCTGTATCCAGGCAACCAGAAACAAACACAGGACATTTGGGTGGTGCAGTGACATGCTCCACAACCTTAAACCTATTCTAGGTTACTCAAATAAAAGGTAGTAAAGCTAGCTCGCTAGGTTAGTTTCCTGAGCCAACATGAGCTCGGAGGTGCTGGTGTCCAGACCTCATTATGACGACAGAGCAGTGGCTCAGGGGGTCCCCCCTCAGGATCCTCCAGTAGCACCGGACATCCCACAGCCATCCTCAGGATCTGCCCCGGCTGGGTACCGCTCAGCTAAGTACACAACGGCTGAGTGGTTCTCCAACTACTACAGCCTTCTCCAGCAGGCCTCCACAGACAACAGTGAAGCAGAGAAGGTCCAGAGACACTCCAGAACCCTGTCCCTGGACACAGAGAGTGACACCCAGCACACACAGGCCCAGGGGACACGCCTGCTGGGGGACAGGCTGCAGGACATCCACTATTGGAGGTCTGAGCTACAGCAGCACATCTCACAGCTGCAGGCTGATACTGAGGCTCTGTGTGGACAAAAGTTGAGACTGGAGAGGGCTCTGGATGCTACAGAGATCCCCTTCGCCATCAACACAGACAACTTGACCTGCCGCACTAGGAGACCATTGCCGGACATGGTCCATGACACAGTGGAGGAAGAGCTGCTCAAGGTGGGATAAGACTAGTCTTAAGATAAAATGCATGGAATAATAATATTTTAGAGATTAGACTATTAAAGTGATAAGAATGGGCCATGACTATGCTCAGTAAGTGAAAACTGCAGGTCAAGTTGAAAAATGGGAAATTTAGACATATTGTTTCATATTTATTTTGCAAATTGTGCCAACATAAGCAATTAGGCAGGACCTGTTCCAAAGGCAGTAAAGAGAAAGGCAGGGACTGCATCAGAATTTGCATTGTCACTTTACATCGCACTCAGTATGTGTATTACTATGGAGTTATTCCTACAAAGTTGGTATGCTGTTATTGCAAATCCAGCAGAGGGCAGAGGATGACAAATTATGACTCTTGCATATCTGCAGGAGGTGGACCTTATCAAAAACATCCAGGCATTGCTGAGGAGGACCACAGCTCAGGTGGTCAGTCAAATCAAGTAAGTGCACTTAACTTCTTATACATAAACATATATAGACTACTGTAGAGTAACACTTTTGAGCTATTGTTAGGATAAACAAAGACACCAAGCAGATGCTGGAGATGGACTGGTCTGATAAATACGAAGCTTATAACCTGGACGACACATGTGGGAGATACAGAAACACCAGTACAGACACAAAACACCACCCGAGCTCGGCCAGCATGCAGGATCAGTGAGTCTGAGTACTACAGAGTAACCCAGTAACGTGAATTATGCATTATCTGGTTTACCTACATGCCATCTGCTTTACAGGGTGTGTAACCCAGTGTCTTGGACCAAGTTCACTCAGGACAATCTGACAAAAGCAATGCAGGAAGAACACGCCACCTACAGCCTCAGGTCGGTGGATACACAATTAATAGAGATAGATAATAGATATTTCTAATTGCCAATGATCATCTTGGGTCTTTTTAATCAAGAGGTCTACAGCCAATCTTCTGTCAGTAAAAGCTATTTTTTGATATGTTATAATGTTGTTTCCTTGGATACTCGGAGATCCATTTTGTTTCATTCACACATGTTTAACACACAAATCCTGCATATTTAGGCTAAGTTCTTTTCCCAAAATGCTAACACTTTGTTCCACCTTGTGATGTTATGTGCCCATCTCTAATGAACTAAAGGTAAAAGGTAGCTGTAAACTTGAAAACAACCACTTCATGACATCACAAGGTGGAACAGAGCATTTTGAGCTTTGGAAATGTAGGCAGACTATTAATAAAGGGTTATTCCAATCTGTGAATTAAACAAAAAACATCTCCAGGTATGTTTTTAATGAGGTAAGAGCATTATAACATGTCTGAACGCTCACAAGAGTCAGTTTTGCACAATATGGGACCTTTAATTATGTATTTATTTCTGTAACCGTTTTCAGCAATGTGTAATACTTAAGACTGACCTCCATGACAGAGGAATCGCAACAAACCAAGCAGTATATGAGACTTCAGTGCAGGCACAGTTGACAATAAAAGTGATATTCCATCAGTATAAATCTTTTCTACTTTATATTGGGCAGAATGTTGGTGGAGAGAGTTGTGGAGGACACTACCAGAGACATGAGGGTGCAGTGTGCCAGTGTGGACCAGGCTTTTGCTCAGCGCTGTGACGAGCTAATTGAGGCCAGGACACAACTGGAGACTAAGCATGCTCAGGTGACAATCAGGGAGACAGACTGTATACTGTCTATGGGTATTCTCTTTTATTATACTGTAGCAAGGGGTGGGCCATAATGAAAAATCTCTTAATAATAATATTTTGATATAATAATAATAATAATAATAATAATAATAATAATTATATTATTATTATTATTATTATTATTATTATTATTATTATTATTATTATTATATCAAAATATTATTATTAAGAGATTTTTCATTATGGCCCATATTATTATTTAATTACATTTTTTTTTTACATTTTTAAGATTGTAGATGCTATAGTTGATATTTAAATTTTAGCATAATTTTACAACAATTTCAATATAATCTTAGAAAGTATATTAACCACATCTAGGGACCACATGTAGTCTCATAATTTGAAAATCCCACTAACTCTCCTTTCGTTCTTTGACATATTTGTTCTGATCTCTGAGATATCTGGCTGCTTATATCTCATGATACATCTACTAATATTGTATGCTCTGCAACCTCCAGCTACTTTAATTATTCCTTTATTCTCTTAGATTTTGGAACAGATTGGAGCTCAAGAGAGAAACATTGTGGCTCTGCAGCAGGCCATACATGACAAAGAAGCTCCTCTAAGAGTGGTCCAGTCTAGACTGTATGTACGCTCCCAAAGACCAAACATGGAACTGTGCAGAGACCCACCTCAGCTCAGGTAAAGTTGCCATGCTCTGCAAAAGTCCCATAGAAAAGAGACGTGTTTTACAACAGTATTAGCTGTTAGAGTCTATAGTAAAAGACCACTAAAGGCTCTATTTACAGAGTACAGAGATATTGATATTTTTTTGAGTCTAAATTTCACTAAATTTCATTGCAAATTCAGGATAGTTTAAGAGAAAGATAAAGGTGCATTGTGTAACTTCCCTGGTGGAGGGTCTGTCTCCAGGGAGGCATAATGGATAGGCTTCTTAGTGTCATTTCACCATAAAAGCAGCAGATTGTCTTTCACGTATCTTTTTTTTGTGTGGCATTTTTAGAATCCTGCATGAATCATGCGGAGTCTTCCTAAAAAACAAACAAACAAACAAAAAAACTAAGTACTAGTACAAGAATGTGGGCAAGTATAGGGTAGGTGAAGATGGAACATTTCCAGTGTACAGTATTTTCATCAATCAATGAAAATACTGTATATCATTGAGTAAGATAATGATGACGCTCAATATAGTTGATATTGGATAATATGTCTATAGTATGTCTAATGTCTGATCTATTTAAAAGACAAAGAGGGAGCAACATTGATTTCTCTTTCAGTATATCAGGGATGGAAAAATATTTTGGGCGGGGTCAATAGTTACCTCCTTTTTTCTTTTTCTTTTTTTTGGCTGCGTTTTTGGCCCTGTGGTTATTTTTTGGCTTTACAATAAGATTTGAGCCATAGAATAACTTTTATGACTCATTACAGATGCAAACTAAGTACTAACCTGTTTCTGCTATTTATTTATTGCAGCTTCTGATTTAAGACACTGTATATTAAGAAGAGTTTTTGTGGTTTAAATCTGCTCTTGTGTTTTTGAGACAATAAATTAATTTCAATATTATTCTTTATCACCTATTATTTCCCATATATAACCTGTCCCTCTCTCTCTTCTCTGCATTGATCTGCAGTCTGGAGTCAGAGGAGAAACAAATCCATACCTCAGTGGAGTCTCTACAGCAGCAGCTGAGTCAGGCCCGGGGCTCCCTGTCTTTCCTGGAAGAGTCACGGATGGCCATTGAAAAAGATATAGCATGTAAAACTAACTCATTATTTATCGAGAGGGATAAATGCATGACAAAGAGAAAGAGATACCCGAGTGTGTCCACGTTATCTGGTTACTAACAACAGTGTATTTATAGAGGTCTAACAAAGAATTATTATATTGAATTGATTATTATATTGAATTGAAATATTGTCATATGCATTTCCTTTTTGAGTCTTTTATTATTTACATAACCACATTTTTAGCATTTCCATATTTAATTTTTAGTTTGACTTTACAATGAGATAAAGCTTCATAATGCGACATTAAAACCTCATGTTGTTACTCTTTTATGATTCACATTACATCTGCTGTACCGTTTGCCACCACTAGGGGGTGAACGAAACCTTCATATCTCCAAATTAATTGCTACCATTTAAATTGTGTGTGAATTGCAAATCTAACCTGTCCACTTTCAGATTAATGTTTTGTTTTGTTAGTACCAAAAGGCAAATCTTATTATAACGCAATGTGATCTGAAATAAAATAATGCAAAAGTGTGTAATGTCAGCACAATGATAAATATTATATATACTTTTTTTCAATACATTAACAATTATATGATCTGAAGACGTTTGTGACCTAGGCTTGTTTTTCTCTTCTTTTCTCCAAAATTCATTTTGAAAGATTACAGAACCAAACGTGACAAAGTGAAAAAAAAAAAAAAAAAAAAAAAAGAAAGTTATTTAAATGTAATGAGATGGGAGGGGTGGATTTGTGATTTGAGGGAGTGACATGGGGAGGGAACAGAGAATAGGACAGGACCCAACTCACTTCTGCTCCTTTTGGGCTGCTCCCTTCTTTCTCTCAGAGACTCTTGGCTGAGACCATCTAACAGGTGAGTCTAGAGATGTTATTATATTTTCTCACTGCAGCAATTAATTTTGTTAAATAATTGTTTTCCTGCATTACAGAAATGACTGCATTTATTTTATATTTTATATCAGCATCAATATAGAAATGTGTAATTATTTTGCACAACTACTTTGATTTGGTGTGATGGACTATAGGGTTGCTAGTTCAAATGCACTTCACCCTTTACTACAGAGATTTCATCTAGTCATGTTGTGTTCTCCAGCCATTCCAGCATAACTCCATTTGAATAATAGGCTGAGACAAGCAGTAAATAATAGCTCATTAACTAAACTGTCTGACAGATGCAGACCTGCTGCTTTATTTATGTGTGAGAACATTTTTATGGCAGTGTTTATTTGCTTTTGTGTCTGTTGGCTCAATACATGCAGCTAAGTTTGAGGGTTTGTGGAAAGCCAAAGTTTCCGTTGGCTGGATGGAGAAGCTACTTTTAGCCTTGGTTATTACACTCTTGGTTCAGACTAAGGGCCACGTTTTCACAATATTTCGCAAGCCTGTGACTGTCCTTTAAATGACTCTAATTATTATAAACGATACAAACATCTATCCATCTTTCTTTTTACTGTGGAATGTCTCATTAAGGGTAGAGCACAAGTTTGTAATTATATGTTTTGTTGAAGACTGGAATGTGAATGTTGAAGACATGGCTTTGTGTGATGTCTTGGATTTTTGTGGTGTCATATGTGTATTTATATAGGGGCTCCCGCTCTGCACACACCTTCTCTGTTTCCTACACTTTACTACATTTATATATCCATATTTACCACAAGACCACTTCCTCTAATATTCTGCTGTCTGTCCCTGGTCACTGGCCTGTGCAGGATGCTGAGCCTCAGCTCCCTGTTTCTGCTCCTGCTTTGCTCCGCTCAGCTCTCTGCTCAGGATGTGCTGGTGCGACTCGCAGGTGTGGGCCGACGCGGTCCTAACGAGGGCCGTGTGGAGGTCTTCTATAACGGAGCCTGGGGCACAGTCTGTGATGATGAGGTGGACCTCAGTCTGGCCAGTGTGGTCTGCCGACAGCTGGGCTTCCAGCGTGGCCTCACATGGGCACACAGTGCCAAGTTTGGTGAAGGACAAGGTAAATCAGACAGGCAGGTTTAACAGTTGGGTCCACCTTCGCACCATCTTTGCTAATTTGTGCTTGTGTTGGTCTCAGGTTTGATCTGGCTGGACAATGTAATGTGCACAGGCACAGAGCAGTCCATTGCAGAGTGCCGCTCCAATGGTTGGGGAATCAATGACTGCTCTCATGGTGAGGACCTGGGTGTAATTTGTAGCCCTGAGAGGAGGCCAGGCTTCCCTCCTGCAACAATGGATGAAACCTCTTACACCCAGTCCCGACAAAGGGGTCCTGAACCTGTGGCGCCTCCGGCCGAACCCGCTCCCCCCGCCCACAACCCCTCACGGGGCCACCAAATTGCCCTTCATCGTGGGACAACTTCATCGCGCCGTAGCAGCCTGTCGCCGCAGCAAAACGGACACGAGATCCAGATCCTCCGCAGGCAGCGAGGAGGCTCCAGACCAGGGCAACAGACCAACTCAGCTGTGCCACAGGGGCACCAGTTGCCATCTCGCCTCATCAACAGCGCTGCTTACAGGCAGAGACATGACACTACAAGGACCGCTCCACAGGCAGTGAGACGAGAGGCGGAGGGCCAAGATAACAGACCCCCAGCCCATTCACAGCTGCAGTCTGAGAGACGTTCCAACAGACAGCCCCTCAGTGGGAACCATGTGGACCCTGAACCTGTTTATCCAGATGCAGGATATGAGACGGACTACACACAGGTAACCCACACACACCAGAGCAGCACTCCACTCCTGCTTTGTTCAGACTCATACATAAATGTCATTTGTTGAGCCACAGCCTGCCGGGCATGTATAATTAGAGACAAACCTAAAACCAGATTTTCTCCAGTTCCAGCTCTAATGCACCAATAGAACTGAGGTTTCAACCACCCGATGAACAGCCACGTCTCAAAAGAGTGAACTTCCAGGGGAAATTGCATGACATTTCTCACTTGTGTTTGACTTTCTTTCCTTTGAACTTTCAGAGTTTACAGTTTTGTCACCATTTTGTAATCATTACAACACAAATGCTGGCGTATTAAAACAAACTGTTTAACTTTTAGGTTCCTTCCTGATTCCAGTGGTATTGGGTGATTAAAGGGAGCACTGCTCTGATTGTACATATACCAAATTGACTCATACAAAAGGTCAATTGGTACAATACAAAACATTTTTACAAATATCAATACTTACACCAGTGTATTCTTGTGATTAGGGGGCAGAGAGGGCTCATTTGGAGGAGGTTCGTCTTCGGCCCGTGTTGACCGGCAATCATGGCGGTCTGGTCACAGAGGGGGTGCTGGAGGTCAAACATGCTGGAAAATGGCGTCACGTGTGCAACCACGGATGGGACCAGAGCAGTAGCCGTGTGGCCTGTGGTATGCTGGGATTCCCTGCTGCAGAGGCCTTGGACACGAACCCCTACAAGTAAGAACCAGAAGAGAGGAGAAACACTGATCTAGTAAAGTGCACTGGAGCTGTACACTGGTCAGTGCTAATGAATGCATGCAGTGCAGAACCCATAAAAGGAAAAGTTAAGTAGAAATGCTGTAATTAGTTAACACTAGGTACACTATGTAACTTTTCTCATCAAGGGTCTGCAACCTGCTTATCTCCATAGAGATGTTATTACTTTGCCTGGAATGTTCCACAGTACGGCATTCAACGTATCTATCTCCACAGAGATAAACAGGCGACACCACCAGGCCAGGTTACAGGTCATATATTGTGGAGAGGTGAGCCTACTCTCTAAAACAATGCATGTTTTACCCAAACCAAAGAGACATGAAAATGAATAAATCCACATACAGATGATATAGAGATTTAATGCCATAGCCTGGAATATTCCAGATAAATCAAGATCTCCATGGAGATGAGAAGGTAGTGGAACCCTAACGAAAAAAAAGTTACACAGTGTACCTTTAAACCACATGCACGAGATGCCCAATGGCATGAATGAAGTCAGGCTGCCCAGGGCCTTTTCTGCCCTGTGGACAGAGTGGGATTCTCTGGTTCTAAAATAGTCCTCAAAAGTATGTTATTAATGTCACATCCAGACTGCAAGATTATCATCATCATCATCATCGTGGTGTATGTTTTACATGAAGCCTCCCTTTCATGGTCCTTCATATAATTAGCAAGACCTCGCTCTCTGTCACTGTCTCCTTTTGCAGTCAACATAAGATGGCTGTGGAAAGTGCCTGTGATGGCTCAAAACATGAATGGATGTCCAACTTTCACTCAGATCTGTCAGATTATTTAAATGAGAAGTGAAATGGAGCTTTATTGCTTATTTGAAATAGACAACTTTATTTCTTATGTGAAACAGTATTATTGCTTATTTCCAATACACCACACTGCATACACTAATGTAGATGTTTGAGTGAACTAAATAAACACAAAGTTACATGCATACAAAAAATCTTAGTAAAGCTAAAGGTGTAGTTTATGTTGTTAAATAAAAAACAAGCGTAAAGGGAGCTTCACTCTAAATAAGTCCACCTTTTCTGTCTAATTTTGGACCTAAATACCACTTGAAGCACCTACGCTAACCTGCAAAGTCTTTGGACACATATCATTACAGTCCCACTTACATTCATCCTAATGCATTCCTCCCCCAACCTCACTGCACATCACGTTACAAGACCTTTACACAAATTACACCCAAGATCCACACACACGAGCAAATAAACACACAAACACAAACACAGCCGCCCCTCTGTGTGTGCGCCTGTCTGCCCACAAAACTCTTTTTAGGGCCTGGTTAACAGAATCACTGTACTGACCACTGCCCAGCTCTGAACCAGCTGTCTCACGATAATTACCCCTTGTGTCCACTTCTTCAACAGGAAAACATGATAATTCCTTTTGCCTCCCTGCCATGCAATTCAATATCCAGACACACCTCATATATATGTAATTTATTTATTTTTTTATTGAGAAGGGGGACTCTCAAAACTTCATAAAGTCCATTCACAATTGTGATTTGATTGCAATTAATGTACATTTATTTTGCTCTTAAGACATAATTAAAGCCATCTGCTGCTGCTTCTGAAACTTCACACTTCACTGTGATTGGTTAAGTCCATCTGCCACTAACTCGGTGCTGACCAATAGGAGGAGTGAGTGGGGAGAAGAGAATATAGAGCTCCAATCAACAGAAAAAGAGCACATACAACTTAATTGTGATATCACTTTCAAATCCAAGACAGAAAATTGTGGCAAATTTTAGAAAAACAAAACAGAACAACTGTCAAGTTGCCAGCTAGACCCAGGAGTGTCATCATCACTTAACAACTCCATTCACAATTGTTATAATTCATCTGCAATATTTTAAACTTTTCTTTGTCTTTTTCAATTCAAGTAATACACATAAAAGCTTTACATATAAGTTGTCTGCATTTTTGTACAACCATGTTCATAGACGCTGAAGAATATTTGTGGTGAAGCCTCTTGTGGTTTTAAATAAATTTCAAACTTAAGGGTTTATTGATAATCAGCTTTTACAGACCTGAAGTCTATTAGTGCTGCTTGTGCCCACTTTGACAACAGGGGCTGGAGACATCCTCTAATCTAAAATAATATCACTGTCTTTGGCCCGCTGTGTCAGCACTTCCCACTCTCCATGCGGTGGCTTCTTTTGTCTTCGCTTGTTAAGTTGTTCTGAGTGGTTCTGCAGATGTTTGAACTCTTTCACTCACTTTGTAGCACTTACACAATGCAACGTTCTAAGCCATTTTTCCATGAGTCTTGTTTCATCACATTCACTCATTTCAACGCTGATGCCGACTTCTTCAGTTCTTCTAATTGACTTTCACCTTCTGCTTTTTCACATTTCTTTTTACAGCTTTAGTAAAATCCTTTAATACCACTGTATAAATGATGCTATAAGCCACATCTCATGGAAAGTGTGGTGCCATGACCCTTTTTTTCCCACATTGTTTAATATTAAAGTGCATGTGACAGGTTAGACCACTCATCTCACTTCACATAATTATATTTAACTTAACCTTAACTAAAAATCTTGGTTTGTTTTCTCTTGTTTTTAAAATTATGATTAAGTTTATAATTTCACATTTTGGCTGGACAGCAGATGTGACATACATAGTAATGGTAATGGTAATTTCATAACTGCCACTTCACTTGAATGTAAAACGATGAGAAATATTTATCACTGGTACTATCCCACCAAACCAAGTACCCAATAATAATTAGAAAAACATGAAAACCTGTCACATGCACTTTACATATCCAAAGACATCTTACTGTCTCTCCATGGTCCCCATGGCGAGTAATTCTGTGTTCATGCAGCATAATAACTAGTTTGCAGTGTGGGTTATGGTATTGTGTGATTGGAAGTGCATAAAGCATCTCTCACATCAAGGCCTGGAGACACGAAATGCTTCTCTTTACATTTTAAAAAGCGGGTGAGAAAACCAGTTTGTTTTGCTCAAGGCTCCATGCTGTGGTTCACTTGACTTTCCCAAAAAAGCTAAGAGATGCTCATAAAATCCTCCTGTTAATGGAGTGGTCTTACTTCAGAGACTTGTGACTCCCAGGCAAATACAATAGGTTAACACGGCATGGGTAACATACAAGGACATTTAAATTGCATTGTTTTCAGAAAGAAGAGGACAGAGAAAGTCGATATATACGTGCATATTTCCATGTCTGGTGTGTGTGTCAACATGCTACTGCTCGACCGCACTGCAGACACTGCCAAGCACAGCAGGCAATTATATGGGTAGCACTCTCTCTCCCAGCTCCCCCCAACCTCCCCGCGAACTCACACCCCCGTGCTGTCTGTCTCCCTCCTTTTGATTTACCGCACACAGTTATGAAACCATTTAAATTGTGGAGATGTGCAAAGCCTGTATTTTTAGGTCAATTTTCATCTTTAAGTTATGACGTGCACTTAATATCATTGGTTTAGGGATTAGCAGACTTTCACATTTGCTCAGTGTTAAATTTTGGAGACAGAGGTTGGTTGAGAAAACAGACTGAGACTGTAGCATAAGAAATGAAAACACTGCTGAGGGTATAGGAGCCAGTAAAACTATGCAGTGGCAGGAAGAAAAGATTAGAAATGTAAGTGAAGCATAGATTGTTACGGATGAAAGTCTATCCAAATATATCTGCAGTCTATGCGTCTCTTGCATGACTATTTGGATGAGTAACTTCCAAATATATGTGAAAATCAAAATAAACTTTTCCATCAATGAACGTCCAGACCAACAAAACTTCAGGCTCCCACTAAAATCACAAAATAATAGGCAATGCTTATCTGAGGCTGGAACTTTCCTACAGCAGTGCAAGAAATCAGCCATTTTCTTGCTATAAGTGATTTGTGGTAGGCCTGTTCCATGGTTTTGTCCGTGTGGCTTCCCCTTAGTGGCAAGTCCCTTTCAAAACCTATTACTCACCTACGGTTCAGAGCACTATATTCACGGGCATCGCTGGTGCTCTCCAGAGAAGAAAATGTCTCCTATTTTAGTTTGTCAAATATTTAATTGCATCATGAGTCTAGCTGTATACGGTAAACTGTCCCTCCATGGTCTATACTTGGATCTCATTCATGAAGGGCGTCAGTCACTCGCCACCTGCCTGTGGTTGAACTGGTTGATGTGGTTGGGAAATGTATGTGTCACCCAGCCACACTTCTCAGTTTTTCGGCAACTTTCTTGGTGAAGTCTTCTGTCAAATTCATCTTTTTTACTTTTCGTACAAGACCCTTTTGTATACACACAGTTTCTTGAGTCCAGTGTTAGGCAATATTTCTGTAACAGGCCATAGTTTAGAGAATGCTGTTGAAGTTGGTGAGCCTCAATAAAACCCAAGGGAGGGATTAATGTATGTAGTGGTTTGTTTATATGTTTTTAGTATGTTTCCATGTGGACAGGAAGAGGTGACACAGAGACGCACAGAGAAGCTGTGAGACTAAAATAGACTACCTAGAAAGAAGCAAGATTTTAAAGGGGAAAATTAACAAAAGACCATGAGGGTCAGAAACCACCACACTTTTGCCCCTACATTAAGGCTGAAGAATATTGAAATTATAGACTATTCAACTTGAAATACTTGCCTATTATAGTTCTCCAGGCAAAAGTAGGCTATATATAATTTGATTTCCAGTTTTTTTTAAGGTGTGGCTGTCTGGCTTAGATGATTGAGGTGAAGGAACTGATGATATAATAAACTCTGTCATGTCTTTTTAGGAAACTGTGGGACTCCAAATTATCAGATCCATCTTCCAGGTAAAAACTTTTCATCGGCCTATCTTATCTAACTCAACCACCAATCTGCTTGCATGCAATTGAAAATGAAAATTTTACTATAATGCCTCGTACCCTTAGGCTTAGGAGCTTGATTTCTAAGAAGGCTTACTGGGTGGAGAAGGTCCAGTGTCAGGGAGTGGAGCCCTCTCTGTCGAAATGCCAGGCCCAGCTGTCTCTGCCCCGGACGGACGTGCCCTGTCGCGGGGGCATGCACGTGGTCGTCCGCTGTGTCCCTGGGTCCCAGTTCACGCGCTCCGGCAGATCTCCACCTCCTCCCCCTTCACCTGTGAGTGACAAAACCATAGACTGTGGATAAAACATGTAGATGGATAGATGTAGATGTAAAATGTTAAAAGCTTAAAGTTTACAGAATCACATTATCTCGGATCACTAGTAACTAACTACTCCCTTTAGTATAGTTTAGCTGCCCAATGCTAGTATGCTACATTAGCCTAACTTTGCATAACCACAAATTACTGCATATTATGTATTATATTATGTAAGTATTGTAACTCTAACTCAACTGCTTATCTTTTTACTTAAATCACAATGATTGATGAACACTATATATATATATATATATATATATATATATATATATATATATATATATATATATATATATATATATATAAATATATAAAAATTTATTTTCTTTTTTTTTTCTTGGATGGAAAATGTCAATGATGATGGGAAAACATTTAATTTAATAAATCTTTATTTTGATATTTAAAGCCAGCTGTACGTCTGAAGTCCGGGCCCAGGCTTGGAGAGGGCCGGGTGGAGGTCCTAAGAGAGGGCAAATGGGGAACCATCTGTGACCATCTGTGGGACATCAGTGCTGCCAGCGTGGTCTGCAGAGAGCTGGGCTTTGGGACCGCTAAAGAGGCCCTGGGACAGGCTCAGCTAGGACAGGGTAAGACTCAGAGCGACTGTCTTTGAAGTGGAGAGACAGGCCAGACTACAGCACTTTTACTTCAGATGTCTGCGTTTGTCTGCTTTTTACATACAAATCAGATCATACACCCATACACCCTGTGCTTGATCATTTAGGCCCAGCATCTTTGAGACTAAACACTTTTGTGTCTAAATGACGTAAGCCTTCAGTCCAAGTGACTTTGTGCAGACAAATAAACCCAGTGACAATGTTTACTGCTGCACATCTGAGATGTGGATTTTGGAGGAATTTACCCATTACCCATGAAGCTTTAGTGACTCTTCACTGTTTGGGTATGAAAATTAATATGTTGTATTTGAAAAGTGACCTCTAAAACCACTTTACAACTGTCAAGGCTGTGGCTTATTTTGGTCTTCATCTGGAAGGAGTTTGTGCCCATTTAATTTTGAAAAACATTTTTTGGGTTAATATAGAGCCTCCTTTTTCCCACTTGTTTATTGGTTTTCTGCTTCACCTCTGCTGTAATCATGTCCATTTCCTGCCATTATCTTTGTACCCAAATAAGCACATAAGCATGTCCTATAATAGTGGTGCATTTCCTTCGCTCTACTTAAGTTAATGAACTAATTCTTGGAAACATTTGAGTTATGCCACTGTAAAAGTAGGTGCTCCAGCACTGTGGTGTCTTAGTAATAAACATAGTGTAGCTATGCATTGTGCCTGTTAATGGCCCAGAATAGCAGAGAGAGTTTAAGCCTTGTCTGCACAACAGTGGCTTACAAAGACTCGTGACCATGGTCAGGGAGCTGCAATATGAAGATGACATCATTAGCTATTTAAAGGCAAATTACAGGGCTTTAGCAAGCTCAGGCCTCACACACCTACGCAAACAGAGTGTGTTCAGAAATTTTCCCCCATTTAGACTTTTTAGTATCTATTTTTATGAATAAACTATAGTCCTGGTGTGCTGCAGCAGTTGAGGGTAGTGTACAGTCATTGGACAAATCACTCATTTGGGGACCCACATCAGAGATCTCCATCATGTCTGGCCTTTTACTTCTTCTCTGTGACCAGGTTCATGTAGAGCCAGTGTCTCTTGATGTGGTTTATTATACAGTATACGCATAAATAACTCCACACCCTTCTTTGTAGGTACCGGTCCCATCCACATGAACAGTGTCCAGTGCACAGGACGTGAGAGGACCATCACAGAATGCTCCTACAGACCTGTGCCGCTGTATACCTGCAAACACAACCAGGATGTGTCTGTGCGATGCAACGTGCCCACCACTGGGCTACAAGCTACGGTAAAGTCCCCTCCTAAAACCACACGGCTGTATGTTTAACTAAGACTTGGACAAATAATAATGTGCATTTTCTGTAAATCTAGGTGCGCTTGGCTGGAGGGAGGGAGCGGTCAGAGGGTCGGGTGGAGGTGCTTATGGACATTGGAGGTGTGAAGCGATGGGGTTCAGTGTGCAGCGAAAACTGGGGTATCAATGAAGCCATGGTCGTGTGTCGACAGCTGGGTCTTGGCTTTGCGTCCAATGCTCACCAGGTAAAATGGAAATCTAATGAAGCCTTATTTTTCTTTAGTCTTTAGTCCTCTCTTCTTCTGCCGCTGTCCCTTTCTCTGTGTGTCTCTGTGCTGTGTTATTACCAAGGCCGGGGGTAATTACAGGCTTCTCAAACGTCCACTTCCAGCACAACTAAAATAAAAGAGGGAAAGTGAGGTGAAGAGAGACTGAATTTCACAGAGCAAACAAACTCAAAATAGATGCGTGCATGGAAAGACCAGCATGTGCAATGTGAAAAGCATGTGAAAGTGTAAAATGTGTTATTGTGTACTAAAGCTTTGAAATGAATCTAATTACTTGCTTTTCTTAACCAAATCCTCACTTTCAATCAACAACAACAGTTTTACAATCTTGTCTCTCTCTGAAGGAGACGTGGTACTGGCCTAGCTCTGCAGATGCTAGAGAGGTGATACTGAGCGGGACTCACTGCATTGGCAACGAAATGTCCATCCAACAATGTCGTCGAAACACAAATGTCTACTGTCCCAGAGGAGGAGAGGGCCGGGCTGCAGGAGTCACTTGTGTAGAGGGTAAAGTCAATATCAAATTACAATCATCTTTCTCTCATCTAAAATGGGCAGGTCAGGTTACATTACATAGAGACAGACACACAGACATAACAATGAACAATGAACAATGACAAACATACACAGACCTGACCTCACCAGATCACAAAAGGAAATGTAATGACAAACAAAGGTAGCTTTTTCCTGGGCAAAGTTATTTGTAGGACTGGCACAAAGTTATACCTTTTATGTGCTTGCTTGATCTCACACTTGTATATGTCTTAGGTTAATCGAGGAGAGCTAGCAACACACAACAACTCTAAATTGTAGAGTTAATAAGTATTGTTATTTCTATAAAGCAATGTTTTGCAGGTCTAAATGAGAAAAAAACTGCAATATATTTACATAACACAGTAACTTAAAAGATAAATCAAAGCAAATGATAAATGTCTTTTGCCTTTAAAGCGGCCCCTGATCTGGTGGTGGATGCTCAGTTGGTCCAGGAGACAGCATACTTGGAGGACCGGCCCCTGCACCTGCTCACCTGCGCCCAAGAGGAGAACTGCCTGTCGTCCTCAGCGGCGCGCATGCACTGGCCATATGGACACCGCCGCCTGCTGCGCTTCTCCTCACGCATCATGAACGTGGGACAGGCCGACTTCAGGCCACGGGCCTCCAGGGAGGACTGGGTCTGGCACCAGTGTCACAGGTACAGCAAATCATTTCACCCACATTTGAGCTTTTTGTTTTCTCCCTGAGTTGAATGACTATGAATTTGAGGATTTTTTTTTTATTTAAAGTATTGCAATTTCTTTTGGAAGTTGACTGACTTGTCAGCCCATGTGGCTCAATCAGAGAAATGATCATTTTGACTGTATAAAATGTATTACAAAATACAAACACAAAAAATACATAGTAAGTGACAACAACGCCATAAAAGCAGTGTGATGTATTCAAAAATATTAGATAGCTATAATGGTAGCTTTGGCCTTTCCTACATAGTAGATGAGAAATAAAAAGATGAATCTGTTTTATCACTCATCACATATTGTCACAGATCCAGTGGCATCATAGAGTGATATTATTTCAAGGATCATCCTAAAAATAAGAGATATGGGTCTGTTATTTGAGTCTATAAACATAATCTTTTATCCTCCACAGTGATGTTTACGACAAACATCCTCCACACTGGTCACCTAGTTGTTAGAGTCAGAGCAGGCCATGCTTCTTATCTCTGTGGTTTGTGGCTTAGTCTCCTAAATCCAGAGGCACCATCTCGGTTCCACAGAGCCACAGTGGCCACCAGCCCTTCCACAAGTTCTCTCACTTTCTGCGCTGAGGAAAAGATGTGTTATACTCAAGTCTTTCGAACAAGAAAACATGAAAAGTCATAAACTACACTTTTGCTCACACAAAATTGTATAAATGAAGAGTCACATTGATTTTATGTTTTTAATATTTAGGTTTTTTTTCACTCTGTTTTTTGACCCAGGCACTACCACAGTATTGAAGTCTTCACCCACTATGATCTATTGACACTCAATGGGACTAAAGTTGCCGAAGGCCACAAAGCAAGTTTCTGTCTGGAGGACACTTACTGCCCTGAAGGTGAGTTTTTCATAGATATAATGTGCACTCCTCTCTTTTAATGTTAATTGTATGATTATTTATGTTTTTATTTGTTTGTATTGTGATTTCAATGGATTTCTTATTGTAAAGCACTTTTAATTATTTTGTGCACGAATTGTGCTCTACAAAAAAAATTTGCCTTGCCTCATTTTTGGTTTTGCCAAATACAAATACAATACAAACACAATACAAATATACAATATGCGATACAATATACGATATTTTGTATACAACATTACAAAAGTCCTGTAAGAGAGTTGAGTCATGGAGAACCAAAGATTTCTTTTCTTCTTCATTTTTACTTCTTTTAATTTTTTGGCTTGTAGGCCTCCATAAGCGCTATGCCTGCTATAATATGGGACAGCAAGGCATCTCTGTGGGCTGCTGGGACACGTATCGCCACGACATTGACTGTCAGTGGGTCGATATCACCGATGTCCGTCCGGGCGAGTACATCTTCCAGGTAAAAACAACTTCACTGATTTTTTTGTATTATGAAGTCAAATTAAATACTCAAAGCAGCAGAGAAACACTAAACGCTAAAAGGTGTAGAAAGAAAATGCTGTAATAAGGACTTTTAATCTGAATGCCACTAAGTGCCTTTGAATCTCCTCATGTCATTTACACCTTTGTTTTGAAAATTAGATTGGTCTGATCCTTGAAAGCAGATTAAAAAATCTTGCAAATTTGACTCATTGAAGTGCTAACCTTTTCTGTAAAAGTAAAAATGTTTTGTGAGAAAATGTTATCATTTCAGTTAAATGCTAAACTTTGCAAACACAGTGAAAGTGTTTCGACATACAGGCACACGTCAGATAAAAGCTATGATAAAACACTATAATTACTCTGAATTGGGTCTTGGCTGAGACTTGAGCCATTCAGGTGTACAGCATGAGTGCAGCTTAAGGGTGTGTGCAGTGAAGGAAAGTGAATTTAGACTGGATTTATATAGAAAAAGTTAGACCTGCTATTAGTCCTCCATTTCACAAAGTAGTGGCTTATTGGCAGTGAAAAGCCTCTGTCAGCGCTCTGCATTTGTACACAGGAACTATTTTGTTTTCAGTTCAGGGTTTAAATTCATGCATCTTCTTCAAATAGTGTTTCTAGACATCTGTCATCTGTCATCTCTCTCTATCATTTAGTCTATTTTTTCAAAAACACTAAACAGATGATGTTTATAGTTTGTCATTATTTTTAGCCTTTACATAATATGTCTGACTTTGACTTAGATCTGTGTGAACTGTAGTCTTTGTGACTTCACAGGTTTTATACTTACATTTATTTAAGTTCATTTTTTATTTCATTTGACAGGCTTTAAGTCTCAAAACTCTTTTTTTTTAGAATGTGTGTTATGAAACCATCTGAGAACATTTGACTATACATTTTTCTCTTGGCTTTTTTATAGTTTGGATATTGTTTAGATTTTGCATGATATTTTAGGGTTCCTTTTGTCTTTTCTCCCCGCTGTTCAGCTGTGATCCCTGGTTTGTGAACTCTTCTTTTTAAACATGTGCACAGTCACGTCTTTCAGATCAACCACATGGTGTCATAGTAGTGGTGCGTCGGCCCGTTTTTGCCACGATGGCTGTACTTTGCGGTCCCACAGAAGCCGAACTGCTCATAAATTTGTGTAAGACGTGAGACAGATGCTCGCTTGTCCTCCATGCCACAGCTGGGTGTTTCTTTGTGCCTTCACCTCAATCTCAGGGTGGCAGACATTTTTAGGAGCATGCATTTAGGCCCATGAGTCATGCTCACCTCATCTTGATAGCTGCTGATTGCTCCGCCATTTTAACATCAACTGCACAGGCCTTTTTATTTGGCTATGAGAACGTTCATTGTTGTGTAAAAATACAATTACAACAGCTTTTAGAAGGGATCCTCAAACAAAATGGTTTAATTTGGATTTTATATAAAAGCAAATAGGGAGTAAATTTATTAGTCTTGTACAACTGACTTTAAGTATCTGTAGTTTGTAAAAGTATTAAATAGAAATTTAGTATTGCTTGTAAAATGGTCTTCATGTCATCTGTTTGATGTTTACTTAAGGAAAAATTAATTTGTATGCTTTTGATATATATAGTATATATATAACTACACCACACAGACAGGCTGGGTGGAAAACAAGAAACCATGCAACCAAGCATGGCTGCAGGCTAATGATAGACTGAGTTACATCCAAAACCCAAAACTGTCATCTGCATCCTTTTCTGCGCAGAGATAACAGTTGAAAGTGATGTCATGCCCATCCTCAACCCACAATTTATACATTGTGAGACCTATAGGAAAGACCAGAACAATAATCCCGTGGCTTCTGAGTTGGCACTGACAAAAACCTGTTGTTTCCTCACAGACTCAGCTTTCTTTCTTTATAAAAATACACCAGCGTTTTGAACGGGCAGACATAAAGTTGGGTGTGGACTCAGTTGACACTACAGCAATTTGGAGAGGCTGTAAACTCCAGGAGACCTTGGAGATGTATATGTTTTATGTTTCAGTTATTTCACCTGAAACCTTCTTTTCACAGATTGAGGTGAATCCTTCTTTAGACATGGCAGAGTCCGACTTTCAGAACAATGTGATGCGGTGTCGGTGCAAGTACGATGGAGCTCGAGTTTACATGTTTGGCTGTCACGCAGGTACCGTACATCACACATACTAATATGTCCTCAACATTTGTTCATCTCCTGTTTTTTGTTCAATTGTAAAAAATGGAAATTAAAGGCTTGTGGGCCGCCTGTGTCTGATTCATTTTGCTGCCACTTTTTCCATTGAGGCAAGTTAAATATAGGGTGTAGGTTATATGACCTAAATATCAGTGTCTGTGCATTTGTGTTAAGATGTCAGTAGTTTTTTTTTTTCCCTATTTCCAAACTTATATTTTCATCATATTTGACCAAATTGGCTGCACTCTGACACCGTGTAGTCAAGGTCTTCTCATGTAATGTATCAGAAGACCTCATGAACCTAGTCGGACTGGTTAATCCAGTTAGAGCAATGCAGTTTGTTCAAGACGAGTCTTTGTTTTAGACAGTATTTAATGATGCTGGAGACAGTGCCCCTGCATCAATAGAGTGTTGACAATTAAATGAGTCTAGACCAAAACCTTAGCTTTTTTTTTTTTGTCCAATCAATGGAAACAATACAGTGGATTGACTGTAATGCAGATGGGGCTCTAGGATAAATCCCACTCTGTAAAAGTCTATAACCGTTTGCTTGTTAATGTTTGACTGAATGTCTTCTCTGTTTGTTCTCCAGGCGACGCTTATAGCGCAGAGGTGGAGGATTTGTTCGACCATCAACGTCAGATTTCAAACAACTTCCTGTGAACCCAAATATAATGATGAAAACAGCTGAGTACACCTCAAGATGCAAAGGGAAAATCTGACCTGGGCATATATGGGTGTTTAAACAAACAGGGACCTAACACGTTTGCAGAGACTGTTTCTGCAAGTCAAGAACTTGAAAATAAGAAACTGAGAATTCGGGCAAACATGGTGTCATTGTGGTGAAAGTAGAGTAACTTACATTTTTACATTTTACAAATATACTCCCTTGATTAAAACAAAATCATGTTGAATACAGTAATAACAAAAAGGAATATGACATCCCTTTCATTAAGTTGAGAGACAGATAGTGTCTATTGTCATTTTCTTTCACTGTTCATTTCAAAATGTAGTACATCTAATTTTGTGATCTGGTTTTGTTGTTTTTATTTCATGGTGCTATTTTGCCGTATTTGAATAAATATTGTGATGTAATGCAATTGTATGGTCATGTACAGTTTTATATTACCTCTTTAGAGTATTGTTAATTCTCTAATTTATGCAGAATTTTATGTACGATAAACTGACCCTTGTCCCTGTGTGGTTGTGTTTTGTATTGTTATTTTATTCTGATCAATGTTCTGCTTGTCTGTTATGCACCTCTGGGTGATACAAGCTGGCTGTAAGTGCTCCTTTAAACTTACTTTGCAATGATAGTGAAAGAATAAAGTGAACGTGAACGGTTATTTGAACCATGTTTTTACCACAAACTATTGTTTTGGAAATTCTGTTTATTCAGTCAGTGTAATTTGGTAAGCCTCAAGTTCTAAACAACTGAAATTGAAAGGAAGACATGTGTACAGTAGTTCAGCTAAGTGTATTATACAGGGGCAAGTCAGTCACCAACAGATTTTAATAAGCAGTACTAATAAAATGAATGACTGAGACTTCCTTTTTTTTTAGGGTATGAACTGACCCTTGTTTTACTGTAGTTTCCTGAGCCATTTCCTTTTTCACACACGAACAAATGCATATTACAAAATGGAAATTCTCAGAGCACTATCAAAGTCAGTGCTACCCTGTACAGTCTTAAAACTGGGCCTTTAAAAGAGATGATCATAAGACTGAATGTAAAAAAAATATAATAATAATGTTTGTGGGTAAAGGAATCTTGCCAAACACAAACAAGAACATTTTTGATACGCACTTGTGCACTGAATCTAGAGAATAATGCAGAAGTCACCAAGTTTCTAGCCTAGTTTGCTTTGTATGTGATCCAACAATGACAAATGAGTCATTACATAAGATATTACTTTTACAGTAGGAAAAGCCCATGTATCTTGGCTGTCTGTTTGATAGTAATAGAAAAAAAGCACTTAGAAAACCCCAAAGTCCTTTATTGTGGTGAGACCCATTTTTATTAGGATAGTGCCTTGTACTATGACATGGCAAAGCAGTGCAGTTCGGACTTGAATTAACTTGGTAGTAGTTAGTGTTTGTCTTGTTAATCTACTAACTTAATCTAATGGGTGTGTGGAAGGGACTTGTAAAACATTGCATTATGGGCATGGCTCAGATCTCCCACGGCGACGGTAAAGAGATGTTTCAGGTTGAGGTCTCTACCACTGGTCTTGCTACAGCCTCCAGGGAGGTCCACTTGTGGTATGAAAGCATGAAATCTAGTCCATGTTTGCTTTTGGTCACATGTCATAAGAATGATGGCAAAGATGGTACATTGAGCACTATAGAGGCCATTGGGCAACTGTGACAATAGGGATCTATGGCCTTTCATTTTAAATTAGCTGCCATTTAAACTTCAGGGTAAGACACTCTTCATGTACATTACAATTATAGGGTTTAACATGCTTACATTGTACTTGATGTACTATATCAGTTTCCAAACTATGGCCTGGGAGCAAAATGCAGCCCTCAGGCCTCCTGCTGAAACGATCACAGATGGTATTTCTTAGAGCAAATTGAAGCAATTCTACTAATGACATTGCATTACATTGCATTATGATACAGACTTGAAATGGATGGATTCCAAGCCTTACTAAAAGGTACAGAGGCCTTTGTAAAATGCATCCATCTGTATTGACACTCCCACTGTACTGAACTATTCTGTGTCTGTCTTTCAATATGCAGTCCTTTGTGGAAAGATTTTGGACACCCCTGAATTAAATAGTATTTTTCAAATTACATGCAAAACATGGCCACTAAAAATAAACAATTTAGTAAAGACTTGATGTCTGAATTAAATAAAGAAATACTAATACACACCAAAAGTTTCAAATTTCAAGACTGTAATGCAAATATCAAATCTGTATTGAAGTTGTTAACAGTTGTAAACACTGTGTTTTAATATAGATTTTTCCACATACTTACAACTTAAAACACACATCTGACCTGCTGCAGGTCAGAATATCAATCCCTGAATAAAAAGTATGACACAAATACACATTTAAATGCAAATTTAAAATCACTACAACAGTTTGTTCTGAATGATATTCAGTGTTTACTAGAAGAACAACCTCCAGCTTTGTTTCTCAGAGTATGGGCCAGATTAGTGATTTCTGGGATGGTTGGAGGAAAATCAGCAAACAAAAGCAACAGAAAAGGGAAGAAAAGTGTGGGAATACTGTTCTGGGAAGAACTGAAGGTTTGTTGAGAAAAGCCAAGCAGGAGGAGCCTTGGGTTTATGGAAGAAACAGGGGGTAGTTTTCTCTACAGTCACTTTCCCTCCCAAGCGTCCTCCCTTTGTTTGGCTGCAAGACGTTTTTGCTCTGAAAAATAAAACATTCAATTAAAAACCTTCAACATTCAACAAAGAACAATTCTTAAATAGGATTTACAATGATATGATTTGCTTAAATTTGGCATTGACGTTTATATGATTATATATGACTATAATGATTTTTAATATAAATGATGAAAGTGCTCAAACTACATTTTCTTAGAGTTGAGTGGACCGCCAGTTGTGGTTTTCTGTGCCTATATATTTAAGTGACAGGAAATGGGATGGGATGGTATGGAGAATATAAATCAATTGCCATCACCATCATAAAGTCAACAATTTGCAATGTCAATGTTCATGCTTTAACAGCTCCCACTAGTGGCAGAAACATTGCAGTACAAATCAGTGTGGGGCCTTTCTATGTGGAGTTTTCACCACTTCCCATTCATGCACAACAGACAAAATCCTCCAGAGAAAATCTGAAGATGTTTCCCCGGGCACTGCCTACTGTTCCTGAGCTCAGGTTACCCCGGCTGTATTTCTATTTTACCTCTGGCCTCTTGGAGTTTCTTCCTTTCTGCCTCTCGCTGTTCCTTTGTCAAGTTGCTCTTCACTCCCAGAGCACCAATAACAAGCTTTCGAGCTAGAGCTGCACTTGTCTGTGGTCTCTCCTTGGCAGGTAGGAGGTAGTCTTCAAATAAAGTTATTATTATTTTTTTTGATGCATATATAATATATAATTAAAATATACACATCATATATTTTATATTACTACACAAGGTCTCAAACATACCTGAGCAACTTCGAGCTTTGGCCTTTGTGGCGGAGGATGATTTGGACAATGGACGCACTTTCATCAATGGATGTTTGGATCTAAGTGCTTCCCGAGCTGGAAAAAAAAAGTTATTTAAAAATTATCTAACAAATTTTATAATGTGTCAAAAACACAACATATTAACGCATTTTATGTTTAAATTGTTAAATACCTGCTAAAGGGCTTGAGAAGAGGCCCAGAGCATGTGTTTCATCAATCCACTTAATATCCAAGCCTCTTTGTCTGAAAATTAGATTTAAGTACAACTCATGACTTCAGTTTCAAATATACAAAATTTACATCTAATTTAACTAACACATACTGGTTGGTGTGAAATAATTTGAGCAGGTCTTCTGTCTTGAATTCAGAGGGAAAGTCATAAATCTCAACAATGTGGGACATCTCATCCTCTGTGAGGTCAATGTCATCATCATAATCTCGGTTCATATTGTAGTAATCAAATCTGGAGTCTTGGATCGACGTTTTCACTTTTTCATCCTTTATGGAAAGCTGCCGAAATTTAAGTATAAAAACATCAAAACAATGACAGCAGTTTCTTTATAGTGTCATAAGCAAATCATGTATGAAATAAGTTTGCACAACTCACTAACTCAACAAGTGATACTGTAATAGTCGCATGAACAGGACAGAATTGGATCTTTATAGCTTTAAAAAGGTCTTGAGCTAAACTAGTATAAGACGACATGGGTGAAGGTTAAGTAATATTAAAGTGACAATTATTATTCCTGTGGTTTCAAAATTAGTATAATTTAGTCTTACCTCTTCAAGCAGGTGTGGATCCAGACACTCTCCATCATCATTGAACATTGTGTCCCAACTTTCCTCTTCTCCATTTTCTCCCTGAGCTGTGGTTTCCTCCAGCCGTGACGAAACATCTCCTTTCACATTTGTCCCCTCACGTTGATCATTGCTTTGGGTTTCCGTTCCCTGTAGCCTCTCTGTGTTTTCTTTGTCATTATTTGCATTGGCTGTATCCTCTCCTCCAGATGAGGTGGTGTTCTCTGATGCTCCAGCCTGGCTCTTCTTGTTCCTTGCATTCTTCCGGGCTTTGTCGGTGTATCTCGGTCGGGACTTTGGTTTACCATCTCCTTGTGGTTGGGCTTTGTCTTTGGAGGACTGAAGACGTTGTTTGGGGGTGTACAGGGGCTGACTTGGCCGTTTGGTCTGAGAGGACGGTGTGGGTGAAGCTTGTGCTGCAGAAAATTCTTCCTTTGGATTCTCCAGCTCCATTGTTCAGACTGGCTCAAATTTACAAACAGAGGAACAATACTTGTTGCTATTAGTCATAACGTTTTAGTATGAGTAAATTCGCAATTGGAATAATAATTGCACAAAGGAATATTCAATTTAACCTACACCTCATAAAAAGTGTGTAGCAGAAACATAGCTAAACACTCTTCTTGTTTTGGCTAACGCTACGAGGAATGCTTCCATAGATTAATGAGATGTGTCATTAAATGCAAGCTTTAAACAATATAACCTCAGTGTAATTCAAATAATTACGTTTTTTTTTTACTCTTTCCAACAGTAGTATGTACGGATTTAATAGGTTTTCATTATGGTTTTTACTCACCTATGTTTGGTTTGTTTAGCTGCAAAACGTCGCATTAATGACGTACCCAGAAGCTGAACGCAAGGAGTTGTGGGGGATGTAGTACAAGTACAAGTGGGTGTCTGACTAATAAAGTATAGTTTGATAACGCGATGTAAAAAGTGTATATGTAGCTGATAAGAGATTTAGACAAAAATAAAATTATGTTCACTGAATCAGGTAAATTCGTATTTCATAGGAATTATTTATACACTTGATGGTACTTAAACTACAAACAAAAAAACACTTCCGTCAACCACTATGGCTATTGGTCAAAATACAATGATTTTCGCTGATTGGTCAGACGCCCTGCACTTACACAAGCTGTTTCAAAACATGACTTGTGTAAGGTAAAAGAAAACCACAATCAAATTGTATCATTCTTGAGGAAAGGTGGATGCTCTGATCAGTTACGACGACACATATCTACTGCGGGTAAGAAGATACTGCTTTCATCTTTTCATGCCGATTTTCCAGTTATTATGACCGGATGCACTGCAAGACACACATAGGAGATGTAACACATGCATTTGCACCGATGCATATCCACATAGTGTGGTTGTAACTTGTGTTTTTGTGTTATTACACAGAAACAGAAATGATATCATATTGACACTGTTGAGTAGCCTGTTATGTCCATCGCCATCATCATTTGTTTTGATGGTAATTTTGATGATGTATTTTATTTTAGAAGATAGTAATACTGATGAATATGATATATTTGTACATTTTAGAGGATACTGATAACAGTGAATTGGAGTCTTGAGAGTTTGAAATTTTGTATTTATGAAAATAAATTTAATTGTAACTGTTTTAAATGTTAATTGATGAACTGGATTGTGGTTCTCTTAAGGAGTCACTGTTACAGATAAAATGTTGTTGTTAGAGGTGGTTTAAAATAGGCTCTTAAATGTGTTCTGCACCTGCCCATGGACTACACATGGAAAGTAGCTTGTAGTTAAATCTGGCGCAGAGCATCTTTTCTCGCTGAGATGAATGTTTTCAGTGCACTGTCTAAATAAATACATAAATGATGGAAATTTAATTTTCTTACTTTTTGTTAGGTCCAGAGACTGTATAGGCAAACAAATTGTTTTTAGGTTGTGCTGTACTTACTAACTAGACTTTTTTTTTATCCCTGACAGAAAACAATCATGTGGTGCTGGTTTCTTCTGGTTGGCCTGTACCATGCTGCTCCCACCCAGGGGTCCGAGCCCCTGTTTCAGGATGTAACCCAGTATGTGCTGCCTCCAGACAGGCTGCACAACCCAACACAGCTCAACTATGGGATGGCAGTAACAGATGTGGATGGGGATGGGAGTCTGGAAGTGGTTGTGGCAGGGTAAGTGTATTTCTATAACTATTTTTATATTTTTATTTTTTACTTGTTCATGTGCTTTTATATAATTATGCCTTAGTCTCTTGTTATTTTTGTTACTTATTTTGAAATTATTGTTACCATTTATATTTTTGCTCTTTGCTATTATTATTATTATTAGTAGTAGTAGTAGTAGTAGTAGTAGTAGTAGTAGTATTAGTATTATTAGTATTAGTATTATTATTATTATTGTGCTGTGTGAGCTACTGTGAGCTACAAATAATTTCACTTCACTAGCTAGGACCACACCAACAATGACATAGTGCAAAGAAGTTTATTGATAATGTACGAAGTGGGGCAGAGATGGCTGGGTGGGGGCTCCGTCTCAATCTTCAATTGGCCCAGCCAGAATGGGACCCCCCCGTAGGGGTCTTATGACTCAAAGACAAAATAGGGGATGGGAGGGTGGGGTCGAGTTAGCTGAGACAAACAGGGATGATGGGAAAGGCTGCTACATATAGGCTTCTGGGAAATTAGAGGCGTGGTCGAGGTGAGTTGTGGTTCGCTGGTGAGAGGAGAGGGCGGCTGAGGCGTGGTCCTGCTCCTGAATCTCAGTTAATCATATTAACTACATTTGTGGATCAATAAATTGGTGTAAGTCTAAGTTTTATGGACATTTTGACTTATTATACCTACCTTCTATGAACCTTCTATAACCTTCTATGACTTTTGCATAATATAAACTATTAAACATATATTTATCACCGATCACAAAAAAGTGATTAGCAACCAAATGTTTTCTTATTCCACCAAGCTCTACTTAGTATATTGTGAATGTCCTACTAAATACTATGGAGTTACTTTCACTTCTTTCAGGTACAATGGTCCTAACCTGGTCTTCAAGTATGACAGTGCTCAGCAGAGACTTGTAAACATAGCAGTGGATGACCCTAACTCCCCTTACTACGCTTTGAGAGATATACCCGGGAACGCCATTGGAGTCACTGCTTGTGATGTGGACGGAGATGGACGTGAAGAAATCTACTTCCTGAACACAAATAATGCATATTCTGGTAAAGTATTGGATTTGCATTTTTTTCATGTAACAAATGAGCTATTATTGATATTATTATATTTCTATATTTCAGGAAGGGCAACTTACTCTGACAAGCTATTTAAATTTCGCAATGGGCGTTTTGAAGATCTATTGAGTGATGAGATTAATGTTCGTAGAGGTGTGGCTAATCGCATGGCAGGGCGTTCAGTGGCTTGTGTTGACAGAAAGGTAAATAGTCACACATTATTTGATTGTCTCTGGCACAGTTACAAGAGCAAGAGTTTGCAGAGTTTCACAGTGGCTTATAATGACTTTTTGAGAATATTACTAAAAGTGCTCAAAGTTTTGTAGTGTCAGTGAAATGTTTGTGACCTGTGGTGTGCGATCCTGTGTTGTCACATATTATATTTACATATTCATTTATGTGTAGAACCATTAAGTTGAACAATCAGATCACTCAAGCTCTAGTGTGTCCTGTGAGGCGCTTTCTCAGATTCACCTCGAAGTTGTGGAGACGTGGCGTTCCTGTCTGTATACATTATAACATGCAATGAATATTAATATTTTTAAGTTTTACTCATTAGATTTAGAAACTATGAACCAGATATTGTGTGTTCTTAATAACAGATGAATTGAATTGTCCCATATAATTTATCATGACAGCGCTTTCATATTATAGGGAACAGGGAGGTATTCAGTCTATGTTGCAAACTATGCCAGTGGAAATGTTGGGCCACATGCTCTGCTAGAAATGGATGAGACCGCGAGTGACGTGACCAAAGGATCTATAGCTCTCTCTGATGTAGCCGCAATAGTTGGAGTCAACAAATTCACAGGTAAAAACTCAGTGGTGTGGGTGGTAAAATGTAAAATTATATGACTGCATTTATAGGCTGTGAAATAACTGTTTGCACTGTGCAGGAGGCCGTGGTGTTGTGGTTGGACCCATCCTGAACCAGGCGAGGTCTGATGTGTTCTGTGACAACGAAAATGGACCAAACTTCCTCTTCAAGAACAATGGAGATGGTATATTTGTGGACATGGCTAAAAAAGCAGGTTAATGTGACACACAGAATTTCTTTAATTTGGTTATGTTTTTCAACAGTAGTTTTCATATGGAGTTTTGCTTTGATAATAGGTGTGGAGGATAGGTACCAGCACGGCAGAGGAGTGGCTCTGGCTGACTTCAATGGTGATGGAAAGACAGACATTGTCTATGGAAACTGGAACGGACCACACAGACTTTATCTACAGGGCAGCAATTCAAACTTCAGGGTAAGAAAGAAGTAAAGAAATCCAATATTATAGAGTTTGAATGCATGTATTTATGTATATTTTATTATTTATATGTTTTGTGTACAGAACATAGCTACTGGAGGATTTGCCAGTCCCTCACCAATTCGAACGATAATTGCTGCTGATTTTGATAATGACAAGGAACTTGAAGTTTTTTTTAATAACATTGCATACAGAGGCAATGCACCTAACAGAGTTTTCAGGTAATATTTTAAAATATTATGTTTATAGAGCAGTCCATAATAATTATCCTTGACCTGGCCCTATTTGCTCTTTGATACAAATTTTTCTGTCTGACCATTCTGTACACCATTGATATGTTGCTTGATTAGTTTGCTAATTATGAGTAACAATGAATTACAGATAATTACATGCATAAATATATTTTAATGTATTATATTTTCACACTTCAGGGTCTCCAGACAAATCAATGCAGACCCTGTGATTGACGAACTAAATGTGGGGCAAGCTGCAGAGCCACAGGGAAGAGGAACAGGTATTTAACTTGGAAAAAGATAAATTAAATAAATATATGACTTAGTGTTGTGTAGACAATTAAGACTATGAATTAAACAAATAAATGAAAAAAAAACATGATTTATTCACATTCACATTTTAATAGTAGTATTATATTTTTTATATTTTTATTCTGTTATCGTACCGTTTTCAGATTGTGTTCTTATCCCATATTACTTGTTCAGGAGGCACAGTCACAGACCTAGATGGTGATGGACGACTGGAGCTGTTTATTGCACACGGAGAGAGCGCCCAGCAGCCAATATCTGTTTTTAAAGTCACACAGGTGGGTTATTATTACTATTATAAGTGTGAATACATCAGATCATTGACCATCTATGTTTGTGTTTTACATTTATTTTGAAGTTTAGATGAAAGAGAATGGGATAGGTTAAATAACATCATCATCCTACTCCTGTTCTTGATGTGAATGTATTGTGTATTGTGTGTACATTCTCATATAAAAAAAACTAATTAAATAAAATACAAAAATAATGGCAAAAAATGTGTACAATACAATCTTAAAAAGTTATTTTTTCTCATTTTGTCAGGGCTCGTCCAATAACTGGCTGCGGATCATCCCCCGAACTCAATTTGGGTCTTTCGCGCGTGGAGCCAAAGTGACCGTGTTCACCAATCAGAGTGGAGCTCACACACGCATCATTGACGGCGGCTCAGGCTACCTCTGTGAGATGGAGCCTGTGGCACACTTCGGTTTGGGTATGTTGTCTGACCATTTTAGGCATTTCTCAGTAACCATCAAATAACTATGATCAATGCTGCGATGATAAAATAATAAATTGAGGAATAATGATATGGTTTTGTGCACAATTTTGTTAGATGAAAAAACATAGTTGCAACTTTTTGAATTTGTTAAGCCATAGTTATAATTTTTTAGTTTTTACAACTGTGTTTATGACATAAGTGGCAAAAGTGCTAGTTTCTATCTGTTGTCTCTGGGCAGATAATAAAGAAGCATAAAACATAAAAAAAATTACAAGATACAAAAGACACAAATCAGAAAAATATAGCCACACTTTCAGGAGTAGTTTATATATTCCAGTGTTGCAGTGTCTTTTGGTTACTTAAAATACTTACTTTAATTGTTGATTTGGACACAGGAGGTGATGAGGTAAAAGTCCTGGAAGTGTCTTGGCCCAATGGCACAACAATGACTCGTGCTCTTCAGCCTGGAGAAATGAACTCAGTGCTTGAAATCGCTTATCCGAGAGACGGAGCAATGTCGGTGTTGGCAAATGACACACAGGTAAGAATAGAGTAATAATAAGTAGAGTAAATATTGAATGCAAAAAAATTAATACAAATGAATCCATCTTTAGTGTGGCCAAGGTTTTATTGTCAAGAATGGTCATTGTGCAGGTAAGAAAGCCCTCAGATTATATTATTAATATACTTTACTATATTAGTAAGCTTATTACTCTCTTTTTTTGCATTTTGTTATGACTTTATGTTCTACAGGTATTTGAAGATGAGATCACTAAGATGAAGATATATATATATATATATATATATATATATATATATATATATATATATATATATATATATACGATATATATATATATACACATATATAATATTTTTGTTATTACTTTTATAAAAATTTTTTTGGCTCTTAGTAGAGACATTTGTTGCACTTTTTCTTTTTGGATTTCAAACATTTAAATTGTCATGAATTGTTTTAATGTTTTGTTCATTTTAGTAATTATTTTTCCAAATCTGATGGACACTAACACTGATAATATAGGTGGTATTACATTTGTACAAATGGTGATGTTGATTCAACACTACATTTGAAAAGTACTTTTACTCCTACCAGCATTATTTAGTAATAATAATAACATCCTCTTTTGTTTTCTTGTCTGTACATAAATGCAGCTCTGGCATCATTTTACAATAGCCTCCACTCCTCTGTCCCTGAGTATGAAAAATTCTTTCATAATTATTTGCTCCAATGTGCCTTGATTGTCTCTATTATTTTAACAACCATGTAGTTCTTTGCACCTTAACCCCTGACCCCTGATGTGGAGTGGCCAACTTCATGTAGGTTTATCAGTCATTTCTGTTGCTTCATACGGTTTGCAATTAGTGCATGGGCTGAAGAATGAACATTTGAAATGCATGAACAAAGCACAGATGCAAAATGATGAAACAGCATTTATTTGACAATGACTTTATGCACGTGTTGTGTAATAAATAATAAACAATATGAAAAAAATCCTTCAGATGCCACCTACATAAAGGAGCATTCTCATTTGCAAGCTTTTGGCAGTTGTATCTTTGGAGGCTTGTTCAAAAATTGAGATGGGTGAATTTTTGTTACAATAAAGGAAGACTTGTGGACCCATCATTGATTGGTGCATCAGATGCACAGTGTCTTTTTGCATAAAACAAATTTAGGAAGCACTAGTCTCATAATCTGAAACCAACTAATTTGTGCACATATTTTTGTTCAATAGAGGCTTTATGGAAGATCTGCTACATTATAAACATACTGAGAGACATTTGTTTGCTACACTATTCAGAAGGGAAGCAGGAAAGGGACTTAAACTATCATCAGGCTCTGGGTAACAGAAATGTCCTGTATGGTTACTTAATATAAACTCTTTTGGACAATATTTGAGTGAGGTATGATGTTAGGTGAGGCTAGTGATTGCCCATTCATTACTCCTTAACACCATTTAATTCACCAGTGGAAATTAGAAACACAGGCAAGACAGTAATGGTATGGTCCCACAAAGTATCACCAGCAATTCCTCTTGTTTGGACAGTGATGCTTCATTTCATGTTTGACACTTTTATCTTTTAAGTGTTAACAGTTACAACACCATTAAATCACATACAGAAACATGTGATCTCATTTGCCAGTGATTGCTTTGTGTGAGCAGCCCGGAGGAATGTATGGCCTACATTAGACATGGAAACAGAGTCTTCAACACTCTTTAAAAGTGTTGAGGGTGGAGAAGTTTTGAATGTCCCGTCATCGTGTGGTGCTGCCAGACACAGAGCTGCTACTGGAACTGGAGCCACTGGAGCCCCTGTCCTCATATATGGAGATTTCAATCTGCGAAGAGACATTAAGGCAAACTTGTCCTAAAAGTTTCTGTTTGTATGCTGATACCGATTGTTTCGAAACCAGAGAAACCAATGGTTGACAAGGTTACAATATATAGTGCAGCTTTCAGTTATTTTCCCAAGGTTATGTAATTTCAATTCACTAATTACCACAGCTCCTTTTCACCATAAACCTATAAGAGAACTGTGCAGTCATGTTTTGTACAATTATCTTTTTGCACTAAAGTGAAGTTCAAATAAAGTTTTGAAACATCTACCACATTGACCAAAACTAAATCCTGCGCTAGAGATAAAAAGGGCAATTTCAACCAACCGATATATATATCTATTTGTAAGGATACAACCCGCATTCCTCGTTCAATGGGATCTGTGATGAGCAGGCCTCTGGGAGCGTAGATCTTCTCATTCTGCTCCTGGATGTACTTAGCAATTTTCTTCAGTACCTGGCACCAGAAAGGGAGAAATTTGACTGAAAAATAATAATAATATAAATGGTTCTCAGTAGACTATATTTGAACTGTATTTACTGTAAGATGTAAAAATGTTCAAAAATACATCGAGAGCTGTAATCTTTTATACCTTAGAGGGGGGGAGCATTTCTCTTAAACACTGACAGAGATTTGATTTGATTCAATGTCAAGACAAGCAATTATTTTGGAAATGATTATGCATATGCCATCTCATGAGATTATGTCATAAATATACATACGGTATGAACTATAACATTTGTTTCTCACAGTGACTCAAATGTGTCATTAGATTTACTGATTGGTTGGCACCAGGATTCCAGCAGGTCTGACCTTCTCATAGCGTGTCTCCATGCAGAGGAAAATCAGGTAGGCGGTAGCACAGGCCAGACACCCCTCCAGGTACGACTGCCCACCAATCTTCTCTGCCTCAGCATAATAGTTATTGAGTGTCTTCACAGTGTCCTCAAAGAGAGACCGCTCAATCTAAAGACAGAGAGACATTTATACTTATGCTGCTACATCCAACAAAGCAAGGACTTGATATGGAGGAGTGAAACAACATGATAGAGTGCTATTCTTCTAATTTAAACTCTTAAGTTAAGACACAAAGAACCCACCCACCCAATTTTGTTTATCATGAAAACAGAAGACATATTTAAAGATGCATTGGGTCAGTTCATATGAAATCAGCTGTCCTCCCCTATGAGCCACCTCAGATTTGGCTGAAAAAACTATAAAAAAATTCTAAAATCACCAAATGAAAGAATCTCACATTTTAGCTCAGTCCCTTGAGTCGCTCCTGAGATATGACCCGTTAAAATTTTGGGGCCATGCCCACTTTTTCAGAAGCCTTAATTTATAAGCTTGTTTGAGAGACTATAACTTCATAAAAAATAGAGCTAGGCTCTAAGCTGAAATTTTGTATTATTGTAGATTCTGGGTCATAGATTCTGAATTTGTTTTCACATCATCATCATCATCACAAACAATGTAGCCACAAATACTCTCCAATTGCCTTCCCTTATAACAAGCAATTAGTGTTTAAGTCTATTAAAGGTAACTGAACCTTTCTAGCAGGTGGAAAAGTACCTAAGCTCCACCAAAAATGACCCAGGAGAGCTAATTTTCAAAAATTCTGTTTGAAATGAAGGAAGTGAAAAGTAGATGTTTTTATTTCTTTAAACTAATCAGAATATGCCAAAGTTTCTCTGGTAAAAATGTTATCAACATCTAACTGTACCCACATGGGGAAACAAGGGTCCAAAGAAGGAGCCAAAAAGATCACATTTGGTCTGTGACCATATTTGGGGCTCTACACCATCCACATGAAAGCTCAGAAAATTTAGATTGTTGTCAGAAATTGTCATTCTCTCTAATATATTCAGGTTCAACAGTTAGTTTGTAAATATCTGCTTGGAGTAAATAGATCTTAGACCTCAAAAACTGAAAAAAAAATTGAATGGCAACCAAATGTGAGATTTTGGGGGCCCACAGCGCCCCCCCCCTTAATAAAGATACCCCATATTTGACAACAAATTCAGAATCTATGACCAAGAATCTACTATACATTTTCAGCTTCCTAGCTCTATTTTTTATGAAGTGAGTATGGCCCCAAAATTTCAACGGGCCATAACTCAGGAACGACTCAAGGGATTGAGCTAAAATTTGAGATTTTTCATTTGGTGATTTTAGAAATTTTTTGACATTTTTTCAGCCAAATCTGAGATGGCTCATAGGGGAGATTCCTTGAAAATGGCTGATTTCATATGGACTGACCCCATTGTCACTTGTTTTAACTTGTAAGCTTGTTTCTATGGAGATGTTATTGCTTTACCTCACTGTGTAACATCAAATCTATGTCAAATACAGTTGTTTTTATTTTCTTGAAAGACATGTGTTGAGATTGATACATTTAATGCTATACTGTGGTACATTCTGGGTAAAATTAACATCTCCACAGAGACAAGCAGGTGGCAGACCCTCCACCTGAAAAACTACATAGTGCATCTTTAACAATCTGAACTTTTTTGTTCAGGAAAAACACCCCCAAAAGATCCCTGGTCTGTCAAATGCTTTTGCCCATGTGGATGTTATTGCTTCATCTGGAATGTTTTACAGTATTGTATTAAACCTTTCTATTTTCATGGGGACCAAACCAGATCAAGCCACATGTCAGATCTGTGGAGAGATAACCCCACTCAGAGTGCCTGTTTTTGTAGGTACTGTAGTTTTAAGCAGTAAAACCACTTGTAATTGAATAAATGTAAAGTTGAGCTGTTTAATATAATACTGTGGAACCTTCAATGCAAAGCAATTACATGTCCATAGAAACAAGCTGGTGACATCCCCCCAACCAAAAAGTGACATAGTGCCCCTTTAAACAGTGACACTTGTAGATAGGCCTATTCTTATTCTGGCAGCCAGTTTATTTTTATTAGCCTACCCTCGTCTCCAGCTCTGAGGGGAACTTGGTCTGAAACTTGCACGTGGTCCCCTCACTGTAGTCCCTCTGGATGAAGACTTTGTTGGCCAACGATGCGCTATGCCTCAACTCCTGCAAATTGTGGAACTGTACAAAACAAAAAGCTGTATTAAAGATGACCAGATTTAGACCTATCCGTTTACGAGACCCCTGAGAGGCACAGCGACCCCCTGATCCACTTGACACTTGTAATATGTGCAAACAGCAGCTGATGTTGACGGGTTTGAAAGTGCACCGTAGGGATGGGCAAAGCAAAATGTGATCGATCACCTTTGGAACAGCTCCAGGTTTTGGACATACTATCCCAGCCCACACACACACACACACACACACACACACACACACACACACACACACACACACACAGACACACAGAGACAGTCTCCAATGGTCTCAGAGGATGTACATTTTACTACACCCCACAACAAATCAATGGAAACAGACACAGAGTAAACGTCAACTACCACACACACACAAACTCGTTATATATGGGACCCGAGACTGGTTCT